TTTATGCTAAGAACCGCCTTGTCACACCGTGCCACTGGTTACACGTTGCCAAGCAATCCTCATTGGAACAGCCAAAGTGATGGGCCAATTCCGTCAACTCCCGCAACCCACTCAACTGCCAGAGAGAAGACCAACAACAACTCAAAACGGGAGCAAGAAATCGCCATGAAAGTGAGCGCGCCTTAAAGGCTGCCCTTTGTATCACTTGGACCGTGGAGCGTGTTCAAGCATGTGCCCAGGAGGTGAAGTCGTCGAGCATAATCAATTCGTTAGGAGAGCCATGATAGTGGACAGGAAATGCGTCTATCTTGCGCTTCGTGATGTACATTGTTACACACATATCATATAAGTACACGTGGTACCATTCCTGGTACATCTTCCCCGTCATCTTCGCCTCGAATCCCATATCCAAAACATTTATTGAGCTGGAGGTGTCGTCTCTGTAGGAGGTATCGAAGAATCCGCCACCACCTCGGACACACCAGCCTTCTCGAGGCCAGCCGCCTTCCTTTCGGCAAGGATGGCACCCAGCTTCTCCAACATCTCGTCGCTGAGCTCGGGCTCGCCCTGGGCGGCACGCAGCTCCCGCTGTTGGGCGTGGTACTCTTGGAGGGGGGTCTGCATGGACAGAATGGAATCCTTTTGTGCCCGTTCGGCATTCGCCTCGTACTCCTTCTGCTGGACGTACCACTCCTCGTGGCGTGTTCGGAACTTGGAGAACTTGTTTCGTAGTTCGTCGATGACGGTTTCGGGCATGGGGGCGGAGAGGAGGTTGTAGTAGAAAGATCGGTTCTCAGCAGCCTCACGGGGAGTGTCGCTGGCGTGTGTCTCATATTCTGGCGCCTCCACTGCGGGCCAGGGGATAATAACGTTGATTCCAGGGACGAGACGGTCATATTTCTTTCCATGCTCCCATCGGTCGAGGGTCATGTTCGGTGACTTCATGTTCGGGGGAACTGCCTTGAGCTGGTTGATAACAACATCCCTGGTGACTCCAGTCTCGGGGTTGGTGATGGGGTAAACGAGGCGGATCGAACCGATCGAGATAGGCATGGGTTGGGACCGGCTGTCGTTGCCAAACATGCCAGCACTGATAGCCTGTTGACTCAATTAGTTCCCGCAGCATTGCCAATGGACCATAATTTCTTACCCGGTGGTGAGTCTCAAGGGTAACAGACCCCGACTGAAGGTTGATTGCCCTGATACGATCAATCTTGCCCTTGTCCGGTCCATCCATAATGACCACTCGATCAGACACAGCTAGGTTGAGCTGCTTCAGACCTCCAGCCCAAGCACATCGCTTCTCAAGAATCTCGGGTCGTGGTGTATAGAAGCCGTAGTTGGACCAATCCGTCCGCACACTCTCGGAGAACATGCCATACTGATTGTATCCCAGATCACGCTTGGGGGCAAGAGGGCCCAGCTCCCAATCCTCCTTTCGGGCCCGGCGGGCATCTTTAAGATTCTGTCGGACCTCAGAGACGGCACCTCGGAAGGCCTGCTGGTTTCGAAGCTTGTAGTTGGTCTGTTCGGTTTTGGCAGCTTTTTGCGCACGGCGGCCGGCCTGGCGCTGGGCCTGGGCCACTCGCTTGGCGAGCTTCTGCATGGCGGAGAAGTCGGGGGAACGAGCTGTGAGGGTCGATTGAGGGGATTCACAAGCTCTAGCAACCCATTGGGCGGGAATGAGCTGCGGGCGCCGAGTTGTCGCTTGGGCGTGACGATGAATTCGTTGTGGAGTGGGCGATTGAGGTGGAAATTCTCAATCGTGAGAACGGAATTAACCGCGGTAGCGCTCGTGCGGGGTTCCATTTGCACTGTATTGGACACTGTCCTGGGGTCGTGATACCCTCATGTCGTTGGAGCTGCAAGTTGCCCTCATTTCGGCTTTACGAGACCACCCATGGAGATAGACCAACTTGACTTCTCCAGGATTGGTGGTGTTCGGTCCTCCGGGACTGGTTGAAGCAAGGCTCACTTCCATTGACCTAACATGACATGCATCAACACGCACCAAGTTTCAAGTCTGCACTCTAAACTTGACTCTCTGGCAGGACACAGGGGGCCTGCCATGGTTCAATGAAACGCCATGTAGCAGATGCCACAGTTTCGAATGAAGCATCATCGCATCCTCGCCAGAAGGGGTAAACATTGTCCTCCGAGATACGCGTAAAGAGCATCCACTTCCGAATTTCCGATATCAGATGGATGTCGTCAGACAACTCCGCTGACTACAAGTTGAGAAGGGATGAAAGATTCACATGACACAATCAGAGCTGCTGTTCTTTCGGCACAGTCCTCCGTTCCAGGGAGGACTTGGGTCACGATGTTGAGACAGGGGCCGCACACGTGCTCAGCTATCACGCTTCAGTTGAAGCGCCAACCCAGGACAGTGAGATAGATCAAACCTCCGTCAGAGGAGGCTCGCGTGTGAGGCCCAGACCGTATCTTTCACCCATGGCCAGCTCACGGTACCGATAGGTCAACAAGGACCCTGACGCCTTCAAAGATGAGGCGGGGGACGAGTCCTAGACTCTTGGGTACCGTAGGACTTTTCTCCCCGTCGCGAGCTCTCTGGCTGGTCCTCCCGTAAAATCTGGTTGGCCCCAGGCCTTGGGGAGCGGGGACGGGATGGCACAGGCGACTCCGCCGTGCATTGCATGACGGACCAGGGGCTGAGAAGCTTGTGCCAGCGTCACTTCGCCCAAAGCTTTTTTTGTCGAGATGGCGCTACGTAAGCTTTTGCCCTGTTGCCAGTGGTTGCTCGGTACGGATATGAAGAGTGAATCAGCAAAGGAGGATACCGGTCAGCAGCAGGGAGGTAAAGACATGCAAGCGAACATGCCTCTCGATTCATTCTCCAAGCATGATGAAAGGCAAGGAGGCCAGCGCAGGGTCATCAACATCAAACGCCGGCCATTTCCCCTTGGAGGCATGACGACAACAAGAGCCGTTGGCATAGCCGCCGGATCCCAGCTGGAAATCTCCCCCAAGACCAGATCCCATCCAGGGAGGTCGGGATCCAGTCTCCGATGCCATGGCCTACAGGCCCAGTAGAAGCAAATGTGATGATGCAGCCCGAGGCTGATTCTCTTTAGTGTCGTGCTGCCCGAATGACACAGGCTGAGCCACGGTTTCAGCCCCGGAGCTATGGATAGAGCCTCCTAGCCTCCCCCTCAAGGTGGCATCGGCGGTAGAAGGACGCAGCAAGCGGCGGCGACGACAGGACTCTGTTTGGTGGGCCAAGGACTGGCTCGCGCACGTCAGGCCGCGTCTGACGGGAGAACGTGTGCAGACGGAGAAGAGCGTGAAGACTCATGCGAATGGCGTGCCGCGGTGTTGATGTCCTCGACGCCTTTGCCGAGAGCTGCCTGTTCCAATCTGATGTAGGTTGTGAAAGACTCATGCAGAGTCATCAGAATGCGCCAAGGACTTTTGTTTCCGTATTATAAGAGCGTGAAAGATGGCGACAGATTGGGCGTGAAAACAGAGGCCATCAAAGCAAAGCTGCCGTGTAATCAACAATCCCTCAATCAAACCGATCAAACAGCCAACCCCATCAATCGTCACCCTTCATATCCTTTGTGGTTCATTCATTCAGCCGGATCTGCCATCTCATCTCGTCATTATCCGGTAATAATCACCGGCATTGTCCGCTCGAGAAAGACGTCGGGTGCACGTCCGCCCTGCAGAGTACAGCACAGCATAGCACAACACAGCACAACAAGGCCGCGTCAAGGCGCCAAACAACAGATCCATCCCACTGAAAGTTTCGCGGAGGGCTCCCCGTGTCGGTCAGAAATAAACTGGGCCAGTTCCATTGTGAGTTTCCCCCTCCTGGCTGGGAAATAGAGGCTTGTGACGATACCCTCGCACTGTTGACGCACTGGGAAGCGACTCCACTAACCGGTCGCTGGATAGGGGACGGTCTTAGCGGTTGTTGCCACCCACCAGCCGACGCCAGGGCCACGCCGTTGGCTGCCTCAGGATCTACCAACCTGACCGGATCAAAGGTACCGATTGTGTGTTGACGCCCGCAAAAGAGTACCTTTTTGGCCTTGCTTTTTCCGTCTGCCCAGCCCGGTCTGTCCAGGGGAAACACCACGCATACATCATCAAAGAGAGCCCAGTCCAGGCCCCAGCAACTGCTGCAGCCCCAGCAACAGAGGACCAAACAACAAAGCGTCGACGCAGCTCATCTGCCGCCGCCCCGTTTCGCTACTGCGAGAGAGCTCTGAGTGCAGTGGGAGCTCCATTGGTGAAGGAGACCGGCCGACCACCTCCCTGGGTGCATCCATTCCATTATCAGCAGTAGCAAACACCATCAGCACTGCGCTGCACTGCACCGCACGGCATCAGCATCAGCCTCCTTCTTCGCGCGGCGTTCCCTAAGAGTAAACAGGATTGGATTCCAAGCCCAACAGGCCATTCTCGAAACAGGCGTCCTAAGCTAGTTCCTCCCGTGTTTAAAGGACCAAAACTCCCTTGGGCTGTCATTTCGTCACGCCCAGCTGCCATTGCACATCACCGACCATCGATTGCACATTGCCCTCTCACTGCCAATCGCCTAAGCCACTTGGACGGCCCATCCCAGCCTGAAAAAACACAGTGCGAATCATAGACGCCCTCGTCCCAACAACCTTGCACCGTCCACTCGCCAACCCCAGCACGACGCCCGGCCCAGCTCAGCTACCCTGACCTCCCTCCCCTCTAGACAGCAGGTACCTGGCCGCTAGAGCTTCCCACCGGTGCGCCAGAGGTACCTCTTGTCCCCGTCCTGTCCACTCTTGGCTGTCCTGAGGTGTCCTATCTGTCCTCCTTGCCTGCCTGCCTGGCGCTGCCTTAACATTTCCTTTCCCTCTCTGCTCTTTTTCTTCCCTCGCTCTCGCTCTCCCACCCGCCGCTACCTTGCCTTACCTACCAACCAACAAAACCCAGGCCCCAAAACCCGAACCCCCTTCTGACGTCCTCTTTCCGCGTCCAACTCTCCTTCTTCTCCATCCCCCATCGACCCGCAGCCGCCGCTCTCCGCGAAACTCACCTTCTGCAACATCGCCCGAAGCTCAAGCTCGCATCCACGCCAGCACCGCCGTTTTCTTCTTCTCATATTTTATTAAACTTCATCACAACCTAACAGCAAACGTCATGGCTGAGATTCGCCGAAAGCTCGTCATCGTCGGCGATGGTGCCTGCGGTAAAACCTGTTTGTTGATGTGAGTTTGCCAACTTCCTCCCGTTGCCTATCATCCATCCATCGTGATGTCGATGGTCGCCGATGCTGCAGCCAGGCCAAGCGCCCACGGCAGGAGAACCCAGCAGCTGCTGGTTATCTGTTGCTTGAATGCTTGGGGATGGCCTCATGCTGTTGGCGCCATCAGCATCGTGATGACCATCGGTTGCCTCCGCGTCCCCTGTCGCCATATCCATCAACATCACCATCACCATCGCCATCGCAGACCACCAGACTGATGCTAACCCCTTTTGCAGTGTCTTCTCCAAGGGCACTTTCCCCGAGGTAAGCATTGGCTCGACGACAACGATGCCTTGAACATGCTCCGTCCTATCGCTCGGCTCCACAACGACGACCCATTCGCGGCCGAGCCTCGTTTCGATCATCAATACAAGTCATCAACATCATCAATGCTCATGCTAACGATGCATCCTTCAGGTCTACGTCCCCACCGTCTTCGAGAACTACGTGGCCGATGTTGAGGTCGACGGAAAGCACGTCGAGCTCGCCCTATGGGATACTGCTGGCCAGGAGGATTACGACCGTCTTCGACCCCTGTCCTACCCCGACTCTCACGTTATCCTGATCTGCTTCGCCGTCGACTCCCCCGATTCCCTCGACAACGTCCAGGAGAAGGTTGGTTGATCCTCAGCCTCGCCCGAGCTGATAACCTGCCCGATCGGCACAGCCTTGCTGACACGTGCTCTTTAACAGTGGATCTCCGAGGTTCTGCACTTCTGCCAGGGTCTCCCCATCATCCTCGTCGGTTGCAAGAAGGATCTCCGATACGATCAGAAGACGATCGAGGAGCTTCGCAAGACCAGCCAGAAGCCCGTTTCTCCCGAAGAGGTACGATCCGATCAAAGGAATGCCCCTGTCCGGCTTCACCCGACCAAGACAGGCATTCCTCCTTGCATCATAAAGTACCATGCTAACAACTTGATAGGGTGAGGAGATCCGTAAGAAGATCTCTGCCTACAAGTACCTCGAGTGCTCGGCCAAGACCAACGAGGGTGTCCGTGAGGTGTTTGAGCACGCCACCCGGGCTGCCCTGCTGTCCCGCAGCAAGGGCGGCAAGAGCCACAAGAAGTGTCTTGTTCTGTAGAGGACGGCGCGAAGCCCCTCTGAGCGAAGCGCAGGCATACGTGCTGCGGCTCGACCCTGCGTTGTAATCCATCGTCGTTCCAGTTCACCCTCAACTTGGCCCCGGCAGTTCGGATGATACGGGTTCGCGACAGCCAAGAAGGCGACGGCTGTCGACATGCATCGGTTTTCTCGGAATCTGGAGTTTGATATCGTCTCGCTCTTGTCTGGTCCATCGGCCTACGCGCCGACCTTTCTCGCTGGATTGATGGTTTTCTTGTCGGCGGAGCCCACGATTTCTTGGACCTCCTGAAGTCTTAGCAGCTGCGGGAGGTTGCTATACCGACAGATACCTCGTCTTTTTTCTTATCACCATGGCAGGCGAGCGGGACCTTTGTTTTATGTATCTGCGTATTGTGTATGGGGGAGGTGGGCCAGATGTCTTTTTTCTTGCTTGGGCTGCCGAGGAGAAGGATGAGGAGTGACTCCCGCCCCCGACTCTGGGGTCCTTTGCCTATCGGCGGAAGCTGATGGTGATGGATGGTCAAGATGGTTGGGGAGGCCATGGGAGGCTCCGTGGGCCGGTGACGGTGACGGCGAGAGCGTTTGTGTGTATGGAATTGGGGTCCGGCTGGGGGAACCTTGTCGGGCCAGGTCATAAATTTTTCATTTTTTCTCTTGAAGCCTCGAGACCGTTATTTAGATCATGGAGATGGGACATCTATTGCGTAGGGCCTGCCTGTTTAATCATTGTTTTTGTCGCAACTTGTTTCTGTGACGTACCTCTGCTTCGTTTGATGGTTATCTGGTGTTGTATCAACCTTGGCCTTGTATTGCTTGACTGCTCCTTATGCTTTGGGCTTTACTTGATACTAAAGAGTCGTCCACTGCTTTTATTATACCTGATGTTACTTTTCTCATCACTTCAGCTTTATCTCATCCTTTTGACTGTCTCCCCATATGTTCTTGGCCATTGTCCCACTGCAGATAGATAGCTCAATCTACAGACAAGGCTTATCTCTTGGACTATCCACGTGCCAGCGGCCGGTCATGTGGTCCATCCCACTCACACCTCCCCCCGTGCTCCCCTCTGATGACGCCGTGCCTGTTTCGGCACTGGTGATACAGGTGATGTAATCCCATCAATCACCACGCAGAGGATGGTCACCCACAGGTGTGGGCGTTAGTCAGGAGCTGCCTAGCTTTAGGTCCGGCAGTGAGTCAAGCGCGGGAACCGAGTGGCATTCATCGAAGGGCATTTCATTCAACAAGTGGAAGTTTGTTTGGATTCATTCTTGATCAACCTTGAATTCCCTCATCTAAAAACTGAGTCGAGTTCGAAAACGAAGGGAGCGTTTAATAAAGATGATTTCCCCGCCCAGAACAAGTTGATAAAAAAAAAAAAGGAGTGGTGCTGTAAAGTAAAGAAAAGCGACCCCCTCCGTTCACATTCATGCCTCCCCATAGTGTGTATCTTTATTTCAAAATTTCTAGGGGTTTTACCCCGTGCTTGAATCAACTCCTGCTCCCATCATGGTTCTCGTCATAAAAAAAGGTGTATCTTGATTGCGTGCTTAGACGGGGCAGTGCTAGAAGAGTAAGTGTCAGCATGATGATGATGATGGATGGAGGGAGAGGGGAGACGTACAGCACCGCAGCTGGAGCAAGTCTTGCCGCCGCCCGAGATGGCAGCGCTGCAAGAGGGGCAAGTGCTGTGGCTGTAGTTGACGGGCTGCATCTTGTCTGAGATGGATAGAGAAGGTGTACAAAGTTTACTTTAAAGGGGGCAAGATAAAAGAAGAAGTTGAGAGTGTACTAAAGAAGTCTAGGAAAGAAGAGTCACAGAGGAGGGGGGAGGTGGTAATATATGTACAAGTTCACACTGCTGCTGGATCGATCATACACACGAGATTTACGTTACGTGAAGCGGGGTCAAACAAAAAGACCCTCCCTCTTCCTCTAGCGGGCTCTCGTTTTTGTTTTACCCCCGCGTGCGATTCGTCGGGTGACACCCTACGGATATGGGGTGTGTGTGATGTCGGGCTCAGCTCACTTTCCGACGTTGGTTATTCGTCACAAATGTATGTGGGCCGGGTATATGCAAGGCTTTCAGATTCGAATAACCTCAACAAGAAGAATGCCCGTGGAATTGTTATCGAGTCTTTTGATGGATGTACTTGGAGCGGGGTGGGGGGATCCCGAGTATATCGTGTGAGCAACATGTCATGATGGTCTGGGCGGTGAAACTTGGGGATCTTGAAGCGAGAGACGAGGAGCCTCTTCTTGAAGATGTTAAAAAGAAAAGTCATTAAAAAAAGAGTATCCGTCAGATTGTGTATAGTGGCAGGCGGGGACTAGGGCAGAAACAAACAGATCATGTTCTAGAACTATCTGGTCATCTTCCTGTAGGTAAGCTAGCGTGAATAGGTGTCATGGAGAGATCAATGCTTCACGATCTTCCCAAAACGACTTGTTGAATAAAACACGCCACACGCCCTCTCTCTCTCTTTTCTTACTGCTTTCCCTATAGTAATACTTGCGTATAACAAGCCCATATCCATGTGGATCTCTTAAAACAACGCGCGGGTTCTCTCCCGTCGTCGATCACCGTCCATCTACTTACATACACATGTTTCTCAATACCCATTTCCACCTTTTGTACATGACAGCCCCTCTCTCCACAGTCCAATAATGTCCCCTTGCGCGTCTCGAAATCGTGCTCGGGCTCAGCAGCCCCCCTGTATATTAATCGTACACCTCCTCCCCGACGAATGGGGCAAGTCTATATGCTCTGTTTTTCGTCATGTTTTTATGCCCAATACATGTGAGGCCAAGTAATGCTTTGCTGGCCTTGAAAGCCAATAACCTTTCCATCCGACATCCCGAGTCTTTATGCGCACACCGCCGGTCCGTCCTTGTCTGGCAGGCAAAAAAAAGTCAGTTCATCGTTCAAGAAACACATGCTGAAAGGACCGACTGATCCCGAGGGATCTCGGATATCCATCGAGTAGGAAGACTTACTGCTTATCATCTTCTGCACTGCCTGGAGCACGCTGATGACCATGACGACGACTCCGAATACCACGACTGCATATGCCATGTATGTCCGCCAGCTCCGCGTCGTCAGCTTGATGTAGCACATGGGTGGTAGGATATACGCCATGGCTACTGCGCTCGTTGCGCCCACCAGCTCAAACACGGCACCCAGATCACATGTCACCAAGCTCAGCACCAGCGCCGCTACCACGAGACTCGTGCTAAACAGCAGATGCCGGTTCATGTTGAAGGGTTCATCCGGGAAAAAGTAGGTCAGCATCACCTCACGACACACAAACGCCTCGAGGGGTAGTGTCGTGAGCATGTTGAGGCCGAAGCAGAGACGCGCCACGTTGACCATTGTGCTGTCGGCGGGAAAGTTGTTGAGAACATTGCCCAGCGTCTTGTCGCCAAATGTGAGGAAGCCGCCTAGTGCAAGGACAAGGCAGAAGAGCATCGACACTCCAGTAGAGTAGTGAGTAACTCGGGAAAAGTTGTCGATGGTAGGGGTCTTGAGAGACCCGTAAATGAGTAATGAGTTGTGATGACAGACAAATGCTACAACCATCAATATGTGCCCCTATATCAATGTATAAACTCAGGGCACTCACCAAATGAAATAACGCCAATTGCTTGAAAGAAGCCATCGTTGACGAGGAGAAGCGAAGGGCTAAACGACCCTCGCTCCGACGCGGGCGTCAAGACACCCTGCACGAGCACAGTCACGACAATGACCACCATGCCGACGAGTGCAAACGTACTCGCCTTTGCCAGCTATTCAGAAGCCATTAGTCCGTTCCTTTTAAGAGCATCACAAGGGAAAGGAACACATCCGACACCCGAAACCCTCCCCCTTTTTTGGTTCTCACCTTGGAAATATCCCGATACAACGTCAACGGGTATCCAATGCCCAGCACAAACACCGTTATAGCCACCTGCCGGTTCGCAAGCAGGCCCAGCACGGGGACGTTCGGTAAGTCTGGCCATATGGCCTTTAACACGTGGGGGATCGTGTCTCCCACGATGACGCCGTACGCCACCATGCCGCCAAATGCAAAAACCCACTGCGCGACGCTGATGGCGATCAAGCCTGGCTGTCCGAAGCAGTGCTCGACCGTCCCCTGGAAGTGGCTCGTCCCGCTGAGCTTGCTGTTGATGACGATAAGACAAATAGTCCAGTCGACCACAATCGTCAAGCCGACCAGTAGCAGGATGCCGCCTACCAAACCGGCCTGGCGCACTGCATATGGCTGACCGATGATACCGGCGCCGATGATGGAGTTGGCCATATTCATAAAAGCCGACTTTAGACCTGACTTTGGTCGGTTCATCTCATGCTCTGCCAGCTCCCCGGGGTCGCCCATCGAGTTGGCGACAGTTACGCTCGGCGCCTCAATGCCCGTCAGGAGCGGCATGCGATGCGCCCGCGCAGGGCTCGCCGCCTCCTCCATATCAAAGTATCCATCGTCCTCGGAGCGCCGCGTTCCATGTCCGCCGAATGCATCGCCGTTGCTGACGGGGACAATCTCGGGTGTCAAGTCGAAGCGCACGCGGCCCGGCGTCCGGGGTGTATGTCCTCCGTTGGCATCCTCGGCCTTGCCGGAGCCGCCCTTTGTCAGGTCCGCGCTTCCGCTGCCGCTGCTCAAGGCATCGTCGTCGCCCACGCCAAAGTATTCGTCGTCGTCAAAGTCGTGGCCGGCTGCTAGTAGACCGCGGTCCTCGCCGTGAGGGTTCGGGGAGCCATTGTCCCTGCTGGCGTGCGTCATTGTCGGGGAAGGGGGGCAGCAGCGAGGTATCGCGTGCGCATCTTCTCCCCGCGGAATTGAAGAGTAGGTATTTTCGTTCGTTCGCTCGTGAAGGAGTAGCTAGCCGCAGTAAATGTATACACACAAAAAAAAGAGACAGAAAAAAAGATCGACAATCAAGAAGCAAAAGAGTTGGAGGTTGGAGGTTGGAGGTTTCGCGCTTTGCCTTGCCTCCCGTCTTTGCTGTCTGTCCTTCCCCCAGATAAGCAAGGGTAGCGTCACTGGACGCGCGAGGGCCGTGGGATGATGGACGCTGGGATTGGCTGCGCCCCCTGCTGTGGAAGGCCCGGAAACTTCCCTAGGGCCCCTGTGGAATCGGGCTCTCGGTGCTGGAACCGCCCGTAGCTCTAGCGTATGCAGGGGCACGGGTCCAGAGGCTGAAGTCGTTTTAGACAAAGAGGTTGAGGAGGAGTTGGTTTCTTTGCCACGAGGAGTGTCCCTTGCTTCTTGTGAGTTGGTTGTGAATAGCTTAGTGAGGCTGAAAGATGATGGCTCTCTAGAAATGGGATACAATAGACATGTTTACTCAGCATTGCCGCAGCGCAAACCATAGCCCAATACGAAGTTGTCGGAATAGGGGTCTAATTTACACCCCGTCTCCTTTTTTCAAGGGTCCAATGGTCCAGTGGGATGGGAGACACAAACTCCCCATTCCATACTAGGACCAGGTGATAGAAATAGTAGTATCGATTTAGTGAGGAGATCCTCATATTGTGACCGCTTTATTATGGCATGGCCACCTTTAGTGTACACTCGCTGCACCTCGAACGACGCTCACCAGATGTGCGCAGCCTCGGGGCCATGTAGTCTCCGACGAAATTTCATGTACGTATGAAGTCTGCCTTGTTAGTTGATGAATATCAATTCACGGGCTATCAATTCACGAGCAAAAACTGATCCAAAGACTTTGTCTATTGAGGCTGCAGGCTCTTCTCTATTAAGAATACCATTCAAGCGTGGCCTCAGCCATCTATTTCCTCCTCCTACTTATGTATTTCCTATCCCTGGGGCGGGTATCTTTGCCATCATGCTCATCTGCCCGTCACACCACGCATCCCGTCATCCCACGCGTCTATGGGGAGGCGACTTGCAACATGTCTATTCTGTCCCATCTGCACAGCTGCCATGTCCTTACACGAACGTCGTCGTGTCGTGTCGTGCATGATCTAAGTGGTGTCCCCCGTGTATATGTATATCCGTATCTGCGCGTCTCTGGTGCGAAATTGTGTGTATCGTAGGTGATATTAAAGAATGTACTGCCGCTCGTCTGGTCCCTTTAGACCAGGAGGGCGAAAAATGGTACTATACAGAAAATGAATGTGAAGCGGGCTTGTGAGAGCAGCCCTGTTGGTGCAGACGAGTCCTTGGTCTCGCTGGACTGGCTCGCGTCCGAGGTGGACGTGCCAGTGGTGATGGATTCCTTGCCGAGGCCGACGTCTGGTCCTGAGGTTGCTGTCGAGTCGGGGAGGGCGCTGACTCCAGTTTCCTCCGAGTCATCAGCAGTCTTTGTTGCCTTGGCTGAAGAAGTTGAAGTTGAGGTCTTGGTCTTGGAACTTTCCTTGTCAGAGCTACCTGTGATGACGTTGCTGGCGAATCCTGCTTCCTGTTAGCTGGTGATATCAAGTAAAAGATGAGTACTTCAACCTACCGATTCGTCGCTCGTCGGCGTCAAAGATGGCATAGACGTTCTTGATGAAAGTATCTCCAAGCAGCCAAGCTCCCTGAACAACCTCGTAGCCGTAAATGTTGCTGGTGCACTCGCCATCCTTGTTAGGGGGCGAGACCCAATCCTTTGGTGAGATGACATAGTCGACGCCAGAAAAGGTCACCGTCAAGTTTCCTTTGCTGTCGCAGGGGACCTTGTATGTCGTGTCGTCACTGCTCGAGGCTCCGGGGATAAGGGCGTGCAGCTTCTTGACGTTTTCAGACGAACCAAACATGAAAGAAGTTCCCGTGTCGATAAACGTGCGGATTCCACCAATGCTGGCGCCCTTGCCGTTGTAGCCCATATCGTCCATCTTGATAGCCCAATCATTGTCCTTGCCGTCAGGAAGAGAGGTGTATGTGATCTTGCCGCTGTACTTGTCGGTGTTGGGGGAACCAAAGCTGATCTCGCCTTCGTTGGTGCCATCAGACGCGCGGTTCAGGGCGATGCAAAAGATGTTCTTATCAATGTTGCCAGATGCTTCCAGGGTGGACAAGAAGTTTTCGTTTGCGCCCTTGTTCATGGCAAGACCCAAGATGCCGTCGAATGCAAACTGAACAAACTGATCCGAGGTGTTCGTTGCCAACCCAAACTGATACTCGAGATCCATGCCCGCCACGTGAATGTTGTCCTTTGCGAGCACACCGCTAACCTTGCCAGAGCCGTACGCAATGTTGAAAGGCTTGTTGATCAACTCCAGGGAATCCGAATCGTCAGGACCAAACGTGTTGTGCATCGCGCACGCCTTGCTCGTACAGTCGGCGCCCATAACCCAACTCGAACCAGCACCCGTGTCGATAAGCATGTACATTGGCTTCTTCTTGGATCCGATGTCGACCTCGATAAAGTAAGAGTAGTCGGTTCCATCCTGGTTGACACCCTCGGTAAACTTTCCCTTGGTCTCAACTGCCTCCATGACATCGTACTCGTTGGCTCGCTTGGCCAGTTCGCTGTCGCTCGGGATGTCTTGGCCGCTGTACTTGGCCACCAGTCGTGCTGCCTCACGGGCAGCTCTTTCGGATATGGGCAGTTTGTTCTGCAGCAGTGATTGGGTTAATGCAAAGGTGACAACAATGGCATTCCTGCAGTGAAACAAACCTCAGCAGCCCTCTGTTTGATCCCCATTCGCACACTTCGACCTTCCTGACCTCGAATGCTCCTATGGCTTCTTGTGACACTCTTCTTCTCTACATCTCGACGCCAATCTGGGTCATAGGGAAAAAAGGCATTGGCGGATGAGGCGCATAGTGCCAGCTGTGCCAGCAAAACTGATGGACGCATCTTGTAGGCGGAGAGTAGAAACCTCGGGAAAGCTTGAAACGCAGGCTTCCCGATGATATATCCGCGGATGAACCGGAAGATGCAGCAGTGAGAGAAAGATCCGAGTGGTGTAGTAAACCGGGCTGGACCAACTCGTCACGGATTGTCTCAGACGCGACCGGCTTTGGAGAGCGAACCGGAGCAGCAGTTGACAATCGAGGGAGCGAAGCCTCTGGAGAGAACCAGGCAAGCGGCTGGCGCGATGTATTAAAGGATTAGAATTATGAGGCCGGCATTGGAAACTGGAACGGCACAATGGTATCCGTATGCCGGATGCCACCAGACACAGGCAAGTAGAGGGATAAGCGAGATGCTGGAAACACACACAAAAGCCCGCACGCAGAGGAAATGCTTGGCTTCTTTGGCGGAGGTTACAAGTGAGACTGACGAGCCTTCTTTGGAACAAGACTTCTCTTGTCGTCGAGGCGGCCTTTTCGGATGCTACCGTCAAGGATTGGGACGGTGACGGAAGTCGGAGTAGGTACTTGGCCGAGGATGCCGAGGGAACGAGAAGAAGTACTTGAAGGAAGGAAAGACAGCAAGATGCAAAAAGGAAAAGAGGAAACAAGAGAGGGCAAAGAAGAAGGGAGGAGAGAGAGAGGGGATTATTACGGGTTAAAGGTAAGTAAGTGAGAGAGAGCGTGAGAGAGTGACGAAGAAGAAGGTGGATAAAGTATGGGGAGAGGGTGGAGGTTAGAGGTGGTTCAAGACAAGGAGGAGGACGAGCTGAGAACAGACGAGACGGGACGGGAGTGACCTGGGTGGGTTGTAGCTATCATCCCAGTCAGGCAGTCGACCTTCAAGGTGCTGATGCCCTATCTCGAGGCGCTCGGGCTACTACAGATGAAGGCTAGGGCCACCTCTTTAGGACCCTCCCCTGGTGAACGATCATCGCCAATGGTACCTGAAGATCAAGTACCTGCCGTCTTTTACTCTGTGCCTGAATCAGCGACGAAGCCTCCTTTTCCGCCTCGTTGACCAACAAGCATCGAACAAAGACAACGGGAAAGACAACAACAAAAACAAACCCGCCCCACGGGCTCCAGAGTGGCTTGTCTCCCGCATCGTCTGTCTGTCCATGCCAGTCAAACGACCGCATCGCCGGGGACCCACGGTGAGCATGGACGCATCTGGAGCATTGCAGCTCTGCCCATCATTCACTGGTGTCCTCCCCCCGGGCCACCGCCGCAATGTTCATCTCTCGCGGGGCCAGGGGGTGTCATTCACTGAGTGGTCCAATTGATGCTAGCCGACTGGGGAGCGACGGTGCGAAAGACAGCCGGGGGGGCATCAGAATGTGGATATTGCGGTGCAATCGGCCGAAGATGCCTGTCCTCGTTGGTCAGGACAGGTGCTTTTGGTATTGATCTCGTATTTTTCTGAGGATACATACGAGTGGTGCAGTAAAAAGAATTGGAAACAATTGCATACCCTTTGTCTGTCCGTTTGCAATGTCTCGCCTCTCTTACCAAGAAACATCCCGAGACGTGAGGCTTGCCGCCCAGAGTCTCACTGCTTCTGCTGCCCCTGACCCGACACGACCGAGTGCATGCAGCTTGCGTATGTTGGATGCATTCTCTCTCGTCTGTCAGTCCCCTCCCTTCTAGAGATCTACAGTGACACAGGTGCTACAACGTGGAGCCCAGCGGCAAAAAAGAGAACAAGCTTTGAGCGAACTTGAATCAGTTTACGAGCCCGTAGAAACAAAGTTTCCTTGGAAGACACGCGTCCCCTGATGAGACATTGAGCGGTCAATTAATTGATAATTGACAGCCAGACATGACCCCGTTCAAACCCCGTTTCAACATTGAGCAGAAAGCTTGATGCCTCTGGCGTTTAACACGTGAAGCAGCCGTTTGAACGCACATTCACCAATTCAAGCTGCAATGGACCAGAAGCTGCCAATGGAAGATAAGCCCCGTGGTCGTCAGTAGCCAGGCCCTCCCCTGTCTCAGCATCGCATCGAAGTCAGCCGCCATTGGACAAAGCGTCTACTGCTTCTCTCAAGTCCATCTCGATGCATGCACCGTCGTTACGCGTAGGTCCACAACAAAGCTGCTAGATCCCCTGACTATTTAGCCGCCAGCCAGCCTCAGTATCCCTCAGCTCTGTCTTGAAGCTCCAATTTTTCAGACGTTTTTTTTTTTTACTGCATGTCGTTACGCGTCGTGGAGACGGAGAGAAACTTCCAGGATGCTGCATGCTGTCCGCTTACTGTAGTAGCTGACATGCAACATCCAGGAGTCCCGTGGTCTGATGGATGCAACGGACCTCGTGGGCGTCAAACCTGGCTTGCCCTTTTTTTCCCCACACGCTCGAACAAAGATATCAGATATCAGCCAAACGACCTCGGCGACTGAGCAGGGTTGTAAGCGGTCAAAACGGTAAAAACTGGCATATCCCTGCGCATAAGACATTGTCCAAGTCAAAGCTTTTGCTGTACGGCATAAGATCCATTCTTAAGGCATTTCTAAATAGAAGTGATTGATCAGAATCCTATGTATAGCGAGACGCTTACAACATCGAGTCTTGGCTCCCAAACGGGCATCGCCAACTTCTTCCGATGTAGCATCAACTCTCGCGCCGCATTTCCACTTGATGAGATGCCCCTATATCCGTACTCCGTACTCCGTACACCTCAGTGTCCTACCACCGACCAGATGACTTCATCAACTCTCAAAACAAGTTTCATCCCACGCTTCGTCTTCCAAAGCAAATAAACCCACAGCTCCATCTCTTACCCGCAACCCAAGTCACTCTTGAAACGACGGAACCCACAAGGCCCGGCCTGGCCTCCGTAGATCTCTAACCCTCACCCCGGCAAGATAGACTCTTGGCCTTCCCCGTCGGTGCAACGCCATCACCTCGGGATCCAATTTCAATGCAAATCGTCCTTCTGCTCATCTCAATGCGTTTGAGCACAGATAAGCATGGTCGATAGATTAATTAATTGCGGGCACGTGGAATGGAAATCTACACTTGGAGGGACGGCAGATCTTCATTTTAATATACCTCCATGCTACGTAGGTTATCGGGGAAGTTGAAACGCTACTCAACATGTTACGCGCCATGACAGCATAGTCCAGCTTGTTTCTTCTTCAGCTTTGTGCATCCTCCATGTCTCACCGAGAGGCATCCAACCTCACGGCATCTCCTCCAGCCCAGCGTCAATAATGGTCAACCCCTGACTTGCCGACAGCCACTTCTCGGCCCTCTGCAGCGTCAGCTGCTCAAACCCATCCTCGGGTGCATTCTCCCACAGCGTCCTCCTCACAAGCTCAAACTCGTCCAGGTCGGCGTTTGTGGAGCCCCAGGCGGCCATGTGCCGGAGAAAGTACCAGACAGACTCGTTGTGCCACTTGAACGACGCCGCGAGGTTGAGCGTCTCGCGAAAGATGGGCGATGTCTCGGTTGGTGGTCGCATGTCGAGGAGGAATATGAGGAACTGCCATCCGGAAATGTCGTCGTGATGGGCGAAGCACCACTTTTGCGTTGCTGAGACGAGGCGTGATAGGACCTCGTTCATGTTTAGTGATGGGGTGATAAATGTGTTGGTTAAATATCTGGCATGACACCAGGCGTAGTAGTTTCGTGGATGTCGCTCTCCGGATACCATAATGATTCTCGTAACGTCTTCCTCGGCAGGGACGTCAAGTTCATGAAGGCGGAACTGGTCCATCAGCCATCGACGGTGATTCCATAGAGTCGGTGACTTGGTATGTCGGTGAAGACGGCTGGTCAGTAAGCTATCCATCAGATGCTTCTCCGTATGTAGTATCTCTTTCACGTTTTCCTTTTCTCCTTGGAGTCGTTTCCTAATGACTCTCTTTCTTGTATTGGCAGCGGTCAAGTGCTCCGGGTCCATCAGCAACATAACTGCTGTGGACCTCAAGATCTCGTCAATCGATATTGTGCTGCCATCTTTTATGTAGCTCATAAATATCTTGTGTGCTACCAAGAAGGCCTGGACTAGCCGTAGCTTTGGAAGTGCAATGGCATTCTCATCCTTTAGGATTATCTCATTGGGATCAAGCACATGGCTTTTGCCTAACAGCTCAATCTCGAGGAGCTCATCAGAAGGTTCTGTGAGGACGGTAGAAATCTCATCAAACACGGCACCGTGATCACCATGCTTGAGAGACTCCTTGACACTTGCATCAAGTGCCCTCGACATCTGAACAAAAGAGAATATGCCGAATAAAGTGGTGGCAAACTGTGAAATGAAGCTTTCCAAGTGACAAGTATAGGGTAAGCAAGAGGGAGGGTTTTTGGTGGTGTGGAGGGGTTTGAAATGGAGCCCTCCATGCAATGTGTCGGGGCTATGACATGGCCCCGACACCACCACGTTGACAAAAGAACCCGACCTTCAACACCGCCAACAGCATCGACGACGAGCTTCACCCGGCGCTCGAGGAACCACGAAATGCGCAGATAGCCCACGATTACTATACTAAATCCGTCAACATGGCTCACCCTCTTATGCTCTCCATCTTCCTCATCGAGGTGGTTGTCCACCTCGTCAACGCCATCGGAGCCAAGGCGATCAATAACCTGGTATGTGCCTCCGAAGCACCATAGGAGCTTCCACTGACTTGCTTTAAGCTCTGGACGCTCATCAACTTCCTCCCCGTCCCGACGGCCAAGGCGGCAGGCGAGCAGCGCAAGATGCAGGCAGAGTACCTCAAGGTCCAGAGGGAGCTCAAGGCCACGAGTAGCCAGGACGAGTTTGCCAAGTGGGCGAAGCTGCGCCGACAGCACGACAAGCTGCTCGAGCAGCTGGAGAAGAAGAGTACGTCTACAGACAAGAATATAGGCTTAGACACAGCTGACACGTGTGCCTACAGAGAACAGCATGGCTGCTACACGATCCAAGTTCGACACTTCCCTCACCGGAGTCCGCATCGTCCTCACCCGCGCGCCCCAATACTTTCTGCCATTCTGGTACGCCACCGAGCCCATGTTCTGGCTGCCGTACGGCTGGTTCCCATACTATGCCGAATGGATCCTCTCGTTCCCTCGCGGACCCATGGGGAGTGTCAGCATCGCCTCTTGGCAGCTGGCCTGCACAGGTGTCATCCTCCTCTTCAGCGACCTGATCATGGGCATCGCGGGCCTGGTGATGAACGCCAAGCAGAGCAAGACCAAGGAGGCGCCCGTCAAGGCTCAGGTCGAGACGGAGAAGAAGGAATTATAAAGCGAACAAATATGTAGATATATCTGTGCATACGCTACGGCGCAAAGAATGGAGCAAAAATTACAGTTGATTTTACGATTGGGATGTATCTCTTTGATAAATTTGACGCAAAGTTCTTCATTGCCGGAGCTGAGACTTTGTAACACGACAGAGAATAACCCTTGGCAGGGTATTTTGGGGTTCATCTAGGCAACATATTGACTCTAGCGACCACGGAGAAGTAGGATCGCAAAAGCTTCGAAAGTGCCAATTGGAATGGAGTGAATATCTGGACGTGTCACTGTCACACGGGACGCGAGTCGGGGACGTGAACAACGGGCGCGTAAGCCATGTGATTGCACTATCGAGCTATGATTAGGAGTAAACAGACAAAGAAGAGAGTGAATACTGAACAAAGAGTGAGAAAGAGGTGCTTATGGTTGGAAAAGTTTGTGTTGAAGAAGAAGAAAAAGTTGACCAAGAAGAAATTCTTCGAGCTTTTTGCTCTCGAAGAAAACGCTCGGCCCCACCTTCAATCTTCCTGGCACCCCACATTTCTCCCGGCTTAGCGACACCTTTGCCTTAATGAGAGTTGTAGGGTACTTGAGTAATCGCCTTCGACGTCACTGGTTCTGCCTTCGCCCTTTGAACACTTCAACCGTGTCAACTTTTAACCAAAACACCAACGGATAACAGAGACTCTCTGACTGAGAGCACTTATCCGCCATCATGGCGATTCCCTGGGATTCGTAAGTTCTCCTGTATCTGACCTTGTGTATGCTGGCTGTTCTCTTCTTGGAACAACGGCCACTTACACACACAAACTCACATGTGCAAGCCCAGCTAACTCTAACGTCCCAGCATCCGTTCCCTCGTCATCTTCTTCGGGCCTATGCTCCTCCCCAAGGCCATCTCTTACTACCGCTCCTTCCGCAACGGCTCGACCTCCCACCGAGTCCCCATCGTCCCCGTCCCGCCCCGCGTTCGCGTCGCACTCGGCCTCCTCGCCTTCCTCTCCTTCACCTACATCCTCAAGTCGCTGCCCTTCCTCGCGCCCGAGAACCTCTTCCAGGCGACGCAGAGCCGGCTGCAGATCCCCGTCGATGTTCTCTTCAACCGTGTTGCTGCTGGAAGACCTGGGAATGCTTTGACGAAGCAGGATGAGGCGCTGCGCATGAGATTCGTCAACCTCGAGAGCAGGCTGTTATATATCCAGTATGGACCTAAAGTTCTGGCCGATTGCCCATTCTGCCACTCCGACGACCCGAGAACATTCTTCTACTACGCCATTCCCCAGCTTGTTTGGCCTCACCTTGCAAACCTCGTCGCCGTGGCCATCGTAACGAGCCCCTCCTTCACAGGCAAGGCAGGTAATCAATGGCGGGCCAAGGCTACAATGTTGGCCGCTGCTATTGCTGCTCTTGACATTTACTTTGTCAACTCTTACAACTATCAAGCCAACGCTCGCGCGCTCCGCCTACCAGAGGTTGACTTTTTCTTCTGGACTTCCCGTGTTGCGCGTCTGGCTGCCCTTGCGGCCTTCAACGCCTCCCTTGCGTGGCTGCTTTACCTGTCCTCAACCAACAGGGCCTTTGCCGAACCCCCTTCGGCAGTTGAGCGTATCGAGTCAACATCCCGCGCTCTGCTATCTGTAAAGAGCAAGCTCAGTGCGCTGGGAATAGTAAAGAACACGGCGCTGCGCGACGACGAGCTTCGCTCGCGTAGCCACGCCTACTGGTCTCACGAGGTGCGCCTCATGGGTGAGGTCATGGAGGAGAGGGACGTGGTGGAGGGCGTCAACGATGCACTGAGCAACCGTATCGACATTGGCACAATCACAAGGGACGCAGATGCGTATGCGCAGAATGTGCTGCAGCCATTGCAGCAAGAGCCGGCGGATGATGATAGTGATAGCTAGTATCTAGCCCGCCAACCCCTTCTTATCCCAACCAATCCACTGAGAAAGAACCTATTCATACAGAGAGGTCTATACCCTTCAAGGGCCTTCTTTGAGCCCACAATAAACACAGCTCGTACCCTTTTTTTTTGCTTCTTCAAAAACCGTCCGGAAATCTTGTGCCCATCCCATTATCCGCCCGTTTGGCCAGCTCCCCTCTCCCCTTGAAACATGCACCGTGTCCACCTCCCTTGTCTTGTGATAGCGTAACACCATGTGAACTCTCCCTAGTTTATTAATTTTTGGAATCTGGTCGCGCCGATTCCGGTCTTACAGGCCCTGTGGCGGCACTGCTTGAGCTTCCCTTTCTGCTCGGCGTGTCTCCTGAGCCCTCTTGGGCGCTGCGTTCTAGGAAGTTGGCCCATAGCTCTGACAGCGACTCCTTGTCCCTAGAGGATGATGGCTCCGAGAAGACGTCGGCGCTGAGCGAGGGCGAGCTGGGTGTTCGTGTGAAGGGGGACATGGGTAGGCGAAGACTGTTGGAGGCGCCGGGGCGGGCGAGGCCGGCCTGTTCGCGCTGCTCATCAGTCCAGTTAAGGTAGCCAGCCATGACTTGGAGGACCTGGAAGCGCTTGGCGTCGCCGCGGTCGAGAGTGAGGAAGTGGAGGAGGTGGTTGGTGACGATTTGTCTGCTCAAGGTTAGTACGAATCGTGACACATCCGTATGCGACATACCTATCGACATTGTCCTCCGGCTTGGTCTTTTTCAGGTATCGCAGTGCCTTGGTCAAGTGATCATTCAGCACAATGGCCTCGTGTCTCAGCTTTCCTATCAAGAGGTTCTTCTCCTTGACCTCCTTCTCGAACGGCGCTGTCCTCTCGAGCTCCTGAGTTAAGGACTGCTTGGCCGTCTCGGCCTCGGTGGCGCGGGCGTCGGCCTCCTGGACCAACTTCTTTAGGCCCTGCACCTGCTCCTCAGTCGTCTCGACCATCTCGCGCAGCTCCCTCTTTCGGGCCTCTTGTATCTCGCGGAGGGCGTTCTGTAGGTTGTCGATGAGGGTCGCCTGGCTATCCCGCTCCGAGTTGGCACCCTCGTAGCCCTCCCTTAGGGCAACGACCTGCTCCTCCAGCTCCGAGACCTTGTCGACGAGGCTCTCCTTGATGGAGCGCTCTTCCATGGCGATGACCTCCCACTCGCCCATAGCGTTCGCAGTCGTTTCCATCTCTTCCTTGAGGTGCTGTACCTGTCGGACGAGCTCATCCTTTTCCTTGCTCCAATTCTGCGCTGACAGGTTGTTGCGACTTCGGAGTGTGTTGAGCTCTCTTGTCGCATCCTGCAGATCCTCCTTCAGCTTGCTGACGTCTTCGCCGGACGACACGGCCGTGTTCCTGAGCTCGTCATTCTGCGCCTCGAGCTCTTCTATCCTCTCTTTAGCCTCCTCTAGCTCTGCCTTGTCGCGCCGTAACCTGTCGCTTAGCGTCTGCTTAATCTTCTCGACGCGGCCGAGGAGGTTCTGATACTGCTCCTCGGCCGACTCCTTTGCGGCGTTGCTCTCCTCGAGGTCGGCCTTGAGCTGTGTGACCTCGCTGGCGTGTGATTCCTGGATGCTCTCGAGCTGCCTCCTCAGCTGCTCGACCTCAGCCCGCAGGGCCTCTCGTTCCTGGCTCATGGCCTCTAGCTTGGCAGAGGTGTCTGAATCGTCGGGCTTTTCGCCATCAACCGTCGGGGGTGAGAGCCCGTTGCTCTTGGGCTCTACGGCATGCCCGTTGCTATCGGCGGGTACGTCTGCATCGACCGGAGTCTCCTGCAAGGGGATATAGGGTCAGCGCGAGGGTGCATTGGTGGAGGTGGACGAGGAGGGGGGTCATGAACTACTACGCACAGGCTGAGTGGGTGTATCTGGCTCCTCCGGGGTGCCGTCGGACGCTTGGTGTGGCTCAGAGTTGTTGGCGGGCTGCTCTTGAGCCTTGTTCTTGTTGGCGTTCTTCTTCTTGTTGTTCTTCTTCTTCTTGGACGAGGCTGCACGTGGAAAGAGGCGAGGCCCCCCATCATCAGGACACGTTCATTCTCCATCTGCGAGCGAGCGATTGGATTGATTTGCAGGGGGACAGGGGCCGCACGCACCTGAATTTGACGCCTGGGTAGGGTCTGTAGTGGGCGTGGACGACATGGTGAGGTTGCGATGCGCCAGTCAGAGGCATCGAGAGGGATCAATGTCGTGCAGAGATGCCCTCTTTTTCTAGTGTAGATGTATGCAGAGGGACGTGTACGTGTTAGGTACGCCTGTCCTCCCTGCGGTTGATGGTGCAGGTCAGGTAGATTGGGGTGGGTGGATGGATTCCAACACGTCAGCTCACCTACAACGGCATTTAGTGGATGAGCACCTGGAGCTGCCCTGGAGTTAGCGGGAGCGGGAGTACAACGGCCGCTGCCAATGTTGAGATACGGGCTGGTAATATCGGCTCGGAAATGTCAATTGCTTGGCGTTGGCCTTATTTAACTGATGCACGACTGAGATGAGGCATGGTTCTTGTGATGTGACCACATACGAGGGGTTTCCTGGTCTGTTATTTGAGCTAATGATGACCCATGGCATTGACTTTATGACACGAGATATCTCGACGATGGAGGGATCCTCTTAATGCTCGTACTCTATAGACGTCCGGAATTAGAATCATCTTTTTCATGTGATTTATATGCTTACTCTCATAACCAGATTCAGCAGCTGGATGAGCTATATTCTGCACATTTTCGTATCCATCCTCATCTTCAATGTGGGCCTTCAAACATCGTATCTCACCCAGGTCATTTACGGTGCTACATTACCTCTACCCCCCCGCTGTCGATCTTGAAAGATGCAGTCTTGGCTCCAATGTTTGATGCAAGATCTCGCGAGAGACATTTTGTCATTACACCATTCGACAGATAAAATGGTATTGTACCTGTTTTTGATTCTTCATCATGCTGGATGTGCAAAGTGTCACCTCGTATAACATCATCACGTGTGATTGTGAAACTCGTGTTCAACACTGTCAGATGTGCTTTATAAACAATTGGTAAATCTCCTGTTACAATCTGACAACGCTTCTAATTCAACACCTCAGGCTTTGCTTGGTAAACCACCTTACCCTGGCTCCAAGTCTGATATACCCTGGCCTCTAGTAGAGACTCTGGCGTCCACTGCGTATCCAGCGTCAAGAAATCCGCCCTCAGACCTGCCTTCAAGCTTCCAGTCCACTCCTCCGCGAAACGAGAGTACGCCGCGCCAGATGTAGCCGCAGTCACGGCCTGAGACAGCGTGAGCGCAGCATCGGCGTTGCATTTGGCGCTTGATGTTGGCTGGAGTGCAGACTTTCTCGTTGTGGCATTGTACAGGTTTGGGAACGGTAGGTGTCGAGCGGTTGGCGCGTCTGTACCGATGGCGACGCAGGCGTGTCCCTCAAGAAACTCACGGTAAGGGAAAGCCCTCTCCCATGTCGCAGGCCTGATGAGCTTGGCGTAGGCAGAGTTGAGTGAAGGATCACTGTGGACGGGCTGGATAGATGCTGTGATTCCCAGCTTACCGAGACGTCTGGCATCTTCAGCACTGGCAAGCTCCAGATGCTCGATGCGATGTCTTCCCCGGGGACTGTTGGCGCTGGCAATGCCGTCGATTGCTTGTGTGATTGCGGCATCTCCAATGGCATGTACCGCACACTGCATTCCAGCTTCAACAACCCGCTTGATGACTCTCTGTAGGGCGTCTCCTGGCCACAACGGCGGAACAATCTCCTTGCTCTTGCCGTATGGGTAGCTCATCGCCGCGGTACACCCATCCACGACACCATCACTTATGATCTTCACTCCAACGACGCAAAAGTCGGGCGACCGTGAAGGATGCCACTTCTGGTTCATGGCGATGGCCTCCTCAATGTGTTTAAGCTGCGCCTCTTCGTCTGACTCGTAAGGGATGAGCCAGTGAGCGGCAAAGTGAACGGGAAGACCCTTGGTTTTGCGATACTCTTCGAGTGCCTCCCAGTAGTTCATGTCCATGGCCATGTCGATGACTCCGGCGTATCCAGCCTCGATGTACGCTTCAAAGGCACTTTGTAGTGCAGCTTGCTTCTCTTCAGTCGTGCAAGCACCAACCAGATGAGGCCAGACAAACGCAGACACGGCTGTTTCAGCAAGCAGGCCAGTTGGATTTCCAGCCTCATCGCAGGTGACGTGCTCTCCACAGGTAGCCTTCATCTCTTCCACAGGCAGCTCTTTCAAGGCTGCTGTGCTTAGCCATGAAGAGTGTAGATCGAAAGCTTCGATGTAGATAGGACGGGGGTCCAGGTCGTCCAACCATTTGGCTAGACCCTCGCCGTCTGTGACGGATTGCATCCAGCCCTTGCATAGAATTCGAGGCACCTCAGGATGCTCCTTGGCGTACTTGGAGATGGTGCTCTGTATATCCTCAAGTGATGCGCATTGTGATACGTCCAGCTTCTTTAACGAGAGGCCAAAGAAGAGTAGGTGGACATGACTGTCGATAAAGCTAGGAACCACAACTCGGTTCTCTAGGTTGACGACATTGGCGCCCGCTTGTTTCGCTTGTTGTACGGGTTCATCGGTTTCCTTTCCAACATGGACAATCTTGGATCCATTGATGATCATGGAATCATGATAGACGGCATCTTCTGTTGCATCTTTTGCGTCACCAAACAACCTTCCGTTGATAAAGATTGTAGACTGTGTCATTGCTTGGGTGTAAGCGATTGATGAGAGCTGTCGTATTGAGGATTGTTGCGAGACTGTAGATGAAACAAGAATCAAGAAGACAGATCATAAACATTGGGTAGCAGAGCTTATAAGTACAAGATCCTCATACACATCGAAGCTTCCCATGAGGCATCATCCGTAAACGGAACCCCGCATAGAAACTTCCCGGCTCCCAGGAACGGATAACTAATTGTCTAGCCATGTTTGGGAGCTGTCTTGCATTTCGCTTCAGACATGTATACGCATATGCATTCCCCTCCAATAGAGATAACCTCACATGAGAAAGTCCTAGCCGTATCTAGTCAATATCTGTCACACCTTGTCAAGGTTTCCCCAGGGTCGCGAGTATTGACCTTCCAGGGCAAGAATAGGCGCGGGTATTCTTAGTCATCAATCTAGGTGGGACCTTGAAGTGATCCTCATTTGAACACTTTCTCGCGCCTCGCTTCCAAATTTTCTCTTCTTCATCTTACATCCCCTTCGCACATCAAATTTTTGAAAAAGACCATTGTATGCCGTGGCTTCTTCATAGTCTTGCGCGAAGTAGACAATCGATCGCCTTTCATAATCCCATTGCTTGCTCTTTTATTTCCTATGAGTGCTATGGGTTCGCTTATGTGCGTACATATCAACATCAAAACGTAGAAAAAGAAAACTTCTCTCAGACGAACATCGTGACAACTGGTCCAGACATGCAATTCATTATGGACTTTTAAACCCTATATCTATGTCGCTGAACTCCTAAATCATTGAACGATTCACTCAAGCCTTTGCCTTGCGGCCCTTTGCTTTTGTCCCCTTGGCCTTCTTTGCCTTGGGGGCTGGCTTTGCCTTGGTCTTCTTGACCTCGGGCTCCTCGACAACAGGCTCAGGCTCAGGCTCCGCAACCTCAGCGGGCTCCTCGACCTTGGGCTCCTCGACCTTGGGCTCCTCAACCTTGGGCTCTTCCTTGGGCTCTTCCTCGGCGGGAGCAGCCTCAATCGCCTTGACCTCCTCTCCGTTCTCAATGGCCTTGGGCGCAGGAGGGGGGACGTCCTTGATCTCAGGCGCCTCAAACTCGTAGCCAATCTCCTTGAGCTTGACAGCCTTCTTTGCTCGCCTGCCTTGCTCCTTGGAAACCTTCTTTGTCCAGCCAGCCTCAGTCAGGGGTTTCTGGAGCTGATAGCCGGCCATTTTGTTCCAGGGAACCGGCTTGAACCGCCGGTTGGCGCCCTTGAAGAGGTCGTCGTGCACCTGCTCCTTGGGGATGACTCGGCACTTGAGGATGTGTCCGAACAAAAGGTAGTTGTCCATGGTCTTTGCGACAATCTCAGCCGTAGTCGCCTCAGCGAACTTGACAAAGGCGTAGTGCTTGCTGGCACCCGTCTTCTTGTTGCGCGAAAGTCGGAGAGCCACAATGGTGCCAAACTGCTCAAAGTACTGTCTCATCTCGTGCTCGTAGAAACCGTGGGGGATTCGGCCGATGTAGATGACGCCAGCGTCCTCGTCGGCGCCCTCAGCGGCCTTCTGAACCGCCTTGGAGACCTTGGGGATCTTGCCGACATCCTGTCCGGGCTTGAAGACGACGTCGCCCTCAGTGATGTCCTCGTCACCAGAGTCCAGCTCCTCCACGATGGCCTTGACCTCGTTGCTCTCCTCGGCTTCGGACTCGGACTCGTTGGGGATGTCGAGCGTGGTGGTTTCCTCCTCCTCAACGACCTTGACCTCCTCGACGGCCTTGCTCTTCTTGGACTTTTGCGCCGGCTTCTCGACCGACTTGGCGGTGACGGCAACCTTCTTGACCGACCTTTGCTTCTTCAGTGACACGGGCGATCCATCTTCGGCGGCTATCGAGATGTATTAGAGACGAGAGGTGACTGCAATGGAGTTGGATGGATTTACCCTTCCGCTTGCCCTTGGCGGCCTTGACAGGCTTAGCAGCGCCGTTGGGCTTCTGCACGTCAGAGACGGCTAAAAATCATTAGCGCATGAAGATTGACAGACGTTCGATATACTCACACTTTCTTTTCCTGAGTTCTGGAGCCATTGTGTCGTGTTGTGCTTGCTGGAGGTACCTGCGCAAAAGCTGGACGGCGGCCGCAGAAAAAAAGATGGAGGCGTGGAAAAATTTGGGATTCTGCCGCGTCTGATGTGGGCGGTGAGAGACCGCCCACTATCAGCGCGGGGGTTGGGGTCCTTTAGTGGCTTGGTCCGCTAAAGGGTCGCCTGCAGCTTCTGGAGCTTGGTGATAGGCAGTCGACGCGACGACCAGACTTACACTTGGAACTGGCAACAATTTGAGTCGCAAACCAGTTCATCGCCCTTGTGAATACTGGAGATGAAGGTAATCTGAATTAGATAAGGCTCGTATATCCTCGTCGGTTCTATCAGCACCACCTCTAGGGCGCCCCTAATCACTTCACGACGGCATATTCTGGACCTGACAGTTGGAGCTCTTGAATCTCAAAATGTCGGCCAAGCAGGAGAACCTGACCCACGAGGAGTTGTGGGACGATTCGGCCCTCATCGACTCATGGAACGAGGCCTTAGAGGAGTACAAGGTAGGTGAGTCTGAGAAGATTGGAGAGCGTCTGCTAACGGCCGATAGAAATACCACAGCATTCACGCGAAAGGCGGCAGTGTTCGAGATCTGGAGTCTAAGAGCCAGTACGTTGTCTCGAGATAGCAGCACTGGTTACTCTACTGACATCTTTTTCTAGGGCTGCGACCAAGCACGAGTCTTCTCCTGATCGCCTTCAAGATGTCGAACTTATTCAGCCTGAGCACCCATCCACTTCTGCGCAAGAAGCTGTGAAAGAGGAAGTAAGCTATCTTGTAACCCCTTCCCATACTTTTTGACGTGAGGAAAACACAGAAATTATTCAGCAGCTAACTAAATAGACACCCTCATCACGCAACGAGCCTCAGGCTACGCCCCAAGGACTCCCCTCATTCCCTGTGCAGGCTGTTCTAGGCTCTGGTAAGTCAACCACACCCGCGAACACCTCTGACCAACGGCTAACAAAAATTTGCCAGTGCAAGATGAAAACCTCAAAAAGCTTCTCATGTCATGGTACTATGCCGGCTACTACACTGGCTTGTTTGAGGGTCAGCAGCAAGCTCAACAGAACCGGGGGTCTTGACTCGACACAATTGTTTTGTGCCCGAGGCATCCGAGTTCAGATACACTGGCAGCCTGTGTGTTGGTGAAATGAAGTTGACCAACAAAGTCGCGACTTCGGGAAGCCAGAGACTCTTGCAAACTCGGCTTTGGACGCCGGGTTGAGACACTACAACTTGGCTTACCCCATGGTGAACATGGGGTGTGTCAATCTCAACAGCCAGCGATCCGAATAGCGACCGGACTGTTGTTTAAATTACACGAGGAAAGAGGGTTTGGGGGTACATGGGTCATAATGGCGATATGGATGGCGAGGAAAGGCTTTGTGAGTCTTCTCCCAGCAATGATAGGAGGCAAATATTGAGTACATTCTGTGAAGGACACTGTAAGTTAAACTAGTAACCCCGAGAACAATAATATCGAAATCATGGGAGAAGTAACACTAAATTCCGGATAGGGCTTCGTATGTAGTCTGGCTGGGTCTGCTCCAGTAAACGGTCGAATGGCAGCGTACGAGGACAGAATTGATCGTGATGCTCGACTGACCCTCGACGTTCTACGAAGAATACATATGTGAACTGCGCGGGGCCCAGCACCACACTATGTTTGCACGCTGGTGCAGCGATGAACTATACCGGAGGATAAATGATGGCCGATTCTGCGCAAGCGAGAATGCTGGCCTGGGAGGACCGAGAAGGCTATTGCCGATCGCCGTATCATAGTCAACGACTTATCCTGGATCCACGATTGCTTGTCAGACCTCATATCGTGGCCGCTCAAGTCAACGGCTCCAGGTCTAATGACGCCCGTGGAAGACTGTCCGTCCTTGAGAGTGTCGGTAGAGATTGCTTGTATACAGGGAGCCACCGTAGAGGGTATACTCGCCTCAACCTAGAGCCTTCTTTCCTGCTCATATACGCAATAAAGGAATTGCATAAACCATCTCCGCCAAGACATGGAGAAGTGGGCAGCCGAGCAGGACATCGACATCGAGCGCTTCAGCAACTGGTACGGCGAGCTGGAGATTATGCAGGAGGATCTTGAGTCAACGAGTGAATGCATGACTGCCTTTATCAGCGTGTCAGATGGTCTAGCTAGGAGGGACGACATTACTGAGGTCACTCGGCGCTTGTTAGCCGGTAAGTGTGGACGGTGCCTGAGGCTTTACCCAAGTCAGAACCGATAGATGAATGGTGAGACGGAGACACGTGGGAATTGATCTGGTCATGAAGTTTACTCCTGGATGGGATGAAATGAGGGAGGGGCTGTTTAATGTGATGGCTGGTCAAGTTTGACTGAACTCGATCATTAATGGCGCACAACTATAGCAACGCGATAACACCTAAGAACGAATTTCTCATCAACTTTTGCAGTTTTGGGCGATATGTCCAATTGAAACTATAACAAACCTCGCTTAAACGGCTATTGTTGGCGACTCGCGTTGAAACACCATCTGTTCCACCCTAGCAGATCTAGACTTGGGCCCCCCTCTTCTCCCCCCCAGGCAAAAAATCGACCACTGCCGTTAAAGGCGACCTATCGGTTCGTTAGCTTGGAAACAACGGGTGAAGAGACTGCCGCCCTTGGCTTGTCGGAGGTGGTGTCTCACCAAAGGGGGACCTGGTCAACCTGGGGCGGGCTGATGCAACTCACACGGTGCTATTAGCCGGCCAAGGATACTACTCTGTAGTTGAGGCTACCCCAAGAAGTGCACGTTACTACCTCAAGACTCTTCTGTGTGGCGGCGGCCAAAGGGGGTCACAACTCAAAACACCAAGCCCAACTTCCGAGACGCTTCTGTCACAGCGGCCTCCCCCGCATCGCGAGCCCGTCTCGAAAAATTTACAATGGGCGGCGCTACGTGATCGGAGGCACCAGCAGCCGAACAGAAGCGAGGCGAGGCGAAGCAACCGGTTGCTGCAGTCGCCGTGTTTCGACCTGGGAAGGGGGTTGTCTTGCCAAACGATCTGTGATGGATATAAGTCTCGGTTGTTCCGCAACCTCAGACGAAATGTTTCTTCATCCTCTTCATCCTTTCTTGCAAGTTCTTCAACTTCCGCGTGCTTCATTCTTTTTTATCGCACTCGAGATAATTTCCTTCTTTACGAGCAGGCCCTCGCCTTTATTTGATCTCCTACCAAATCACTAGGTCTCGACAACCTATCTACTCTCCTTTGACAGGAACTGTTCTCCCTCTCCTTGCGCAAACTTTAATACCCACAAAAAAGACATCATGAAGTATTCCGCTGCTATCGCCATGGCCGTCGCGCCTCTCTCCATGGCTCGCTTCCTCGACATCTTGCCCGGTGGTCAGCTCGACCGACGAACTCACCCTGAACCGGAGAAGCAGGCCTGGTACCCCTCTGGAGATGAGTGGCAGGGCATGAAGGGCCACGGCATCACAAAGGACTCCAAGACCGAGATCATCATCATCTGGGCCAACCCCGGTAACGGTGCTGCTACCACCACCATCAACGAGAAGGTCACCGTCACCCAGACCGTCACCGCCGGTGCTGGCGGTGCCACCGAGGCCCCTGCAGGAGAGCCTGCTGCTACTGCTCCCGCTGAGCCTGCAAAGCACACCGTCACTGTTGGTGGCCCTGGCGGTTTGGTCTTCCAGCCTGAGGAGCTTGACAATGTGCCCATCGGTGACACCGTCATCTTTGAGTTCCTCGCCCAGAACCACACCGTCTCTCAGTCTGCTTTTGATACCCCTTGTGATATCCTCGAGGGCGGTATGGACTCTGGCTTCATGGCCAACCCCAACAACACTGTCTCTCCTCCTCCTCAAGTCGCCATGCAAGTTATGGTTGACACCCCTCTTTGTAAGTCACTCCCCATTAACGCATGTCAACTATAAGCTAACCCTCCCAGGGTTCTACTGCAAGCAGGGCAACCACTGCGGTCAGGGCATGGTCTTCTCCATCAACCCCACCGCCGAGAAGACTCACGCCAAGTTCAAGGAGATGGCCATCCAGCAGAAGGGTACGGGTGAACAGACCCCCATCACCGGCGGCAAGCCCGCTGAGCAGCCCGCTGCCGAGAAGCCCGCTGCCTCTCAGCCTGCTGCCGAACAACCAGCTGCTGAGAAGCCCGCTGCCACCGAGACTGCCAGCGCACCCGAGAACACTGGCTACGTGCCCGGCAAGGGTCAGCTCGGCAGCGATGGCAGCTGCACCTGCGTCGTGTCCTGCTCCGCCGGCTCGTTCCCCGCCGCCAACGCTCAGGGCATCGGTGCCTTTGGCGGCATGGCTGGTGGTCTCCCCATGAAGATGGCCGGTCTCAGCTAAGTTGGTGGCCGTTGTGAAATATGATACCAGGAAAGCTAGGGGTTTCTAAGGTGGACCAGTTTATGATTTAGTGTACCACTTATGGGATTTAGACGGTTCGGAAACTGTACGGGCGAGCCTAGATGGCTCTGGTTCAAATCTTCACGGGTATGAAGATGGGTATAACCGGCGAGTTTAGTGGGTAATACGACAAGTGTTTATGAATAGTCTTGACTCTTTTGCGTGAAGGTGGGACAAGTTCTAATATGGTATCTTTATTCAATTATCCAAGCGCTTGAGACTGTCCCTGATTGTGAGCATTTGTGAAGAAGCACGCAGTAGTAACAGTTCAACCCCTGATCACTCTGAACCAACATGTGTATACCAAGCAATTCGTTAAACTCCAATCTTGAACCATAAAAGCAGTGCGGAGACATCGGGAATTCGTGCGTGTTATCAAGGTCATGTCCTCCCCTTTAGCGCACTTGAAAGAGTATTGTGCCAAGCAATTGCTGAGGTTATCCAGCAACATACACCAGATTCATTGCATCCTGAAGATCGCAAAATGAGTGTTGACAAACTCGTGAACACCACGTGTATACATGTTCACCTAGTTCCATCACTAACTTCCCGGAACACCATTGAGTTCGTCGTCATCATGGATGACAGTCTTGTGGGATAGGTTTGGGAGACTCTGAATTATGGGCTTCAGGACCCTCGAGAGTCAGTACCTCGACTTTCGCAGCACCACCCACGTCTGGTATCACTTTAGCCTGCGCATGTCCCGGTCCAAAGTCGGTATCTGACCGAAGACCCAGATCGTCTCTTCGGTAATGATGGTTCAAGTACTTTAGTAGTATCTGGGGATCGTTAAGGGGCCTGAGCAATGAGCCGAACAGTTCAGGCGTGATGCGGTCTCAGCAATCCGTGCCCTGGGACACCCGGTAATCTCGAACGTGACGTCCTTTGAACAGTCGAACTCGGGTCGCCAGCGGCTGAGGATTCGGAAGAGGTATATGAGCGTCTCCGAGACATTTGATCTCTCATAGGAAAGAAACCTCATGTCGAATTTCTTGCGTGCTAGGTGGTCAAAGGCCTTCACGTCGACGTTGAGCCTGATGTGCTTGACGAAGCACCTCTGTCGACAGACAAATTGCTCAAAGTCGTAGAGAGATACTCGGTCGACGCAAAGGTGGCGGTAGAGAAGCCGTTCGAAAAAGATCTGCCAGGCTCTGCAGACGAGAGAGTACTGGGTCAGTGGGTATTTTGAGAACTTGGTTTTCTTTTTGGGTGCTGGATCATCGGCTAGCAAGTCGAGGACCATCAGTCGGAGCTCCGGCGGGAGTAGTTGCCAGGATTCCATGGTGTATTCCATGGTGTATATAGGTGCAATGTAATGGAGCGCCGAGCGTCTGATAGGTGATTCAGAATGCATGATGGAAGCGTGCAGGCGATGAGTTGGTCAGACAGCTATGGTAGAATCTACCACTTATATGTTTGACAGCGATTTTGACCTCTTCAAGTGGTCGAGAATTGTAAGGATGGTGGGAAGGCTCATGTTGGAGGGGAGCCGCTGCGTGAAGGGGGTTTTAACCTCTTCAGCTGGTCAAGAGGCAAGCTGTTCATTGTGAACAGAGCTGCTTTCAGCGTGTCATAGAAGCTATTAATGATGATATGCATAAACCTTGTTGATTTGAGCGCATTGAGACCTCAGGCTTTAGCCATAGAGCCTTTATTGTTGAGATTACTGAGATGTTAACTAAGGTACTTTGATCCCCATTTTGGGGGAGATAAAGTGATAAAATGCTATATTTGACACGTTCAATTAAAATCCGATACCACGTCTTAACAACCTGCAACCATAAAGCCGGAGGTTATTCTCTAGAGTTCATCAGAGCGACCGAGGCCTGAGTGTGCACGATTGACATGCTTTCAACGGCCCGCAACGTTAATACACAGACCCCAACGCTGAAAATAAGAGATGGCAGTTCTATCATTTGCTGAGAATTAGACTTGCCGTGAACGTGAGGCCACGTCGTTTAAATCACCGAAAAAAGAGTATAGAAACGCCAGAATGAGTCACATCGTAGAAAAAGATGTATTCAAGAGGCTAGTGTAGCTTTATCTTCCAAAAAGGTATCCCATACATTTGCACCACTTCGCCTATGCTGTCCAAAATTGATTCGTCTCGTCGTTGTACAAAAGGAGAGGCTGGTTGTCAAACATTTAATCATGCCCGCGTCTCGTCTCGGAGGTTATGGGAGAGGAGGATCGGTCGTCTGGTCGGGCAGGATGGAGTGTTTTTACAGCATGGTCGCGACATCTATTTCTTGTCCTCGGCAGCCTTGCGGGCCTCGGCTAAGCAAAACATGTTAGTCCATTGACTGTATGGGGGCTGGGCGTATATCGACGGTGTCTCGTGGGATTCGGTGATGGGGTGCGTACCGGCAGCCTGCTTCTTTCGCATGATATCGGCGTTGGCCTCCTTAGCATGCTGCATCTGGGTGCCGCTCATGTTGGTGCCAGACTTCTATAGAAGGTGCAAACAAAACCATGTTAGTCATGTGCTCGCTGATGACATTGGAGGCTGACAACGGACCTTCTTGGCCTGCTCCTTAAGGTTGGCCTGACGAGCCTTTTCACGCTGGTTGCCGCGAGCCATGCTGATGGACACAATAGGGGGGTTGATTAATACAAAACTCGTACAATGGTAAAGATCTAAGGGTGATGGATCGTCAAGCTGTCGTATTCGAGCGAGAGATGGGGGGAGGGAAGAAGAAAAGAGGTGAAACCAGCGGTCGCGACACCAGAGGCGAGACCGTCAGATATAACCTGGGCGACAAGAGGTACCCCCGTACCCATACCCAAGCCAATGGGACAAGGACGGGAGGCTGTGTCCTTGCCCGGTTTGGCTGAAGATTTTGGCAACGGGCCAATCGGAAGGTCAGCCACTGGAGGCCTGAGATGCCCTCAGCATTGGGGCTGCGCGCTCGGTTGACCCGGGGTACTTTGCTCTGCCTGGTGACTCGCATACAAATCCATGTACCCCGTGTCAGCCCGCGAACCCCCACCCGAGGTTTCGCTTACAAAAAAAACTCACCTCATAGATGAATTCTTCCCTCCCAAAAGTATCATGACTTCAAGGGAGCATCATCAACTGCTCTGTTTGTCATCTCGGTCATTCGCGTATATTTGTCAATTCGCTCCGATTTCATCGCATCTCTTATGCCTAAGACGGAAGAGCCTGTTACCCACATTCCTATCCCATCTTTCCCACAAATATCGAGACATCCTCCACTCGGAAAATGTGTTCGCAAGAGTATCTGCTCTATTCTTGTGGATGTACTCTCAAGGGTGAATTCAGCCAATGTGACGAAAAATACAACGCGAGGAGCATTCTTCAGTGTGACAAGACGGACCGAAAGGAGAAAAGCCTACGAAGCTATTGCCCAAAACACCTTATCAAGGAAAGCAAAGCTTCCGAGGCTGTGATAAACATGCGGCGGCAGAGTGGCTAGTTATATAGCCTAGCCGTGTGGACCTAGGAAAGAACACTAGCACAAAAAGGCACCGGGCACATGTATTCCCAACTACAAACACCAAGCAATTTCCATTCCCGAACTTCCTAAACGAGTAGACGCCCAAGGACTGGTTGAGCGCGGTGGTGTAATAATCATGAGATCATCAGCGGCCTCGTGAAGAACGGCCTGGGCTGCGGGTTGTTCCGAGCCCGGCGCTTACAAAAGTCTTTGTCAAAAATAGCATCGATTCGCGGTTACCAGCTGGATGGACAAGCGCCTGGAGTCGACCCGCGCGGCCGAGACGTAAGCGACCAACAGGACACGAAAACGAGAGTCAAAATTACCTACCAAGCTGAGATTAACTCTAAAAACAGATCAAAATTGGGAGAAACACTAAGTATTGTGGGAGTTGGATAGAAATTAGGTATTCAGAACGATTCCAACGGGCGCCTAATTTTCATTAGGTACCTAGGTACCTAGGTAAGGTAGGTAGGTAGGTGATCCCATTCTAGTAGGGCTGGTCTTCAACACCAAACAGTTCTTTGAAACCGAGACCTCGTGTTCCGGTCACAAAACGGATGACTCCTAACAGCCATGAGAAAAGCTCAACGGCCAACTTAGAGCCTCAGGTCTTATTTGTGCATCATGTCGAGCTTCGTGGCACCCAAACGTCCCCCGCGTGTGAGTCGCAGGTCCCCGGAATCTCATGTTCTTCAGTGGCGTGCCACCCCTGTATGCGGCTCACTGCCAGGCCACTTAGCGCTGCCCACGCGGTCCACCTCTGGGCTAGAAGAGCTTCTGAAACGACGTTTTGAAACTGCTCGTCCAATCATTCCCTCCTTCAACCCTGGTCTTGAGATGCGTAGAGTAGCAAACCATCCAGCGACGCCCGCCCAAACATCAAGAGTCGAGCCGCTCGTTGATGAAATCGCCCAAGTCCCAGAGTTAGGCGCTGGCCTGGGTCGACTGGCCCAAGTCGCTGCGACCTGTTGCTGTCCACCCAAGGCACCTCCGTCCCTTCTAGTGAAGTGAGACGGACCTCTCTGTTGGGGAGCGCGTCCTGGGCCTGATATCGCGGCCATGAGACAACAGAGCTGGAAGTTTCTTTCATCCTCTGACAACAATACGGGCCCGAGTGGAGCCTGACACCTAGAATGCACCTCAGAACGAGTCGATCTGGACGAAACGGCGAATCGCGATGCGCCCCTCCACATCCCCCTCCACGCGACACCTCCAAGACTCTGCTTCAGCTGCTGCTTGGTTGACACTGGCGAGCAGGGATGGGGACGCCTCTTCTGCATGCCCGATTTACCCAACAAGGGCGCGTCGACACTGATGCACAATACACAGCTGTTCTTAAAGGCTGCATGAGCCTGCCCGTTCTGTTCAGTGACAGTCAGCCCTCCCTCACTTCCTATTGTTCAGTTCTATTCAAAGCCTCGACAATGGTGTTCAGGAACCACCATTGACGCCACTTTTTTCAATCATTCAAAACTTCCCCTTTCGCTTCTATCGTCATTGTTGGAATATTGACCTTTGGACTGGATCCGTCATCAATACTTATTGCTCTCTTTCAGGCACTTTTCCCCTCTCGCTCTCAAAACCCCTTTCTTTCTTCCGATCTCTTCCTCTCTCCTGATCACTCTCTCTTATACAAACATCAGCTTCACCAAGAGAACATCACTGCTCACGCAAACGCTTCCTGATTCATTCTCACCACCAAGGTCATTTGGTAAGAGCCCATCTGTGAGCTCCTTCTTCTTGTGCTTGTCACTGACTCCTTCTTAGAACCGCACCTTCGCTCCCTCTCTTCAGCCCAACGAGATTCGTTCACGAAGAGCATCTATCAAAATCATCCACATCTCGTCGATCAACGCCAATCGACCAAAATAACACACCACTTTTTCTTTACCAATCTACTACACCCATCATGTTTGCAGGCCTCCGTGGTCCGGGGATGATCTTCCTCCAGATCCTCCGCGGCTTTACCATCATCGGTCTCCTCGCCGCTGTCGTGGCGTGCTGGACTCTTATCATCAAGATCGACACTTCCAACGGATGGTTCTTCTTTGACGCCACCTCTCTCTTTTTCACCAGCACGGCCGCCGTCTTCCTCATCGTTTCCGAGCTTCCTATTGCCAAGTCGTACTTCCGTCAGACCTGGCCTGTACTTTCCGAGCATCATGGCCTTACCTGGCTCGGTGTCGCCATGATCCTCATCGGCTGCAACGTCCTGGGAAAGCTGAACCAGTCCGCCAACTCTGCCGACAACATCGGACTCCCATTTTGGCGACTTGTTCTGGCTGCTGGCATCCTCAGCCTCACCTTTGGTGTCGTGAACATCATTGCCTCCCTCATCTTCCGCGATTCGGCTAACGGCATCAACGCTCGCATCGTCCGAATCGAGGGCGAGCTTGCGACTAGCCGCGATGACGAGTCTTTCCACAAGCCCATGTCCAGCCACAGCAGCTCCCTTAATGAGAAGCCTCGTGCTAAGTTCATGTCGGTCTTTTGGAAGAACCGTGGCGATAAGAACGCCTCCACTAGACCCAACATTAGCCAGCCCATCTCTCGCGACGTCGATGTCGAGCGCAACGCAGGTCCTCACTTCGACCACAGCCACATCAACGGAGATAACGAGTACGAGGAAGAGCGACGCAGCCCCATCGTGCCAACCGTTCGACGCCCCGACACTGCCCTCCACCCCATGAACAGTGGTCGTCGCAGCAGCTATTACTCTGAGGCGCACATGTCGCGGTTCTAGGAGGACAAAAAGAACGAGCTTGGCGAAGAAGAAAGACCAAGCATGCAGCAAGGCTCAGACTGGGAAGAAAGCGAGGCAAGCACGGAGTCAACACTCGTTGCATGGAGACAATGAATGAACAAAGAAAGGCGTTTGGAAGCAAGCAGGGAGTCTGGCTTAATGTTTTAATGAAATACCCAGCGGCTCGTTTGGGAAGGACCATCGGATTTAGTTACGGCTTGCTTTGTCCTTGCCAACAGTTCTTTACTAGTCACCTTTACAGAAAATCGATCGTTCTGAAAGTTTTTGTTCGCTTTGTTAATTGTCGTGATATCGTGAATGGTGCCCAATGGTGGTGTGGCCGTGGAATGTGAGGCGATGATGCCGATCTAGAACAGGTACGTACCGGCAACTTCGACCCGGGAGTCACGTGGATGGGCGCCTTCCAACCTGCGGGCAACGACGGGACGCTTCGTCAAGAACCCAAACTCGTTTCTCTTCCCTCCCTCACATCATCACCGACCGATCACCTTGTCTTGTCACGGGCCTTAATTCGACACCTCGGCCAATACAGCAAACGCGTGACAAGGTTTCCCCTCGACTCATCACCTCAGATAGACTTGGCGTGCGATTTGCAAACAGTCCCTTCGACACGCGACACCTTTGACTCCCCAAGGTCAGCAAAACCCGATAAGCGCCTGTTCGGATCCCGTCAGAGCTTCTCTTTGTCTTGATCGCAGCGCTGCGCACTCGAGAGCCCAAAACAGGCGTGCGCGCGCGTTTATACTGGTGACGTCGGGCTATGTCTGCTGGTTCTTGATTGCAGCGTTTGTTCGTTCGCAAGGGTTGCTCTGGGAATACTGGTACTGGTACTAGGGCTAGACGAGCTGTGCGCGTGCCGTGCCAGGAGGGAGATCTTGTTTGGGAATAAACTTCTGCAGATTAGAACGCACTGTTGTGCCTTGCACCGGAAGCTTCTGCCCCCTGCTGCAAGATCGTTTGGGCGTCTGCTTCTGGAGATATCTTTGTTTTCGCCTTTGACCACTTTCATTGTTGCCACCACTTGGCCTTTTCCCCCTTCCTCCAGACATCCTCTTTACATTCGTACCAATCTCTTTTCTTCTGTCTTGCAACTTGATTCACGCCAGATTCATCCATCATCATGACTTCGGATTCTGCAGAGGTCGCGGAGGATTACCGCCTCGCGCTGGAGGACCTCTCCTCCAACATGCGATTCGAAATCAGCAACTTGACTACTATTGCTCGCGAGAATACTGAGCATGCGCTGGCGATTGCCGAGGTTTTGCAGCAGCACATCTTGAAGGTAGGCAGACCTCTCATGCCAACGACTCGTCTAGATTCATGCGATATTTTTCAATCTCTTGGTGATACAAGGCTAACTTGCAATGGTAGGCGCCCCCGAATAAGAAATTGCCAGCTTTATACGTACTCGATTCGATCGTCAAAAATGTCGGAACGCCCTATACTCTCTACTTCGGTCGCAACCTCTTCAAAACATTCATGGAATCATATGCGGTAGTCGACCAACCTGTTCGCCGCAAGATGGAGGAGATGCTTCGGACGTGGAAGGAGCCGGTTCGTGGATCAATGGACAGCAGGCCTGTCTTTACACACGAGCTGGTGCGTCCTATTGAGAATGCGCTCATGAAGGCACGAGCGGCAAGTATGCCTCAGCCAGGAATGATACCTGGTCGTCCACGTTCGGCAATTCCTCATCGTGATACTCCTACACCTCCTGGAATGCGAGGGCAGCCCGGTTATCCAGCTCAGCAATACCCTTCGAACGGAGGGCAGCCCTTCCCAGGCCAACAGGTAAGTTGTGTATCCATAGTGACAAGGCTCAAGCTAACTCTTTGCAGCCCCCCTATTACCCCCCTCACTCAACACCTCAACCTAACAACTCTGCCCCTGCACCTTTCCAAGCTCCCTATCCCGGGGCGTACGGGGTCGGTGGGACGCCCACCCCCGCTGGGATAAGCATAGAAACATTGAGCAATGACATTCAGAACCTGATTGTGGCGATGCAGGCAGAAGCCTCGCGGAATCCTCAAGATGCTAGTGTTCAGACCAGACTAAGAGCGCTGCTGGACCTCCAGGGCATTGTGAAGAGCACTAGCTTGCCTCCGGACCAGCTCGAGCTCATTAAGAACAAAGTAACTGAACTTGCTGCCGTAAACATGATGGCGCCATTGGCCCAGAAACCTACACCTACACCAACTCCTCCCGTACCCGTCCAGGCACGTCCAATGCCTCCGGTGTCCGTAGCCCCTTCATCAGCCCCCGCGGCTGCGGCACCGGGAGGTGTGACGCTCGACTCTCTGTTGGGCAAGGGTGCGTTGGCGGCCTTGATGGCCAGGCAGTCAGCAACGCCTCAGAACTCGACACCAACACCACAGCCTCCAGCGTATGCCAATGTGGCCATTCGATCACCACCTCCAGTTCATGCTGAGCTTCCAAAGCCGGCACCGGTACCGGCAACCGGGAGTGCGATGAGTCTCCTGGATCAACTTCGACAAGCAGGTTTGCTTCCACCGTCATCTGCGCCGGCTGCTCCTGTTGCGCCGCCCCCAGCACCGATTGTCCCTCCAAACATTGCAAGCCTACTGGCCTCGAGCAAGGCAGCTGGCATGTTGGCAAACTTCAACGCTCCGCCCGCTGGTGGTATCAATGTGGCCGCTTTGAAGCAACCGTGAGTCTTCCGTATCAATATATTCGTTGTAGTGACTAACACCCATTTCTCACCAGATTCCATCCTTCTTTAGTTTCACGTCTCCATGACGAACTTGGACCTCCTTGCACGCAGTGTGGCAGACGATTCCGAACTGATGAAGAGGGCAAGAAGAAGAAGACTGCCCATATGGACTGGCATTTCCGTGTGCATCAGCGAGCCAACGAGGCCGAGAAGCGAGGCATGCACCGGAGTTGGTATGTCGACCAACGTGTAAGTTTCAACCCATCCTGGTTGCTGTAAACCATTACTAACAAGAAACAGGACTGGCTGAAGTCGAGGGAAGCTGTCGACGTGGACCATATCCCTGGGCCAGACGAGGTGGCAGCACAGGCTTCGAAGGCGTCAGAGGCCGCCAAGCCCAAGTATATTCCTGTGCCAGAACCGTCGCGTGGGATCAACACCGTGTGCCCGATTTGTCAGGATCGGTTTGAGAACAAGTGGCTTGACACTGCGCAGGAGTGGGTGTGGCTGGACACGGTCTTGGTAGGCAACCGGGCATATCACGCCTCATGTCATGCAGAAGCAACAAGAGACCGTGAAAGCACACCTGGTCTGGGACGAACACCAGAGCCGGTGCTTGGAAAGCGCAAGGCGGAAACGAGTATTGCATCACCCAAGGTGCGATCGCTGAAGACGTCAGCTTGAGGAGGGATCATCATGTACCCCTATTACGACCAAGACTGGTGGGATATTTTTGGCCAGGGCGATGTGACAAGACTTGCAACATTGCGACAGCATCGAGGCAGCACGAAAAGGCGTTATGGGATGCATTACCAACAAGCATGAAACGGACGGCGGGCGGTCAGCTGCACCTCAGAGGTTTCTAGCATTGGGAGTTGATTTTATTCATGGAGAGGGGGTTGATGCGAAATAATCGGATGGAATGATTTACGTGGTGGATTGAAGAGAGCGGAGTTATACGAGGCGAGAACTCGTTCAAAAGAGAGAATAAACAGACGTTGACATGAAACTACTGAATGGACCAATGAGCTCTGTTTATGGCGGTTGCCTTGGGGGCAAGGTGATCTAGCTGAGGTTGTTAAGGAGGCTTGGTACTCAGCCAGCCAGAGAGAGCCTTCATCCATTCTTTTACCTGCTTGAACCCTGTTGCTGAGGTTTGAGAGGCTGTATTGGGTTGCTGCGGATGGACGAGCATGACATGAACCTGCATGTTTTGTATGCAGTCATAGGGGGTGGAAAGGGAGAAGAAGTGTACAGAATCATGTAAATAAAGGTCTGTGATGTGGATTTAGGCCTCCATTGAATGAATACTCATCTATTCACTCTACCATCCAATATTTCTTCCCTCACGTCACATTCGAGTCTTCTCCTTACACTAACACTAACAATACCGAATCTGTGGAGCCGAAAGCGGCCCGCCTCTCATGGATTGGTCCCCGCGATTCGGTACGTATCATTGGCGCGTCTGCGTCCCGTCCCTGACATTTTACAGCTGCAGCCAAAATTCCTACGCATCGCGTCACTCGAGCTTCAACACCTCCTCCACGAGTAACAGCAACAAAACAACCACCACACAAGACGGCAGCCGCAAAGTCGCACAGCATCTACACCCTCGCCTTTCGTCATCCGGCGATCGGCAAATCATCTTCTCCCCGAACCATGCCCGTCGACTGTCCCATCTGCAACCAGTCCGTAAGGTCGTCCGACATCAACGGCCACATCGACTCGGGCTGCGAGAGCTTCATAGTCGACAAGGACAAGGTACCTACTCCGCCACAGTCGCAGACACCTCAGCCGGGATCGCAAAAGCGCAATGCTTCGAATTTCTTTTCCACGCCCGCCCCGAAGCGACAGGCTGCTTCTGAGAATAGGGTGTCGACGCCTGTAAAGGGAGCTCTGCAGCCGATAACGGGGAGGAAGAGGACTTTTGAGGAAGGTCCTGGGGCTGGAGCGAGTCAGAAGACGGAGAATGCGACGAATGGCAACGAGAACGTGACGAACGGGAGGACAGAGCAAGATGGAAGAGCTATGAAGAAGACAAAAACACAAAGGGCAGCTCCCTTGGCAGAACGAATGAGGCCACGAACACTCGACGATGTTTTCGGCCAAGACCTCGTTGGGCCAAACGGCGTCCTCCGTTCCCTGATCGAGTCGAGCCAAGTCCCATCCATGATCCTCTGGGGCGCCTCAGGAACAGGCAAGACAACAATAGCACGGTGCATCGCCCAGATGGTCGGCAGCCGCTTCATCGAGCTCAACGCCACTAGTACAGGAGTCGCCGAGGTCAAGAAGCTCTTCCAAGAGGCGGCCAACGACCTTGCCCTCACCGGTCGCAAGACCATCATCTTTTGCGACGAGATTCATCGCTTCAACAAGGCACAGCAGGATGTCTTTCTCAAGCCTGTCGAGGCCGGCACCGTGACACTCATTGGCGCGACGACAGAGAATCCGTCTTTCAAGGTCGCTGCTGCTTTGCTATCTCGATGTCGAACTTTCACTCTCCAGACTCTCACCACCGAAGACGTTGTCAGTATCCTTCAGCGCGCCATTCGTGAGGAGGAATCCGTCTATCCTTCTACACCACTCCTCGACGAAGCCATGATCACGTACCTCGCTCGCTTTGCAGATGGTGACGCCCGAACCGCTCTCAACCTCCTCGAACTTGCACTCTCCCTTACAACCAGAGAGGGCATCACGCAAGCCGACATCAAAGCTGCCCTCACAAAGACTCTCGTGTATGACCGCGCAGGCGACCAACACTACGATACTATTTCTGCCTTCCACAAGTCTGTACGTGGAAACGACGCCGATGCAGCCCTCTACTACCTCGCGCGTATGCTCCAGTCTGGCGAAGATCCGCTCTTCATTGCCCGGCGCATGGTTGTGATCGCCTCTGAGGATGTTGGTCTCGCGGACAACACACTTCTCCCCCTAGCAACCGCCACATATACGGCGACCCAGCAGATTGGTATGCCCGAAGCGCGCATCCCTCTCGCCCACTGTACTGTTGCGTTGTGTAATGCGCCCAAGAGCACCCGCGCCTACCGTGCCCTCAACAACGCCTACGCCGCTCTGCGTGAACCTGGCGTCGCAGGTCTACCCGTACCCCTACACCTGCGCAATGCGCCAACACGACTCATGCGAGATCTCGGGTATGGCGCCGAGTACAAGTATCCCCCGAACTATCGCGACGGGCAGGTGAAGCAGACATATCTACCAGACGAACTTATTGGACGACGATTCCTCGAGGAACGAGATTTAGGAACAGAAATTGATCCCGACTTGGAGATGGCCGGCACATGATGCCGTAACTTGTGTAAAAACGGAGTAAGACAAGCGTAGGACAATTGCATTGCATTGGAGTAAGGTTGGGTTTGGATATCCCTACATAGGTTTTTGTAATTATAGTATAAGCCCTTCAGGATAAAGGCGAGGCATCAAAAGTCATAAAATGTACAGATATAGCAAGTCTATTTGTAACTCCCTTTTCGTATGCATGTCATGAGGAATATGCTGCCTTTCAAAAATGCTAGTATCGTGATATCCTTCGCAAACGCCATGATGAATAAACCAGTTCCTCCAACGCCATCACCGTAATGCAACCAATGCCGCTTGTATCATGTATCCATTCCATTCCATTGTTCAATCCTCTTGCGTCAAGTCTATAAATCCAATATCGCTCACTCGTACCACACTCGCTTTGATGCCCCTGCGATTTAGAGCGGCTGTCTCCCTAGCCAGCCGCTCATCACGCTCGTTGGCGTCCACCTCGACCTCTTTGAAGAAGCCCACGTCACTGGCCCGCGGGATGAGTAACTTCTTCTTCCGCGCGGGGGCTGGACTAGGGCCTGCATCTCGCTCTTGCGGGATAGATGGCTGATGCCGCTTAGTGGGGGATGTGGGGGAGCGTGAGATGAGTTCGGAGAGGGGCACGAGGCCATCAGAATCGCTGTCAAAGGGATCGTCGTCAAAGGGGTCAACATCTTTTGACTGGACTGAGGCCTTGGAGCGTGGAGGTGGGAGCTTTGGGGGAGATGGCTGGGAGTTTGAAATGTCAGTCTTGGACCTTTTGGTAAACATGTCCATAGATGTTTGCTTCATCTTCGTAGGTTGAGACCCCTGAGACCCCTGAGACAAGTTCGATAGCTTCGGAAGCTTTGAGCCCCGCGCCGTATTCCTCACCCTCTTCGGAGAGCCATCCGAAACAAGGATTGAGCGTACAGTATCAGGGAGCTCCTGAGCACGAGCCCGAGGTTTTGGGGACGGGGACCCGGGAGGTGAATCCAGCGGGCGGACGGGGCTAGATGTGATGAAAATCGCTTCTTGTTCATCTGCTGGAGGAGGATTTCGCGGCCTAGGCATCACTTGTGAGCTGCCAAGTGTCCAAGGGGTCGTCTGCCTGGCGGGGCTGCCCAAGGTCGAAGACGTGGGTTGGTGCTTACTTGGCTCCAGGGGGGAGGGTATTCGGAGACGTCGCTGCGGCCGGGTCGGCGATGGTCTCATCGGTCTGGCGAGTCCGGCGTCCTCCTTTGTCGTCGTCACTGGAGCAGGTTGCGATTTCGAGATTTTAACGTATTTGTCAAGGGCACCGGCGGGCATTCCAGTCTTGGCCTTGGTTCCAGAGGTCTTGGTACCGGACTTGGACTTTGTTGTGGTATTCTTCCTTTTTTGAAGAGCCCTTTCTCGAGCATTGTGCTTTAGCTCAGCTTCGGCAACAATCTCTGGCACGCTCCTCCTGGCTAGCACCTCCAACGCCCAAATACCATAGCGCTCTGAGGGATCAAACGGCTTAGACTTGGACTTGGAGCCCGAAGCTTCCTCAATATTCTCGGCCTCGTCGATGTCGTCATCACTGTTAAGTGCCAACCCGGTTCGGCCTTGAGTAATCGATTCGTCTGCTTCCTTGGAGAGATCGATTGGTATCATCTCCAGAGGAATATGCTGCATGCGAACTTCAGGAACGAGATCACTCATAACGTGCGATCTAAATCCCGTGATCCCCTTGATGTAGCCAGCATCGTCGTAACCGCCCGCGTCAAGCAGCTTGTTGATGAGCACGGCATGGGAGAGGACCCGAATAAACTTGATCGCGCCTATTCGATAGTCCCAGCCAAATATCTCGCGTGTGAATTCTCGCAAATCCTCGATTTGGATCTCTCGCTCTTGGTAGATGTTGTCGCGGATTTCCCCCAAACTCGACTCTGGCGAAACCACAGGATGCGTATAGTAACGTAGAATCTTGAAGTCGGGAAAGGTGTCTGGGATAACCAGCGCCTTGTTTCGTCTTTTAAAGAAGCCACTTTCATTGGTACGGAGCTCGTGTACCAGCGACTTCTTCCAGGCCTGGATCCCTTCCTCGTCTGACGCTTTCAAGCGACATAGACTCTTGCCAAAGCCTCCCTTGGCAGCCTCAACGGCGACCTTGGGTCCGCATCCTGCGATTCCAACAGGATCGTAGTCGCCTCCGCTCATGAGGGCGACAAGGACCATGCCTTCTCGGTCAAGGCCTTGTTCGACCAGACGCATCTCTTCTTTGTCGATGAGTGACACATGTGTTGGACACGTTTGGCGCTTCGATTGCGGAGACCATTGCCGCAGCATCTTCGTGCATCCAAACATCAGAGTGTCGACATCCTCGCTCATGACGGCGTCGACAATACCGTGCTGTTGCAGCAGAGCGCACTCTGCTTCTGCCTCGCCCGGCGCATCGTGAATGGGGAATCCAAACAGATGGATTAATCGTTTCGCTTGAGCATTCGATAAAGCGTCGCCTCGACCGGATCGCTTATTTCGCTTTATTTTGGGCTTGTAGGGGCCGTCGAATACAAAGACGGGCTTGATGGGCGCTGCCAGAAGTCGAACGAGACGGTAGAAGAGGGTTCGAATCGCAGGGTTGGTGCCGCCTGTAGCGTTGTCAGAAAAGCATATTGTAATATTGTTGTGAGAGTTAAATACCTTGAGCTACCTGGCTCTGGAACTGCCAAATAGCAATGTCAATGGCGATTCGAAAGGGCCGGCCCTCGTGGACCAGAGTATCGGCTGCAAGCTTTGCAAGGGCGACTCGTCTGCCCTCGCCGATCTCCTGGTAGATGCTGCAAGAGTCAGCAAGGCATACCTGGCTATGCAGAAATCAATATTTACCCCTTGATTCCCATCTGGCTCACAGAAAGCCCCCGAAGCGATCTGCTCACGGCATTCGAGGTCGATGATGTAGGTGAAGATTCACGGTGCAGCGCTGCCCCACGTCGCTGCGGTTACCAAGTCGGCGTGTTTTCTTTCTTATCGGCGCATCGGCCTCTCAAACGCCGACACCGACTTCAACACCCAGGCTCTACAGGTACAGGCACCCACCAACCAGCATCTTGCATAAAGCTGTACCCAACAAAGAGCATCGCATCACCATCAACCTCGAGTAAAACACGCTCAGAATCAAAGAGGACAGCCTGGTAACATACTCTTACTACCATGGCCTCGGGGGCAGGTCCTACGCTTGCTCATCGCAGCGTGGCCAGCATCCGAGGAGGTCCTCCTCAGGGGTCAGGCCCCTCCACTCCACACACCCCAAACCGCTCCATCACTTCCACCTACGGTTCACCGTCCACCATACGAGCTGATGACGATGTCATCGTGATTGAGCTGGGGTCACGCCACATTCGGGTGGGCTTCGCCGGCGACGCCTCCCCCAAGGCCACGCTCCAATGCAGTCCTGAAGATCAACGCCGTGCTGGCGACTATCGAGGTTGGGAGCAACCGAGACGGCCACCTGGGTTGGAGTGGTCCAAGGAGCATGAGTTTTGGCGGTTTGATCTGCGAGAAATTGATGTTGGCCTTTTTCAGGACAAGTTGGAGCGCGTTGTGCGAGATGCATTCACCAGGTATTTCTTCATCAAACTTTGGTTGATCCTCACTCACTCTCAGTCTAGATACCTACTTGTCGACTCTCGGCCTAGAAGGCTGGGCCTAGTCTTGGATTCCGCTGTCCCGGTGCCATTACTAACAGCTGTACTGGACACCATGTTCAACAAATTCCAGGCTCCTACTATTTCTCTCATGTCAAGCCCAGTCATGTCCACAGTCGCCGCTGGCGTCCGATCTGCCTTGGTCGTCAACCTGGGATGGTCCGAGACAGTTGTTACCAGTATTTACGAATATCGAGAAGTCAAGAGTACACGAACTATTCGAGGAGGAAGGACACTCCTCGACTCACTCTACGAAGCTATTCAGCCATTACTCCCGGGGGAACATGACGACAAGAAGCAAAGATCCATCACGTTTGAGGAGTGCGAGGACATTATGTGCCGCCTAATATGGTGCAAGTCCTCTGAATTCAGGTCATCTCAAAGACAGTCGACGCAATTAGAAACTGTGGACGAGCAAGAAGAACTCGAGGCCGAGTCGGCACAGGCTGGTGTTCCTACTGGAGTTGCCCAAATACCCATCACCACTGGCACCCGGCCGACAACGATAGAGGTCCCTTTCGAAAAGCTGGCCGAGATTTGTGACGACACCTTTTTTGACCCTTCAGCGAACCGAGCAACCTTCGATGATCACGACCTTCCGGTGCACTTGCTCATATACCGCCATCTTCTGCAGCTTCCGATGGATGTGAGGGCAATCTGCATGTCGAGGATCATGTTTACAGGCGGCTGCTCAAATATCTTGGGCCTTAAACAACGAATTATTGATGATCTGTCAGCTATCGTCGATAAGAGAGGCTGGGAACCTGTCTTTGGCAAGGTCGTGGATCAGCGTCGAAGCACTGTCAGACTCAACCGACAATCCAGCAGTTCATCCCCCAGTGACGGATCCTCATCACCATCGCAGTCCGGGGAGGAAGTGGAAAAGCCTGTCAAGACTGCTGCTGATACCAAGCTTGAGTGGGATCCGATCGGAGCCAAGGTCGCACGACAGCGAGACACGACACCACAGATGAAAGGCCAGATCCGAGTGCTTCATTCTCTCGGACCATGGATTGGGGGTAGCCTCCTCTGCCAGCTCAAGGTGCCATCAATAGCCATAGTTGATCGTGAGATATGGTTGCAACAAGGTGTACAAGGAGCCTCTCGGCCGACGGAGGTGGACCTCAAGGCACAACAGCGACAAAGCATGCAAGCTGGTGGTTACTCTCGAGGCGCTGGAGGACACCACGGCAATTGGACATTGGGAACATGGGGATTCTTGTGAGAAAGCATTGGTGTTTAGAACTTTAGATGTGGAAGCTGAGATGTCATGACATGAAATGAGCTTTATTATGAACGAGTCAAAGCAAAACGTGTTGTGCAGGTCATGAGTTGAGAAAATGAGAGATTTACTAGACACATCAACCATTGAGGAAGGACCAATATACCCCATTAGCAAACAAGATTGAATTTAATTTACCTCATCTCATCTCTTTAGCCCGACAAGATTGGCTCACGAAATGTCAAAACTTCATGATGTCCGAGGCTTGGCCTTGACGATAGTCGGGGTCGGATCGGCGCCGGGCTCGGGTTATTGCATAAGCCGAGTTCCATCGTCGCATGGTCACCCGCCAAAGCTTCGGGGAGAGCCGCAACTACCTCTAGACCTACGTCAAGCCTTCGAATCTCATTGAGCATTGAGGTTAAACCAAGCCCAACCATGAACAGGACATTGACACGCTTGACGTGTCGCAACCTTCAGGCGAGGACTCATCCGGCCTTGGTCCGCCGCTTCGCCGACGTCAAGAGGCCACCCTCGGCTCCGAAGCCAATCGTCGACATCAAGGAAATCCGTCAGAACCCGGACCTGTATCAGCAGACATGCGTCGAGAGGAACTACCGTCGCCAGGCTCAGAACCCAGCTCAGATTCTTGAGCTGCATGCCAAATGGCAGGATCTTCAGCGGCAGGGTCGTGCCCTTCGTGAGCGATCTAATCTGCTGAGGCGCCAGCTTGCGAACCCGGCCACTAGCAGCGACGATGAGGATCTCAAGGAGGTGAAGCAATTGACCCGCGAGCAGATCCAGGAGGAGGCCCGAACTCTTAAGCAGCAGCTTTCTATGATTGAAAAGGGCGAGTCGCAGGCGGTCACCAAGATGGAGGAGCTGGCGCTGGAACTTCCCAACCTCACTCACCCAGATACCCCCAAGGGTGACCAGCCTGAGGTGCTCAGCTACATCAATGATCCTCCTATTTTCCAGGAATCCCCCGAGGATAAGATCTGGCGCTCTCACGTTCACATTGGCTCTGAACTCGGCATCTTTGACTTTGCTGGAGCTGCTACTGCCTCTGGATGGGGATGGTACTATCTCCTTGGTGAGGCTGCTCAACTAGAACAAGCCTTGGTTCAGTACGCTCTCGCTGTCGCAACCCGTCACGGCTGGACACAAGTAGCACCTCCAAGCATGGTCTACAGCCACATTGGCGCAGCCTGCGGTTTCCAACCTCGCGACCAGAACGGCGAGCAACAAGTCTACACCATCTCCCAGTCAGCCGAAGATATCGAGCGCGGCGTCCCTGAGATGTGCCTCACTGGAACATCCGAGATTGCACTTGCTGGAATGAAGGCCAACACCACTATCGACCCCGAGGATCTACCCCTCAAGCGCGTCGCCGTCTCTCGATGCTATCGGGCCGAGGCCGGTGCCCGTGGCGCTGACACCAAGGGCTTGTACCGCGTTCACGAATTCACCAAGGTTGAGATGTTTGCATGGACAGCTGCGGATGAGGACCTCGCCCAGGACCTCTTTGACGAGATGCTCGACATGCAGACCGAGATTCTCTCCTCCTTAGGTCTTTACTGCCGCATCCTCTCCATGCCGGCTCACGACTTAGGAGCGTCAGCCACCCGCAAGATCGACATGGAAGCCTTCTTCCCCAGCCGCAAGGGCAACTGGGGCGAGGTGACGTCGGCGAGCATGTGCACCGACTACCAGACCCGCCGTCTCGGCACACGAACCCGCGTCGACGGCAGACTCTCCTTCCCCTGGACCACCAACGGCACCGCCCTCGCCGTGCCGCGCGTGCTAGCAGCCATCCTCGAGAACGGATGGGATGAGGAGGCCAAGACTGTCGCTGTGCCAGAGTGTCTGCGGCCGTGGATGGATGGAAAGGAAAAGATTGGCCTTGGAGGTCGGAGGTCGAGCGTGGATCGCGTGTAAGCTTGTTTTGATGGTCAAAGTGTGGCCTGCGTGTACGAGTTGAGTTTTGTATGGGACGGTGGCATGAATTGCTGTATTGATGAAAAAGAAAACTTTGATGTCTTGAGTAATAGTTGCAAGGGGAGGCGTAATAATTTAGCCATGACAAATATAGGCACTCTTCTTGCGAAGGATGACTATCTGATCTATCCATCTAATTGTGATGCTCTACAAACAACTCTTACATGAATCTACATTCTGGGTATATAGCAGCTAAAACCATCACCAAATCAAATCCTTCACCTTCTCCTCCCACCCCGGCATCCGAAACTCGATCCCCTGAGCTCCCCTCCAACGATACCATCCACTCATCTTCTTCACAGCACCAACCCATCCCAACTCCCCCTTCCTCCACGCCTTACTCCTCGTTCCATCACCGCGATGCTGTACGACATATACGCCTCCATCAGAAGCAGTCGTTAATCTCGCCTCTCCGCGCTCTGGATCTCCGCCGCTAGTGCGATACTGTCGTCGACGTGGTTGACGACTATAACTCGTGTATCGATTGGCCTGGAAGCGGTTCTCGCTGTGATGGTGGTCTAAATCTAAGCCTTCAAGGACTTCTCCTGCTGCGACTTCCATCCATACATCGAGTGTTCGAAGATGATCTGCGTAGATGACGAGCAACGCAACGATAGAAGATAACCCAGATGCAAGCCAAAACACCCAGAATGCAGATCCTTCAGGACCATATGTTCCTTCGATGGAGAGAATTCCCGAAACAACAGTCAAAGGGAGGAGAAGACCTCCTAGGTATGCGATGCGGTCGAGACTCCGTGAGTTTGTATCCTTGGGCTCGTCATGTACTTCCTGAGATTGTATGCTCAAAGCAATAGTTGCAGAGAGTTGAATCCGTCTTTGAAGACGTTCAGAGAGATATGTCCAATCTGCAGACGTGACAGTACTAAACTCTCCTCGACGCTCCATAGCCCTTGTGGCGTCTGCATTGGTCTCGAGGGCTCGAGCAATCGTCCACTGAACATCCACAGTATCGGATCCCAAAGGCGGCAAAGAGTCGAGTTTCTCAAGCCAAGAGTCGTATACAATCTCTGCTACGAGATCTTCCAAACCCCGCGTGTCGACGAGGGCTTGCCAGAGTGCATCTTCGAGTTCGGATCTCTGTGGTGGACGCTTTCCCTGTGATATGGATTCTGGACGTGTCGTGCTTGGTGGCCTAGTATATTGAGAAGGTCTTGAAGGACGTGGGGGTATTCGTAGGGGAAGGCCGTCGAGTAAAAGGATAGGCAGCCGATTCTTGATCGTGAGCGAGGCGCGACAGATGCGAATGCCTTCATCATCATCCATTCCCCCATCATCATCTTCATCATCTCTTCCACCCCTTCGTCTTCTTTTCTCCGTCTCAGCAAACTCCCACGTCCACCCCCTTCCACTCTTCTCCATCTCCATCTCCAACACAACACCCAAATCACACTCGCCCCTCATAACCACCATCCTCCGCCACCCCGGCCGTTCCGCCGTCGCCATCTCTTCCCTCAAGTCCTCTGCATCGAGAATACCTTTTTGTCGACAGTTTTGCCCGTTCCACTCAAGAAGATAAGGCCGTGATTGGAATTTCTCGGCGCCGGGAATGCCCCGCTCCGAGGACCGCCGACGGGACCGGTGTCGGGGCTCCGAAGCCGGACGATGCCGCGACATGATGAAAACTTGCTTAATTCTTCCTTAAGAGAGTGACTAATACGCAATAGATTGATAAGAGTACAGATGGGAAAAGGAAACTCTGAAACCAATTCTGTGAAACTCGGGGAGTTTCGCCTCTTTTGTGTCTTTCCGTACTATCCCGCCGAGACGTCAGCATAGATCCCATGAGCGCCATACCCATCATGCGAAAAGCTCTCAGGACGTGACTTCTCCATAATTCCATCAGGCAAATGCGGTCTCAACTGAGACTTTGTGCTTATAAAGGGTCTCATCTAGGCAGATGAACCCCTGCGCCTCCATCAGCAAGACACCCGAGAGTGTCTGGGTGTGGTCATGTGTGACTCTCACCGCGCAGATGACCCCTATACGATAGGAGCTTCACCACGCGACTTGTACACGCTTCCACACACCAAAGCTTCACAAGGCTGACTTAAATAAGCCCAAGGCGACTGCTACGTCAAAAGAAAAGATCATTTTTGCTCTATTGATTGATACCTTCATGCACTCGCTCTCCGTCTTGGTTCAAACGGTCAAGACCAAACATATCATTGCTTTCTTTCCCGCTCTTCCCCAAACGCCAGACCAGAAGACGCCAATTTTGACGACAAATAAATGTGGAATGCCGAGCATTTCCTTTCCTACTTTCTTTCTCGCTTCTTTCTTTCTTGAATCTCTGTCCACCGACATATATCAACCGCTCAACTGGTCTCATCTTCCTTCTCCTCCTCCGCTGTCTGTCTTCTCTTGGCTTCTCTTCCGCCCGCTGGCAAACTTTCGTCTAAAGGAGTGGCATCGAGTCGAATCATGGTGCAAATGCGTAACAGGCGTCCCAGTGCAAGAATTTCAATCCGTGGTCCCGTGCGTATACATGTGGTGAAATAGCCAGCCAGTAGCTCAAGTTAACTCGCCATCAACCCCTCCGGCTCTTCATATCAAATCTTGTTTGTTGACTGTTCGTTGGCCCATCTACCGATGGTCGTCGTCACCATCGTGGTGCAGGGTGACGCTGTTGAACTCAAGGAAGGGGTCGGCAATATCACCGCCAGGTGTCGCCAGTCCGCTATCCAATGGCACGCCCTTCATCGCCCTGGATCCAGATAGGTCGACACTCTCGCTCTCCTTCACGTTACGGAAGTTGACTGTATCGATTCCTCGGCCAGCGTGGGGAACGATGGGTGGCTTCATATGGCGGATCAGCGCCCACTGCGTCGTCCGGAAGAATGGATGCGCCTTGATATCCGAAGCACCAGCTCGGGCTCCCAGTCGTCGGTTCTCGTCTTTGATAAGTAGCTTGCGTATTAGTGACTTGCAAAGGCTGCAGTCTTTGTTAGTCGTTATCCGCATCATGTTGACGAGAAACTTACTTGGAGACCTGGGCCGAGCCCGTGTGGTCTGGGAAGGGGATGTCCTCTCTCAAAATGTTGGCAAAGGTGGCATTGCGGTTCTTTCCCTTGAACGGCGTAGTTCCGTAGAGCATCTCATATATGAGAATACCCAGTGTCCACCAATCAACGGCACTTGTGTGTCCGCTTCCCTTGATCACCTCGGGTGCGATATACTCTTCGGTACCAACAAACGAGTTGGTTCGGAAGTTGGCAATACATGATCGCGTATCGATGGTTGGCAAAGCGTCCGTTCGAGCACCATTCTTACCGACAATCATGGTCGGCTTGCCACCAGGGTCTGACTGCTTGGACAAGTCAAAGTCCGAGAGCATAATATGACCCGATTGGTGAAGCAGGATATCTGTTCCAACAGTCAGTCGTGTATTTGTCAGCATTGGGTTTGGTGTACATACTCTCTGGCTTCAAGTCACGGTAAATGAATCCCATGAGATGCAGATACTCCAAAGCTGCTGTCACTTCTGCGGCATAGAAGCGAGCGTCTTCTTCGGGAATGCATTTTCCTGGGCGTGTTTGGAGGGCGCGGAAGAACTCGCCACCACTGCAGTATTCCATGCAGAGGTAGAGGTAATCTTCCGACTGGAACGAGTGGTATAATGTGACAATGAACGGATGGTTACTTGTTGCCAGAATCTCCTGCTCGGCAAGGGCTCGCTTGATCTTGTTGCGCTTGATCATCTCCTTCTTGCTTAGTACTGTGACGGGTTAGTGACGATTGCGGCTTGTAGAACATTTGGGACATACTCTTCATAGCGTAGAGCCTACTACTCTTCTTCTCTCTCACGAGATACACCTTTCCAACGTCTCCCTTTCCAATAAGCTTGATCTTGTCGAAGCTTGACGGGCTGACTTCCACATTTCGAACCTTGATAGAATTGGAGCTGTACGTCCTGCGGAAAGCCATGGCCGTGTTAGGGGCAGGGAGAGCAGCAAGGACGTCTTCCTCAGCAGCCTTGGCCTTGGCCTCAGCTTCCTGTGCCTTTGTTGTCTCCATGAGGCCGAGGGAGCCCGAGCTAGCGTTGGCCAGGAGAGGATCCTTGCCCAGCTCGGCAGTCGCAGGACGTTCGCCGTTAGGGGCGCCCTTTGAGAAGAGACCTTGGGCATTGGGAGCACTAGCAACTCTCCTGAGTCTTCGGGCAAGCTCTTCTTTTGTTTCGCTGGTTGCTTGGTCGACATTGGTACCATCGGGACCCTCTACCTTGAGAGTAGGGGTATCGGGAGGGCTCGGGGGAACAGAGTCGGCATTGTGGTGACGCAGGCCAGGCTGGCCCTGATGAGCAAAATATGGGTTCGCATGGGCCGTAGGGCTCATAGCCTCGTCGAGCTGATTGCCCTCGCTGGCGACGGTGTGTGCGCGCAGGCGACCGACTGTATTACTAAAGAACTTGGTATGGCGGGACTTTGAGCCAGAGGCGGCATCGGGGGTGGTGGCAGCCGAGGTCTTCTCTTTTTCTTTATCGCTAGAACCACTGCCAGTACTACCACCCGTGTTCATGCGGAAGAAGTTGCGCAGGCGATGGCTGACCTGGCCGCCGGTGCCATTGGAGTTCTTGGTGGAGGGCATTTCGGCGGTGTTAAGCCGGCTTTTAACAGCGGCAGTTTTGGAGGCAGGCTTTAATCGATCAGAGAGTCGCTTCCATATTCGACGGAAGAAACGGCGGGAGACAGATAATGGATTCTTTCGATGACGTTGAGGCCGGATACGAGCTCGATGCTGCGTGTGGAGCGGGGAGCGGTTGCGCCGCGGCGAGGGCGCGGATGAAGGCGCCGACGAAGGAGAAGGGGGACTCTGACTTTGACTTGTCTGGGAGAGCCGAGTTCGAGGGGCGACGGTAGAAAGACGAGGGGATTGAGAAAGTGATGAGGCCGCGTGGCCAGTAGTATCAGTATCAGCAGCGAGATCTTGGCCAGTGCCGCTGTTGAAGAAAAGGGAGGAAGAAGGCGAGGCTTCAGTTTGGGAATGACGCTGGCCTTGGGACTGGGGCTGGCTAACGTTATGGGTCTCGTTGGTCTCCAGCTGGGAATGGGATTGGGAATGGGCCACGGGAATGGGGGCGCCCTCGGAAGAGGTTGATGCCTGAGGCATAGAATGAGGCACGGACGGAGCCATCATCCTGCAGGTCCCTCCCGCCGTGGAGCGTCGGCTTCAGTTCTGGAGGAACTTCCACGCACCGCGCGCTAGGGAGGTACAGCGCTGTACCGTATCCTCCGGCTAGGCTAGCGGTCCCCGGTTAGCAGGGTCTCACTCCTCTATCGCCTCTTCGCCTTCACCTTGGCCGCCTCACACCTCGTGGCTCGGCCTCTCTCCAGGGATCCTTGGGCACCCTGCCGGGGGTTCGATGGCCCTTTGCCTTACAAAGCAAAGTTCGGGGGCTCGGTGTCGTCCCACCTCCCGCAGGCTCCGAGGAAGCCAGAAGATGACGCCAAAGCCTCTGGTGTTGGAGCTGCCAGCCAGTGCCAGGCCACTAAGACGCCCCCAAATCCTGGCGCAGCACCGGGGAGCGATGGCGGCCGGGAGGAGCCCCCGCTGGCGTGGTAGCGTGCTGCCGGCTGGTGCGTACGCCTGTACCGTCTGTAGGTTTCAAATCGGTCGTCTCGCTTGAATCAGGGCGCCGATAGCCTTGTTGAGCCCAGAGACAGGTGGTCTTGGCGCGATGGTGTGTGTGGGTGATGGCGATGGCGCTTGATGCTTCAGAGCTTAGTTAGGTTGACCTCGTGGATTCTCAGTCTTTAGTTCCTGCTTGTCGGATCGGCCCCTAAGAAAGAATGCTTACCTAGGTACTCGTGTGCGGCTCTCGTGATGAACAAGTTGAAAGCTGGCCAGATGAATGAGATGACTCGAAATTCGACGTGGTCGGAGGAGGACCCTGTGGGGAGATATGAGACGGGGCTCTGAGAGGGTCCCGGCCTGTCTGTCGAACGACACCCACGATTGCGAAGGCCCGGGTTGAGGACACGACACGATACGGACGGCACGATGGATTGGGAGGAACTGGTGACGGTACCGGCACTGGCACTTTTGTCGGTGATTGATTGATTGATAACACGGCTGGATGTAAGAGATTTAAAACAAAACAATACTTGTTTGTGGAATCCAAGTGACCTGCTCCCAAACTCATTGACGCGTCTCTCTCTGGATGAACAATGAAAGCCACTAACCAACATCCACGGTTGACGTTTCTTATTTCCTCTTTGGGAACTCAAATATGCCAACCATCCGTTACTTCCGGTTCAAGAGAAGATTTCTCCAGTCATTCCGGTGCCTGTGCCTGTGCCTGTGCCTGGTGCCTGCTTACCCATCATCTCAAGCCTTCCAAGGCTTGCTTTCGCCTGTGCTCCCTCGGCTACGTGTGCCATGGGCTACCCTGCAGAATGGGCATGACAAAAGTTTGACCCGTTCGCCAGTGTTTGTCTGAGAATGGTGGCTTTCTCATTTGTGTCCTTATGCTTGTCAATTTGCTTAATTCGCGTCTAGCCTAATGAAAATGCCGCTCTGTAGGTGCGATTGTGTGCAAAACGCCTTGACATTTGTTAGGACTGTAGACAGATGAACCCGTTCGTTCTCCTTCTGTGGCCATGACAAAGACAGGATAGAATGGGTAGATCAAAAAGGAGATAACTAAGATAAATTCCCCTATTAGACTGTGTCTTTAGTTTTAGTATTTTCCATACACTATCGAAAGCGGAAGACGTTCAGAGAAACCAGACCTCAGACAACTTTAGCTCTCATCTATTTCTTGACCCCCAATCTGCATTCAAACTCTAATACTTCTCAGCTCAAGCCCCAAACCACGCTAGACGAGTTGATTCCGCTTAAAACGCATAATCTCCAAAGCCTATTATAAAAGACGATATAAACCTCGTAGCCGCATAATGCCCCTGCCACATGGCTTACCTGCCTACCTGGGGATGGGATGAATGCGAAACCGACATAACCCACGGACCCATTTTGATTCCCCTCCTCACAACATGTGACGGTTCATCCCTCCCACTTACCGAATCAGTTGTAGGATCGACAACAGAGTCTGTGATATCGTTCAAGATGGTAGACGAGCATGAGCATATTGTGAGAACTCGCCTGTTGATCCAGAACAGACAAACGACTTGCTAACCGCTGCCGCTTCAATAGACCGCCGACGATGACTCGGCTCTCGGTGTGGTAGGTTCTGGGTGCCGCATGAACTCTCGTCGCACTGCATCTGCTGACGGTGATTATGCGCCTCTAGAATCTTGAAGAAGAGTCATCATTGGCGTCTCTGAGAACAAGCATCCTGGAACACAAGGAGGAGAACGGTCGGACCTACCATTCCATGAGTGAGGGGAGTATGTATCTCAGCCACCTGTCGCACATGATGGATGAACTGACACGCCACAGAGTACAATTTTCCCAACGACGATGTAAGTCTTTGGCCGGGCAAACCAGAAAGAGTGTTAGTGATTATGTCAATCTCGATTGCTGACATTGTCAATTTAGCAAGAGAATGAGCGCCTCGGTACGTGATCTAGTTAGATAGTTTTTGAACGCGAGCTGATTATCTCAGATCTGCAACACCACATCTGGAAAATCCAGTTCGATGGAAAGCCAGCCCTTAACCCCGGAGCCGAAAATGCAAAGAGAGTCCTTGATATCGGCACCGGTACGGGAATGTGGGCACTTGACTTTGGTGAGCTTAATTGACTCGGAGCATTTCTTCACGATGCTAACATGAGGCACAGCCGACGCCCATCCCGCTGCCGAGGTAGGGATCAGGAACAGTGACATATTCTCCCAGATGGACTTAACCACTAACTACCTGCATAGGTAATTGGCGTTGATCTCAGCCCTGTTCAACCTCATTGGGTTCCCCCCAACTGCCGATTTGAGATCGATGACTTGGAAAAGGACTGGACTTGGTCACAGCCCTTCGACTTTATTCTGTGCAGAGGCATGTCGGGTTGTTTTGCCGACGTTCCAGCTCTTATCCAGAAGGCTTATGAGTAAGAATTTTCTCCTGATATTGGCAATGCAATGTTCCCTAATTCGGTAATAGCAATTTGACTCCTGGAGGATACTTCGAAGTTGGTGATCTGTCCCTCCCAATGGGCTGCGATGATGGCACCGTATCCAGGGACTCGGCTATCTGGAAGTGGCATGATGCTCTCTATGAAGCATCTAAGAAGATCGGCCGCACTATTCAGAGTGTCGCCCACGATACCACGGTCCTTGAGAAGGCCGGCTTCGTCGACATTGTGCACCGCGAGTTTAAGTGGCCTTTTAATAGTTGGGCTCTCGACCCTAAGCTCAAGGAGATTGGTCGCTGGCAATGTGTGAACCTCGACATGGGCCTCGAAGCTTTCTCGCTGGCGCTGTTGACGCGTGTTGCGGGTTGGTCCAAGGAGGAGGTCCTGGCGTCTTGCGCCGAGGTGCGCAAGGATATCCGTAATCGTAGGATGCATGGGTATTGGACCCTGTAAGTGAGCCTGAGACGTTTCGTTGTGAAGATGCTAACTGTGTTTTGATAGCCATGTTGTCTACGCCAGGAAGCCCGAGTAGGCGTACATCGACGACGGCGATGTACTGTATGCCGCCACCATTTATTCACAGCCAGCGTTTATTTCACCGACTTATGATGAAACGGCCTTGCGAGACATTTGAACTGAACATGTGTTTGGACATTTGCATGGTGGCGAGGCGATGGTAACGACAGGCAATTGAGTGGCATGCCGCCATTTAGTCCTGCATTTCCCTTTAATCCCGACTGTTTTTCCCCTCCGAGAATGACTTTAACGAATTGAACGAATATTTGACACTATTACTTTCAGTAGAACTAGTGTTGTGATCCCTGCCTGACGATTCTGTGAAGGAATGGAATGGCCCACGGAACTCATTAATTCGAGTAGCCGGGTGTGGCTGGCCTAGACAATGTCAATTCCATCGACGAAGAAAGACAAGAAGGCATATGTCGGAGCACACCAAGTCTTGTTACGGTGAAACTTATCTAGCAATCGTCACTAGATATGCGTGGTCTCACAAGGGCTCATGCCGAGCTGTGTGGAAAAGGGAACTCCCCATTGGGTGGCACAAAACACTGTATCTTTCACACGTGGGCGGTATGCAAACTGAATTTACCTCAGAGAGTCTGAAGAGTTTCCGGTTACAAACATGCTACATTATCATGTGCATGTATATCAGGAAACTTGACGCTGGACTCTAGAACTCGCCTCGGCTTGTTGAGAGGGAAGTCAGAAGCGAGATGGAGCAGAGAGTGAAGATGAGGGGACATCATACACTAGTTACCGCAAATTCCCTTCTTTTCTCATCATGTACTTCGCAACTTTCATGATAGTTCCCTGCTTCAGCGCCGCTCCCAACTCCGGGACTTGAACCGGAAACCCGCCGTCTGCTAGCACATACGACCATACCCACTGGAGAACTCGGGATCCCGTCCGCTCTCCCATAGATAAGCCAGTGAGGGGCGGATTAGTAGTTGGGTCGGTGACGACCAGCGAATCCCCGCTGTTGTATGTTCCTATTTTTGCTGTCCCTGTGAACTGGATAGTTGGTTCAGAAGAGGACTGAGCTGGATACTCACTGGCTCGTGTGGCCTTGCAGCACCTGCTCTCCTTTTTGATCGGTCTCTGGTTGATATCGCTTGTTGTGTTCCTGAGCCAGCTCTCCACTGTCATCTTGTAAGATGCCGACTTTTGTTTTGGATATTGAGCTCCCTACCACGCTATGGTGGGTCTCTTAGAGCCGATCTAAAGATATTCGGTAAGTACCTAAGCGAAGACGATAACCTACTCCTCTGTACGAACCATAATGAGTATATGTATACGATTTGTATTCCATATCTTTAGGAATTAATGAGTGAGTTGCTGTGCTGTAGACTGCTTAGGTGGTCACGTGGTCCAAGGCATCCCGCCCAGATTCCTTTGATTTGCTCGACCACCACACCATCAAAGCGGCCCGTCCCTCAGCTCAACGGGCTTATACCTTGGCTTATTTTAAGATCAAGACTCTTCAATACCCGCAGCACGATTACTATTGAAATCTGATTCGAGGATCCATGCCAAGGCTGTTGAAACATGGCCCTGCTGCACTCAACCAACACCGGCGCTTAGGAGGCGTCGTATGGTGTTTGAGCCGGGCGCTTAGCAGAGTACAATACTGTTTTAGGCCCGACTCTTTCGACACGAGCAGCTTAAACCTGTATTTTTCAGTTCAAATGAACTATAGCGCTTTGTTTTGAGCTCCAAGCCATATCCTGCGGCCATGCTGTCTTCAATACGGCGTCGGATCTTCCGCAGCAAACCGGACAATGGTCGGACCACCAACGGAGTTACGGCCTCTGAGACCCGGGCCCCCGGCGCCTCAGCCCCTGAAGCTCCGTCCGAACCGCCACCCCGACGGGCCAAATCCTTCTTTTATTCTGGCATAAAGACCCTTCACAGCTCACAGGACGATAAAATTGAGTAAAGACTCGCTAAGAATCACAAGATTTAGATCACCTTCTTCTAACAAGGGTAATAGCATCGTCTTCATCCATGGTCTAAATGGTGACTGTGAAAAGACATGGACCGCTAAAACTGAGGTACAACCTTGGCCAAAAGTTTTCCTTCCATCACAGGTTCCGAACTGTCGTATCCTTTCGTATGGGTACGATGCGGGCTTGGTCGACTCGTCCAAAAATCGAGTTTCGGATCATGCTCACACATTGTTGACATCTCTGGCCTCACAAAGGCAGTCTGACGATACAGCAGAGAGGCCCATCATCTTTATCTGCCATAGTCTCGGCGGATTGGTCTGCCAAGATGCCCTGGTGACAGCGAAACAGCGTCCCGAAGCACATCTCCAAAGTATCTTTCACCTGACTCGAGGGATCATATTTCTTGGAACGCCGCATCACGGATCTAGTCTTGCCAAATGGGGAGAGATGTTATCTCGTTCTGTGGGGATGATGAAGCAGACCAACACCGACATCGTCCAGCTCCTCACGCGCGACTCCGAGGTTCTCGCTCGCATCCAAGATTGCTTTCACACATTGATCATGACCCGAAATAAGGAACAAACCAACGAAATTGACATCACCTGCTTTTACGAAGAGCTGCCCATGAAAAGGATTGGTGTCGTTGTGCCAAAACACTCAGCCACCCTACCCGGATACATCTCAATTGGCATCCACAGCGATCATGCTCAAATGACAAAGTTCGGCAGTCGCACCGAGCCAGGATTTGTGGCGATATGTGGCGAGATTAAACGTTGGATCAAGAAGATTGAGCAACAGGGGCAGGATGAATCAAAGAAACACACTGAGCAGGTTGATGAGGCCACCCCGCATTATCTCATCCCTTACACCAGCAATCCGGACTTTGTTGGGAGATCAGAGGTCATAGAATCATTGAAGGATCAGCTGGGCCACTCGGAGCCTGCGGCACGGAGCAAGGCACACCTCCGTGCTTCACTATGTGGTCTCGGCGGTGTTGGAAAGACACAGGTCGCACTGGCGTATGCCTACTGGCTACAGGAGGCTCAGCCAGACATATCTGTCTTTTGGGTTCATGCCAATAGTGCAGAGCGCTTTGCCCACTCCTATGCTAATATCGCCAGAGAATGCGAGATCCCTGGCTATGATGAGTCAAGTGGTCTCGACAGTCTGTCGGTTGTGAAAGATTGGCTTGAAAGCAAAGCTAGTCGGAGATGGCTGATGGTCATCGATAATGCCGACGACATGCAGCTATTCTTTCCTTCAGACGCGGGAGAGAAGCTTGGCGGCTTCATACCCGATTGTGCCGACGGAACCATTCTGTTCACAACGAGGAATCTGCAGGTGGGGTCAAGGCTTACGAAAGGGAAGCGCCCCATCGAGGTCAACAAGATGGATGAAGACGAGGCAGTTCAGCTTCTTATCCGTGGGCTTCAAGGCATCGATGAGGACCCCAAGGATCTGCTGCGACTTTCATCTCGGCTGGAGTTCCTACCCCTGGCGCTCGTTCAAGCATCCGCATTTATCCAGGAAAATACCATCAGTGTCAACAAGTATTTGGAGCTATTGGAGGAGAGCGAAAAAGGCTTGGTCGATCTACTAAGTGAGGATTTTGAGGCAGCTGGGAGGGACTCGGCAACACCTCGTGCCGTCACCGAAACCTGGATCCTTTCTTTTCGGCAGATCGAGCGACAATATCCCTTTGCAGCCGAGCTTCTCTCCCTCATGAGCCTCTTTGACCGACAATCCATCCCCATGGATTTCCTCGAGTTCTACAGCGAAGAGAAGAAAGGGGAGTCCAGCAGTGCTCTGCAACTTGTTAAGGCTCTTGGAGTTCTCAAAGCTTTCAGCTTCATCATTGCTGAGAAACGCGGCGATCACAACATGCATCGTCTGGTACAGTTGGTAACCCGAGCTTGGTTGAATCGAAACGGTACCAAGAACGAGTTCACAAGATGGGCGCTCCTTGCAGTCTCGGACGCCTATCCTTACGGCCACTTTGAGGACATTCCGACATGCAGCGCATACCTTGCACACGCCTACGCCGTCTTGAATTCGGATGGCATTGATTCACAGACGGAGAAGAAGGGCAGTGACTCAGAGACAGAGGATAAATTGATCAAGGCATCTCTTCGCCATAGGGTTGGCGGGTTTTTCTTGTTCCAAGGCCGATATACCGAAGCAGAGGGGCTGCAGCGAGAGGCGATTCGTACCCGGGAGGAATTGCTAGGACCTGAGCACCCCGAGACGTTGACCGTTATTTCGGACCTTGCCTCTACTCTCTGGCGTCAAGATCGACTGGAAGAAGCAGAGGAACTAGAGACTCGCGTCATGGAGGCCTGGAAGCGAGCAGAAGGCGAGGAACATCCCAAGGTGCTTGATGCGATGAGTAACCTCGCGAGAACAATCAGTGATCTGGGCCGGTCAGAGGAGGCAGAAGAGCTGGAGACACGAGTTTTCCAGACAAGGAAGCGTGTTTTGGGTGAAGAACACCCCGATACACTCATCAGCATGAACAATTTGGCAGTGACTATCCGCGACCAGGGACGATTGGACGAGGCGGCACAGTTGCAGCGGGATGTGATGGAGATAAGGAAGCGGGTTCTTGGCGAAGAACACCCTGACACACTCACAAGCCTAGGAAACCTAGCAGTTACGCTGTACGAGCAAGGTGACCTAGGCGAGGCGGAAGAGTTGCAAGTGCGTGTGATGGAGGTGAGGAAGAGGATACTCGGCGAGGAGCACCCGGCCACGCTTCTCAGCATGCAAAACCTCGCAGAAACGTGGAAGCTGCAGGGTGAATTGTGTGACCCAAGCATGTCTATCAGACTCGAAGTCCTCGGCGATGCCCTCGCCCTCCTGGAGGATTGCTTTCGCCTTCGGCGTCAGGTGCTCGGCGAGGACCATCCGGATACGCAGGAGTCATGTACGTGGCTTAACGAGTGTCAAGAAGCACTCAAGATTGCAACCAAGGAGTTTAATGAGGAGGCAGCGAAGGAGAATAGCCAGGTTGACATTGGTGGGTTTCTAGACAGGACGGATGATGAGACTGTGTAATGATATGTTTTAGATCCGTTTACGGAAAACTAGGCAGAAAGTAACGATTACTATGATGAAATCTTTTCTTACTCCTTCTCACATTTTAGGCTGGTGTTTTGCCCTTTTGGTGTTTTGTTCTTCAACTGCGTGTTAGAGTTGCTATGGGCACTGTACCTTTGGTTTGGTCCTGGCCCGCTCCATCAGAATCTCTACCGGGCTGTAGCTCAGTTCCACCATGTGTCGTCCATTTACTGCCTTTATGATCCTTTCCAAATAGAAGTCCCAGCGGTTCCGGTTCGCAGCAACCTTTGTCATCAGAGATTGTATAATCTTGTTCGTCACCTCAACCATTCTGACGGACCGCTGTGATTTTGATGGACCGGTTACCATAGTGTTTCCCAACTGAGCGGCTTTACTCCTGAAAACCTCCGAGGTGAAGGCGGATCCAGGGTCAGTGTACAACACCAGCGGTGTAGTACCTGCGAAGCTCTGGCACTCGACGGGCATGCCGATGCTACTGTGGAGGCTGAAGGTAATGAGGCTTATCCATAGCAGCCAGGAACACTGTCACCAAGGTCACTGGCGTAAACCTTGTCATCAGTCTGGGGAAGCGTCCCTGATAGTCAGGTCGTGAACAGCGAGTGAGAGGCCGTGGAAGAGCCATGGAACAACCCGTGTCTAATTTCGTACAAAACAGTTCCATCTCTGGAGCCCGAGATGAAACAAGTCCGAGGTAAGAAAAACAAGCTTACTACATACGACGTTGCGTTGGAATGTACCGTTGGGTTGCATAAGGCTTCGGTCCGAAGAGACAAACGATCGAGACGAATCCGATCGCAGTTGTTGTGGGATAGGGAGTCCGTATTTGACCTGATCGGCCATTTAAGCTTGTTGACACAAGATAAAGACGCATTATACTCCAAAGAATGCGAAGATCTAATCAGTAGCTTTCAATAGTTTCGTCTGGTGGTGAATCCTGTTCTTAGAGAGTGGCTGTAAGTCGACATCATGACATCACGTAGCTGCACGGCATCACACTTGGGTATGGTTTCTAGATGAGATACGAGCCTGGAGATTGAGAAGAAGCAACAATCTTACTGAAAACCCATTGGAAGATCCTCCGAGTGTAATCGGATGTCCCAATTGATGTTTGCTTCACAACGCCTTGCTTACCCGTGAGAACCGGTCCCTGACGGAAGGCCCTCCGCCAAGACACATTCTCAGCCCTATTTCCACATTCGGGAAACAGATCTGCCGGAGGATAAACATCCCCTGGCGCTAGGAATCTCCGCCTCAAGGAAACACGATAAGCGCGCCTTGGCAAGCCTACTCTTGCACGATGCACTGCCATGCAAACCATGAAGTTTGTAGGAAAAAACCTCGCAGTGTTGCATTGAACAGCACGCCATTGAGATGCTTATTTCATGTGGGAGGCGTTGAGATTTGCAATTGGCTTTTTCGGCACATGCGGTAGATCCCCTCCCTCCCTCCTTTAATCTGTTTCTATATCGATGACGGCTCTTGAAATACCGAACAAGGATGGAGGTCTAGTACCGTCAGCTTGGAGAAGCCGTGCTAACCGTCTTCCCGTCCGAACCGGGGAAGACCAAGGTCTAGACCTGGAGATTAGTCTTTCCAAATGGAGGGCTGATGCTTCCTTCGGATCTTGCTCAGACCGAAGGATGCCTTTGTTGCATTGGTCATTCTATGTATGGCGTCATGATACTCCTAAAGTAAGCACAGCAGTGCCTCACTTCTCACAGTAAACTCAAATGTTTGATGCACCGGTCTCCTCCGTTTTGGCCACTGGAGGGGGTAACTCAATCTCAACTACATAACCAGACCTCAAGCCCATCCCCTCACTTCAAACCATCATCACTCATTCTCTCTTTCATCATCCATATACAAAACAATATGCGTTTCTCAACACTCTTTGCCGCCGCTGGCATCGTTGGCTCTGCTGTTGCAGGTGCCCTCCCCAGAGGCTTCAGCATTCCCAGCGGTAATGGCTTCCCTAACCCGAATGCTCAGCAGGAGCAAAAGATTTCTCTGCAGGCTGGAGGAAAGCTTCCTGGCGGTCCTCTTCCTACTCAGTTGGGTCCTGGATCTACTATTGCTTTTCAGCTCATCGCCTTTAACGAGCTCTTTGAGACAGCCTTCTTTAGCTCGCTGTTGTACAACATTAGCAACAGCGTCAAGGGCTTCGAGGTTCCCAAGGATAAGCGTTATGAGGCTGAGAACGTCATCAAGACTGTTCTAGCTGTAAGTTGTCCCTCCACTCATACAAATATCACTCACCAACGCCATCACAGCAAGAGGAGCAACACGCCATCGGAGCCCTCGCGACGCTCAAGTCAGCCAACAAGTTTGCGCCTTCGCCCTGCAAGTACAAGTTCCCCACTTCGAACCTCAAAGACGCCATCTCCCTCGCCGAGACTTTCACCGCCGTCGTCCTCGGCGTTTTGCAGGACGCCAACGTCATCTTCAGCAAGGAGGGTCTTCCCGAGGTTGTCCGTCTCATCTCGGCCGTCATCGGTCAGGAGGGTGAGCAGAATGGCTTCTACCGTCTCTACCTCGACCAGATCCCCTCTGAGTCGCCTTTCTTGACCACGGTTCCTGCTGCTTTTGCTTGGTCTGCTCTTCAGGGCTTTGTTGTTCCCGGCTCTTGCCCTGAGGATATCAAGCAGATCAAGCTCCCCATCTTCCCTCCTCTGCTGGTCAACGGTGGTGCTATTGCCAAGATCAAGGCCAAGGACCAGACTCTCTCCTTCGAGGCAACCCTCAAGGTCACCAAGGCTGCTGAAAAGGTCATCGCCTACAAGGCCAAGACTGGTGGTCTGTACATCACCTACCAGACGGGCCTGCAGCTGCCCAAGAGCGTCAAGGCCGAGAACGTGCGCTGGGTCGGCAACACCATCAAGCTCCAGGCCAAGTTCCCCTTCAACGAGCTCGTCGCCGGCGGCTTCACCCATGCCGCGCTGACCACCTCCAACAACTTCCAGAGCGTCGATGATATTCCTGCTCACACTCTGGCCGCCCCTGGTCTCATCCAGGTCCAGGAGCCCATCTCTGGCAAAGGTTACTACTAGACGGCTAAACCGGCCAATCTGACGATCTATTGGGAAAATTAAATCTTGTTTGGTGCTATTCTAATAATATTGTAATTGATTGATTTGCTACGCTCAAGTACCGGAGAGTGACTGTTCCGATGCAGCGTGTAAGCTCCCGCCCCTCCATCTCGGGTAATCGGAGTTGAAGACGCCCCTAAACCAGTGATATGCCGGGGTTGAGATGAACTAGCCAGGGAAGGACTGGGCTAGTCGCGGTTGGGTGAAATCATGTTTCTGTAATTCATCCAAGGCTTGACTTTTTGGCTTCCGCAGGGCTGAGCCTGGAACACAGCCCCCGGGGAGTTGATGGCCGTTTCAACACCAAAAAAAAGCTTCATCAAGATATTAATATTGGGACTGATGGGTATCCTATCAAGCCGAGTCTCTTCAGCCTCATACCAACCGGGAGAATAACCACCGGATCAAAGTCTCCGTATTCATCATCTCGTGTGAATGGTCGATCTTGATGGTCAAGCACAACTTCAAAGAGCAGGGTCGTACCCGCAAGGTCCCGTAACTTTGATCAAGAGAAAGATGGGCGGTTTCAAAAGTAATCTTGATCGATAAATTTCCACGTGCATTGAAAAACGCTTGTGCGCGACGATATTACCCAGAAAACCATCATCATGCAGCGTCGTCGTCGATGATAATGTCCACATCGGGATCGTCTGGGAGGTTCTCGTTCATGCGGATCAGCAGCTCCTTTAGCTTGCGTCGATTCTTCCTCCATGTCATAATATCCTCTTCTTGCTGATCTCGTATTGAGGGCGTCACCTGGTTCCCATTCTCATCTTTTAGATAATCTGGTATCTCGTTCTCGGCGGTTTTCCGGCAGCCTTTGTTGTTTGGTCCATCGCCGACGTGCCATGAGAGCGGTACCATGTGCGCCTCTTCAACATGCTTGTTGAAGCTTTCGTCATCGTCAAACTCGTAAGGTTCCTCTCGACGCCCACACGACCCCCACAGACACTGAATCGAGTCACCGTGAACGACGTAGACGTGCCGCCGTAATGTTTCAAGGTTGTGTAGCTCCGCCTTGCAGTTATTCCACTCACACAGAAAGGCGACAAACGGCACGTCGACCTGGTGGTAAATGTCCCTCGGTGGCGGTGACGGGTTCTTTGGTGGCCGTCCTCTTCGTTTCGGGAAACCGTTGAGATGAGGCCGGGTCTTGATTTGCCGGGCCTGACGGGAGGCTGCGGCTGTGAGCTGTCCATCGCGCTTCTTGAACGAGCCCTTTGGTCTTCCCCGACCGCGAGCGGGAGTGGTTGAGGCTGTGTCGCTGGAAACTGCCGTTGATGGTCCACTCGGACTCGGCACTGCGAGGGCGCTGACTGGTTTGAACAATGTTCTGGGCTCTCCCCGTGGCGTCAAGTCCGAGATGACAGGACCGTCGAGGTTCTCATCCGCAACGTTGACCTCATGAAATGAGTCCCAATGTCCCGGAGATCTGGTCAATACGACGGCGATCTTTGTTTGACGGCCTGGTGTCAACGAGTTTTGTGGTGGGTTGGCGACCTGCTTGACTGGGCTCTGAGTGTGACTTCTCGTTGGTGCATCCCTAGCCAGGGGGTCTTCTGATTCGATACTTCCAATGTCTGAATCTGCTCGTGAAAGGTGTCCTGGTATGTTGAAGGGCTTTCTTTGATTCCCAACGCCGTGGTCGAAGCTATTAAGGTCCATGTTGCGAGCTTCACACGCGCTCAAGCAGCGCGTCGTATTTCAGGGAGACGCGTCGTATGTTGGAGAGATATATACTGGTAGATGAATTCCTGACGGAGAGAATGATCGACAAGGTGTTTTTGAGAAATAATTACTGGTGTGAGTCGACTATTAAGGATGTTGAATGATGAATGGTTTGGTTCTTGAAAGGTGAGTGAGAGAAGGCGATGATTGGTGGTGCGACTCGGCTCACGTGCTCTGAAGCATCTCTCCTTCGGCGGCATCAAACGGGATCAACTTTAAACAACAAACACCCTCCTCACTAACATCTGAGCTCTCTCATCACGATCGAAACACAAAGGAAAATTCATGCATGAAGGGACGAGCTGCTTGCTTTTCATCCCAATCTAATCTCCAACAGTCGGATCACGTGCACACTCGAAATACCTTCAAAGGTTGTGAATCATTCTGCAAGAAGCCTACCGAGCAGTATTGTTACAGGAATATCATAATCATCAATCTCATCCAGCCCAATCCGTTTGCCTCCCCATGTACCCAAACCAACCCAATTACACCCCCTTACAAAAGAAAAACCGTTAGACCTCGGTCTCAACATCAGGCTTTCGCCCATCTAGCGCACCCAGGTTCACCACCTTTCGTACGGCATACTTGGCCTCGTCCTTGGCAAACTGCATGTTTCGCATTGGTCGCCACTGCATGAGACCCCTGTGTCGGCGGTGCATGTCGCGGCTCTCGGCGCGGTAGGACTTGATCTTCTTGATGGGGTTCAGGCTGTGGCTGCTGGCCTGAGAACCGCTTGTCGCGCTCGTGTTAGCAGTCGCGTTGGTGTCCACTGAAGGGCGGCCATTCTCTGAAGGCTCTGAAGGCTCAGTCTCGGCGTCTTGGATGCCTAGATCAGGATCATCATCATCATCATCATCATCGATGTCGTCCTGGTCAAAGTCGTCGTACTCCTCACTATCTTGAGAGGCACGAGCGCGCCTGGCCATCAGAGCAGACGGATCTTCGCCAAAGGCTCCACTCCAATCAGTACCATCCTTGGCGAGCCACTTCGCCTTTTGCTTCTCGTCAGCTTGCGCGAGAATGTCTCGGCCATGAGTCAAGGACTCGTCGTGAAGCTTCTGGATCACAGGAGGAACCTCGGCGTGCACCTCTTGCTGGCGCACACCCTCGGCGTAACAGGCTTCCCAGGTCTCAATCGTCTCGCGTGTATCGTTGGAGCTGACAAACTTGATATGGTCCGAGTCTGTTCCAGCTGAGAAACGGCCTTGAAAACGGACACGGCCAACCTGCTCCATCTCAATATCCGGGACGGTGCGGTAGTTCTCCTCCGTGATGTAGTTCTGGGAGAGTCGCATGCTGTTGTTGCACTTCCAGACGGGGATATCAAAGTCCTTCTCCTCGCCATCAGCGAGCTCCAGAAGCCACAGGACTGCATATGCGTCGGGGCTTCGCTTCCCGCTGGGGTAGAACTCGATGAAGATGGGTGAGCTGTAACGGTGACGAACAGGCAGACGGACGGTCTGGGCACCATCTTCACCACTAATGTCGAACTTGAGGCCGTCACCTTCGCGAGAAGAGGCCTGCTTCTTGACGGTGGCTGATGAACCACCGGTCCTGAATCGGAGTTTGGCCTGGTTGGCGGGGGCATAGTTGGTGGTGATGATTGTGTCAGAGAGGAACTCAAATGTGCCGATGTCCCAGCCAAGCTGAGGAGGGGGAAGACGAAGCTCAACCGATCGGAAGAGGAGCGAGATACGGATACGGCCAAAGCCGATGCCTCCGTCGAGAGGATACCATCGAGTGGACTCACTGCTCGTCAGGAGAATATCGGTCAGCTTAAGAGGCACAACGCCGATGATGGGATCATGCTGTCGGTTGCGCGAGTCGCGAACAGCCACAGTGACGATGCAGGAGCGCCAGTCACGAACAAACTTCTCAGTTCCGGCGTTGAAGATTGGCTGGGAAGAGACAACCTTGGTTCGGGTCTTGTAGACAAGATCGTCGTTGACCAAGATGGTGCAGTACGAGCTGGGCAGAGACTTGGCTTGTTCCTCCTTGACCTCGCCAGCCTCGGGCCGTGCAGGCTCGTACTCCTTGCCCTTCCTCTTGCCCTCGGAACCCTTGATGTTGGCGAGCTCCAGACCAACGATCTGATGGACAACAACACTGAGAACACCAGAAGGCCAGAGGGGGTCGGGAGGAGTGTGGATGACGGCATCTTCCTCCTGGGTATCGATCGAGCCCTTGTTCTCCTGAAGCTCGGGCTTGTCAGCGAGTTCCTTGGGAAGGTTGAGATCTCTGCCATCGGTTCGAAGCGCCTTGCGGAACTGAGTCTTTCCGAAGAAGCCGACTTCCCAGTGGAGTTCACCAGGCATCTCACTCTCAGCCTTCACACCTCGGAGCTTGGAAACCTGGGGGAACATCTTGCCGGGGTGCTGGATCAGCTTCTGGATGCTGAGCTCGACCTTGCCGACAACATCATCGGCAGATGATCGATCGCTGTCCCAAAGTTCAACCGAGAGCTGCTCATCAGCGATGAGAAGGTCGCTGGTGACGAGAAGGCCACAGCTCTCCTCAAAGACGGGGTTGAGATCGTCCTGGATAACACGCGTGCAGAACTGGGGCTTGGAGAACTTGCTCCAGCTGATGGTGATGTAGGGGTCGGAACCACCGCCCTTGCTGCCACGCTGATCCTGCTTGCTGAGACCAACGGCCTTGTGGATACGGATAAACATGACACCAAGTGCAAGGGTCTCCTTCTTGATATCATCACCCTGGAGCATCTTGCTGAGATCAAGGGTCAAGCTCTTGGGCGCCACATACATGGATGCCGCTGCGCCAATAGCCCAGTTGACAAAGTTGGAGATGAGGGGCAGATTAAGAATGTTGACACCCTTCTCAATCATGGGAGTACATCCGGCTTGTACCTTGGGGATGCCCATAAGAGTGAAAGTGAGCGCCTTGAGGAAAGGGGGGTCGGGAGTCAGCTGGACGCGGATTCGAGCCGTCGCAACAAGACCGATGAGCTCGACCCAGATGGGCAGGGGGACACCGAAAAGACCCTTGATACCAAGGTAGAAGACCAGCTGCATACCCATGTTGCGAGCCTTGGAAGCAATATCTGCGCCGGAAGGCTTGGCGTGGTAGGCAATGGCAACTTCGAGGTTGTAGAAGGAACCGGCTTGCTCGTTGGCAGCCAGCTCCTCGGGGTTAGTGTTCTTCTCGTTTTGTCGGTGCTGCTCGTCCTTGATGTCTTGAACGTGGGAGTCGGGCAGAGCTCGCATGCTGAGGATACGGAGGGGGTTGTTGCCCTGCGAGATATCGGCGACGCGAACGTGTTCAATGACACCGGGAACGGAAGCGGCCATGACATCTTCAAGACTGCTTCTGATTAGCATTGCGTATCGCAAGTCAAGGCATTTACTCACGTGTCGGCCACGGCGGCAAACATCTCGGGATTGATAAGCCCCCACATGATGCCCAGCATGGTGTTCATCCATTCAACCGACTCGGGAATCAGGTTCGCGGTAGCAGTTTCACCACGCTCTTGCTCGCTTGACCACTCGAGATCTCGACCTTGTCGAATCAAATCCTTGGTCCAGAGAAAGACGCCAGAAGAGACGCAGAAAGCAAGAGGAACCAAGCCCAAGAGGCGACCGCCAAACATCTTTCCAATAAAGACAACGGCGACAAAGATACCGATACAGAGGATGATGGAGCGCTGCTCGAGCATCTCGAACATGGGCTCGTAGCTGATAGAGGGAGTCTTGTAGAAGAGTACTGAAGTCTTCTCGCTGCGAATTGGGACATCAGAGGTGGCGCCCTCCTGGACGGGGTCTGGGGGCGCGGTGACATCCTGGGCGTAGCGATATTCTTCTCCGGATTGCTTTGACGAGGTCGCGATGGTCGCGGGCTTTCCTAGATTCTCATTGGGGACGGACAGCTAACAATGGGTGTTAGATTTACAATTGCATGTCGCACAGTTACCACACATACCTGTGGGTTCTCGACTGCTTCAGTAAAGTCAAGATCGGCATCCCGGATATCGACATCCTTTCCCGTGACAGGATCTCGCACGTTGCGAGTATCCTTCTTTTGGCGAATGGCCTCGGTTCTATCGTTCTTGTGATCCTTGGTCTCACCGTGGACCTTGTTCTGCTTGAGCTCCTCGTCGATGGCGGCATCGCGGGCCTTCTTGTCCTGGTCCAACTGCTCCATGAACTCGCGAACGTTGGGCACACGGTTCTGGCCGCTGTAATGCTGTCGGCCCGAAGGCACGACCTGCTCCTGGAAGTTCGACATTTGGGCGAACTTGCGAGGTAGAGGGAGAATTAGGTGTAGGTGAGCTCACCAACTCGGGTATAATGATGATGAATAGGAAGAAAGGAAAGAGGAGCGCGCAAGGAGATCAGGAAGAGGAGAGCAGAAATATTGACAGACACCAACTCAGCTAGCGTCACACAACAGCCTCCCCTCTCTCTCCTTCGAGCTTGATTCATCATGGGAAACGCAAACAACCAAGGAAACTCGCATCCATAGCAGGCCATGATGTAAATGTCGATGACGTCGACGCCGCGGGTACGTACCGGAGATAGCTCCAACAGTGGGGGAGCTTTGAGCAGCTTGCGGCCGTGATGGCGCTACACGTCGATCCGTTTTTGGTGCGCGAGGAGCCGCGTGGAGGGGGCCAGCGGGGGCCATAGTGGGAGAGCTCCCTGCAAGACCTTCTAATGTCTGGCAGGGTTTCAGCGCCACGAGAAAGCCTGTGACGTTGATGGAATTATCACCAACGGTTAATCTCCAGCATCAGTTCTTGATACATGCTTCACGCATAGGATAATACGGGTTTAATAGTTTGAATAACCATCAACAACTTGATTCCTGCAGGCCAAGGGCTGAATCAAGTGGGTTCAAGGTCCCGGATTCTGGCCCAACTGGACAAGGAACATGTCAGTTGGGGCTAAAACCAATGATGGCGCGGATCTTGCGTAAATGGCTTGCTACAGTACACACTGCGACGATCGGTGAAACGACGTTGATCTCGATGCATTCCTCTATTCGTCTATTGGCGTGCCCCCAGCCCCCTTTGCACGACACCCACCGGATATCTCCAACTGCACACCAAAATAACGCCAGGTGTTTCTCAAAAAATCACTGACAGCTTCTATTTCTGGGATCCAGAAGATGTGGGCTCGCCTGTTTCTGCATTGATCTCAACGCCTGACAAATCACCTGCCGGCACCATCTTGTGAATGCCGTCAAACTTTTTGTACTTGAGTGAATCAAGGTCCACATCGTTGAACTGTCTCACCTGAAGCATTGTCAGTCTTTGACACAACGTGAACGACTCGGAGGGAGAATACTTACACTGATTCCGTAATATGGCTTATCGGGCTTGAATCTCTCAAAATCAATGCCGATGCTTGCGCCGCATTTGGGACAAAACATGTGGTCGCGCGACTTGGTGTTGAACTCGTAGCGCGACACACGTTTTTCCGAGTCGTGGTGCCATGTCACCTTTGAGTGAAACGGGTCTTGGCAAGTTAACGGCCCGTCCTGTAGGAGAATCTAAAATTGAAGACTTACAAACAAGGAGGTACCCTCCACGACGGCAGATGGAACAGTTGCAGTGAAGGACTTCGTGCTCAGGTAGAGGTGGTGAGAGCGTTACTGAGAGGCTGATGTAGCCGCAGTGGCAGCCTGCCTCGTACGTCGCCTCGGCCTTGGGTTCTTCAGTTGCCATGATGATAATTGTTGCAAAGAAAAGTAAGAGTGAGAATACTGGTAGTTAGAAGTTGCCAAAATGACTGGGCGGGTGGTTATTAACTCCGCCTTGGACTCTGTATTAATAGATCTCCAGCTTCCTATTTGGGACTCCGAAACTCCTGGGGACTTTTACCGACTGGGTCTCGCTAGATAAGGAGGGGTTTAAAAGGATGGAGATCCTGGGTCAATATATAAATGCTGCTGTCCTGCATCGCTTGAGAAGGCGCTGGTCTTTTCCTTGAAAGTTCATCCGTCGGATTCTATATCCGAGTCTGGAACGGCTTCCCGATCACCAAGCCGAGGCGATGAGCAGTGTTCCGAGACGACCTCTGGATATAGCAATCGGAAGTAGCTTATCAATTTGCTCCTTTGGAAGGACCTTGGATTTATTTTTAAGAACCCTCAACATGTCTTGAACACGAAATAGGGAACTGGTGCGGTTTGCAAGACTGATCGTAGTAGATGACCAGCCCACCCTGGACAATATCGCCATCTCAAAAGTTGAGGATGACGACAAGAGGAAGGCGATTGAGAATGAGAACCGACTGTGTTCGCATAGTTTTCCAGTTATTTTTGGACTATTTAAATTCTCGCATTCATTCTTTGCCGTCTTGCTTCACTCCGCATGTCTTTCTCAGCATCATAGATGGCGGGCGCCTCGTCAGCCGTTAGCAGTTCGAGTCTTAGCCAGGCTAGCAATCCAGAGCTTAACATCGACTGGTATAAATATGTGCTAGCGACTTGAGTTCTCTCATCCACTCGAACCTCAAATTCTTTTGTCACACTACTCTTGATTGGCTCAGGAGCTAGGCAGGCGCAAGATGGGCCAGACGACACCAGCGCGGATTGCCAGCCGCGATCTCACCACAGAAGCGTCCCTGGAGCAACTGGAGAGAATTGGGATGAGATTCTGCGGCAGCGTCTGGGCCGATGTGAATTCTTCAGCGAACGAGACTGCTTCATGCATGAAGCGAGAGGATGGCGGGCCCAGCAGATCGATAACTAATGAGTACCATATTCATCGGCTTGTGAACGATGCTGTCAATTCAAATCCCCGACACGCCGCCAGCTTTCGCATACCCCTATGCCGCGGCTTTCTGAACAAGAGCGACACAGACTGGTCAAAGATCCTGCTACGACTGCCACCCGGTTCCACGTCCTGCAACGCGCTGCTTAGCGAGAAGGTCCAGCCTATATCCGAGAATACCCGGAGATTGTTGGCGGTCAATTACGCAAAGGACCATGATAGCGACGTGATTATAGGCGACAAGAAGAACGAGCACTGCCTAATCCGACCGTACCTTGGTCGCAGGAGACATGGTTGGGCCAGAAGGCCAGGGAAGCCTGGGTTCTTCAGTCTGCGGAATTTTCCTCTGCATATCGACCAAATGGAGGAACTTGGTATGTCGATCGAACCATACGCAAAGACAATGGCAGAGGGCCTCGCCTTTCTGCTCTGGGTCGCGAGGATCGATGCTAGCGACGTCGAGTTTGTTCTTGCCCGCCCTCGCCGGTCAAACTCGGAATCTAGCAAGTTTGAAGCAAACATCCTTGGACCTCATTCCATGTGGATCATAGACTTTGACTGTTGCAGCCCGTTGCCTATGGATGAAGAAGGTGTGGAGATTGCTGCTCGGTGCTTCTGGAGGAATGACCCCTTCTATCCACGGCCTGGGAGCTCCAATGTCGCCGATGAGAGACTTTGGGATATTTTCCGGCAACATTTCTCAAGGGTTAGTGAGCGGATGCTTGAGGAGGAGCCGTCAGGTGTGAGGGATCTCCCAGCACGTCTGATGAATAAGATTGTCGAGACTAGAGCCAAGCTTGACTAAAGGGCTAAAGCCAACGACTGTTGCGATTAATCTCTCATATTCTTCCTCATTAGTGTCGCCGTAAGAACAATTCTCCTATCCAGAACTTTCATAATCCTTCTCAAGATCTTGGACCTCTCCAACCTTTGGTTGAGACACGTGCCTGGAAGGGAGGTCCCAGGCCGAGCTTTGTATCAGTTCCCGCAACTCCTTGATGTAATCCACGATGCTCTCGATGACGGTATCCAACTCCCCTTCTTGTACCTGCCTAGCAAGAATCCGATACCATTGGTGAAGACCACTTGCCCATTTTTGCTTCTCTTCGATTAGAGTGTGTAGCAGGGAGCATGCAGTGGTGGTTTCTTGCTGTGATAATGCGTGCAGAACTTGCTCGAGCTGGCTGATGTCTTGCTCAGCTGTCCTATTGCGAATGCCTTCATATAGACTAACAAATGCTTGCTGCTCTGCAATCAATGGACGTCGACAAGAGCCAAGGTGCACTGGAGATACAGAGATGGCGATCTGGAAGATATCCCATGGTGTACGCCCATAGTTGTCGTGATGATTGAGATCGATCCCCGATAAGTACAAACTATCAAGGTACTGCAAAGTTTCTAGGTTGAACAATGACGCAGCATAGTGAAGAAAAGTGAAGCCTCCATTGTCAATGGCTTGCAAAGAAGCTCCTTCGTTTACAAGGAGCCGGATAGCCGGGATTCTGTTGGTGATCGCTGCCATTACGACTGGGGTTTGCCCCAAGTAATTCCGCGATTCAATACCAGCTTCCTGGTGTTTAAGAAGAAGTCGTAGAGTCTTTTGTGCGACTTGCTCATCTTGAATCTGAGTGGCACCAAGAAAATGTAGCGGCATGTCCCCGTCAAGGTTTTGAGCTGTCACTTGGGAGCCTGAAGCAAGCAACAGCTGGACTGCCTCAAACTGGGTAAACATGGTAGCCCGATGCATTGCCGTATTACCGAGCCAGTCTTTCGCTTCTAAGGACGCTTTGGTCCGGGATAGAATGCATATACACTCCAAATTACCCCTTTCTGCGGCTATCATGAGCGGTGTCTGACCCCAGAGGCCCCGGAGATGAACATTGGCACCCATGCCAATAAGGAGCTCAAGAACGTCCATTGGATCCCTTAGATGATAAAGGGCTAGGTGAAGGGGCGGGTTACCAAAAACATCACACACATTGACAGTCCAGGGCTCGTCTTCAAGTGCTTGACGGATGAAGGAAATATCGAGGCCTTGCTTGATAGCTTGGCAAACACGCGTTTCTTCCAAACCTTCATCCGCCGAAGACAAGACCTGGTCTAGCAAAGACTCCAGCTGGCCAGGCAAATCTTGATAGGTTAAGAGTACATCCTTGATGTGTGCCAATAGGCTCCTGTTCAGGAATCAGTCTGTGCCTGGATGTGATGAGGCTTAACCCAACAGGAGTTTTACCGTGGAAAGTTTTGCCCTGGCAAGAGTTGCCTCCACAAATTGAGAAGAAACTCTACATAGTCGAATCTTCTGAAAAGTATAAGGAACTGGCCAGTGTTAATAGTAGTTAGATTACTTTGGATGCCCTCTTTAGTTTGCAACCTACCTCAATGAGGCTCAATTGAACCGCGACTTCGTCATCTGGATAGATGCGTATGGTTTCAGTCCTGATAGCATCGCAGAAATTCTCAAAGGGGCTATCAATAACGGCGATGACCAGGTCTGTCCTTGATAACACTCTCTTTGGGCGTAGAGCGACTCGTAGCCCTGCCGCGTTGTGATACGAGGCCCCGAAAGACATCATACCTTTCCATAGCCATGTCGGTGAGTAGTAATTTAATTCAAGAACGGATTCGGTGGTTGCACTGCAGTGAATATCGCTACAAGCCGTCTGCTGAGTTCCGGGTGCTGATCGGTAGTCGACTAGCAATGATCCAAGGAAAGGGACTGTCCAATTTGCTCTTCGACTCCTTCTCTGGCTGGAGTGGCACCGGCAGCGACATAGCTTAGAACATCTAATTTTTCTCATGGGGGCGATTTGCTGTGATTGGCTTGTACTGACATATGTTGATAATTTGCTATCATCATGACAAGCAAGCTGAGCTTCAGTTGAACTGTCCAGCGATGAAGCGGACTCTGCAGCATCAGTCTCAGACCCTTCAGTTTTCTCTTCACCCGAAAAAGTACTGGGGCTAATTCGTGAAGATGAATCTGACGGTCTGCGACTTGACATGTGTAGTGTAAACATCTCGAACTGATGTTGAAGTGCGTTGACTCTGCTCCGTGTTAGCCAACATCCGCACCTAGATCCAACACTTACTGTTCGCAAACAAGGCCCCTGCTTTGAGAAGTAAGAGCAAAATGAAGGTTCATTTTGGCGTCCATGGACTTTTCACGGAGCTTTTGCAACTTGTCGCTTTGCAATATCCACTTCCGCTTCTTGGCCTTGACTGCGTTGTTGTCTGTTGACTCCTTTCCACAATGTTCCAAGAAGCGTTGAAGCTCGCTGTTGATTTCTTCAAGTCGCTGAGCAGTGCGTTCTAGGAGCATCTCTCCCGCTCTGCCCGATACCGAGCTTGATCCCCATGTGGCAATTCCACTCTGGACATCATTGAGCATTGCTGTGATGAGACTGATCTGTGTAGATGTGAGCATTCTTACGTTAGTTAACCGGAAAGGGTGACCTGCGTCTTGCCTGAGCTCATTGAAATCATGCTGAATGTCTGGAATCTCATGCACAAGCCTGGCGATATGCCGGCCGGCGCCGATCGCTTGGCCAAGAGCCACTGAGCTCGCAACAGCCCCTAGGATTTCCATGGGATTGAGAAAAGCCGCGTGATCTATGCAGCTACCAAAGATGGCCTCAAAGAGAAAGAATGAGGGGAAAGAAAGCAGGCTATGAAAGAAGGTCTTTAAGAGGTCGAATGAACCAAGCTGATGACGCAGTTAGGCTGATTCAACCTACAGTTGCTGTAACACGCAGACTGCCTGCTGCGCCTTGCCTGTAGTAGGGTACCATCTTGGGGCGAATTTAAAGGAAAGTGCATATAATCTTGGGGGTGGCTGTCTGACTCGCTTTGGTGTCGTACAACAGAACTGACGTGGCGATACTTTCAAGCCTGTAAATGAAGATCTTTGGCAAAGGATAATAGGACTATGCATAGCATAATAGGACTGGAGCCGTAAGCCGTTTGTGATTTGAAATGACAAAATGATAATGCAGGTATTGGGCAGGCTGCTGAAGAGCCCCAGGCCGGCACGTGTTTGAGACAGAGCCGTGGAAGGTATGAAGCATCGTCAGAGCCCACCTTGACTGTTTCTCTTCTATTATTTAGATCACTGGTGCATTTCTTGACAACCCTACTTCAATTCAAGCAATGTTCTCTTGTCATCATGGTCAACGTCATCGGCATCCTCGGAGCCGTCGTAAGCGTCTTCACCATCCTCGACACCGCCTTCAACTATGTGCCCAAAGGCCGCAACTCGGTGGTTTCCGTCCGCGCAGCCCTCGACAAGAAAGGAGGAAGCGGTACGATGGGAGGCAAGATCGGTTTGATCCGGACCTGGAACAACAACCAAGAAAAACTGGGGGAGGAGTCTAATCGGAAGATTGGAACTGGGAGCCTCATAGAGGTGGAGGTCTCTCAGAAGACCAGCCAACAAGCAACGTACGTCTCGCTTCATGCCAGCAACGATGCCGTTTGTATTGCGTATGTTGCTGTTGCCTGGGTTGGAGGTGAGAGATACGCCTGGCTGGGTGATTTTGGCAAGGTGTGTGGATTGCCTTGGTATCCAAGCAACGTCTATGTGAGTGAAGCCGAACTATCGAAGCAAGTCAGGGTCTAACTACTCCAATTAAAGGTCAACAACGGGAAGCAGTAAGTCCTCATTTTACCGCGGCTTGATCAGAATTTGATCACAACCTAACAATCGCTCATAGCCAACCTACCTGCACATGGATCGACGGCGACGGTACCAACGGACTCTTTGCAAAGTCTTTCAGCATCCACTTCCCTACTTTTGCCCACGATCCCAAGAAACCATACTCGAAAACCCCCAAGAGCTACTGTGGAATCCATGGCTTCTTGGGATACCGAGACCTTCAAATGCGACAACCTGTGCCTGTGCCGAACAACAGCAAGAAACCCGTCGGCCCTCAACGTCGATCCATATCTGGCACGCGAGTCATCTTAACTAAGGAGGCTGGCTATAATACCACCGAGTTATGCACGTCTGAAACTTCCTGGGGTCCTGACTTTGTCTCCCTTGATGAAGGCCTCTACTGTGACATGGACAGTCGCGAGCTGTTGCCGGTTTGTCACCAGGACAAGGACATTGTTCCATGCTTTGACGCCAAGGCTATGAAGGTTGAGTACGGGGACAAGGTTGAAAGGGATGCAATTCCTCAACAGAAGGAGTTTACTGAGGTTATCCAGTGGTAGACTGGAATTAGTCCATCACGAGGTCATATTGGCCACCACACTCATTTCTTGTGAATGAAGCGCTTCAAAATTGACATTATTACATCTGGAATACTTTCTGAGGGGACTCATTGGGAGCGAGTGTTTGTGACGAGTACCTAGGTAGGAATTGAACAATCCAGTCTGACTTATTGACTTTCACCAATCCAGTTGGTGAACCCAGCGCCCAGCGACTCCGTAGCCTTGTAAAGAGCCTCAATCTCAGATGAATACTCATCCACAGTGAGCTTGCGCTGGACAGTTCCTTTGCCTGCTCTTAGCATAGGCTTGTCGGCGGATGTAAAGATGATCATGTCGTGGTGAATCCTGCTGCTCGGATAAACCGGCTTGTTTGCAGCTTCAACTGACGGCCAGATTATGTCAACCAAATTCTTCCGTTCCTCTTCGTTTTTCGGGGGATTGACAGCCTCCACCAACAGGCCTGATCGAGGGTACCCAGCACCAATGACCAGTGCCGCACTGACAGCAGGATTGGAATTAATGGTGCTCTCAATATCAATCGGGTTCAACTTGGCTCCACTAGAGGACACAATAACATCATCTGTGCGTCCCCGATAAAGCCAAAGGTCCTCTTTAGTCGGGTGCTTTGAATAGAGGTCCTTCATAGGCCACTCGTCCAGTTCAGGAAATGTCTGGAAAAAAGATTGGTACAGGTCGAGCTTTGGGTCCCGAACGACGAAGTGCTCGTACAGGTCTTCCGAGATTTGACGAAACTCTGAACCGATGACATGGCTATAGCTCACGTATTGCCAATCTTCTTTGTCGAGGAGATAGGAGGGAAGAGGACCGCCTTCAGTCATTCCGAGACAGTTGATTAGCTGTGTTCTGCTGGTAATGGCGTCTCCCACAGCCTTGGGAATCGAACCTCCTCCAAAGCCGACTATATCTAGACGACCGAGGTTGTCTAGATACGTTGGGTTCTTGACCAGATCGCTCAGAATGAAGGGGACATGGGCGCATTGCTGCACGTTGCCATGGACGTGAACCGCATTGGCAGTCTCGGCCGAAAGGGGGAACGGCCCGAGGACTACAATGAAACCAGAATAGATGCACAGGGGAAGAATCATCCAAATACCGGCGCAGTGGCAGAGGGGAAAGCCCAGGTAGAGGCGAGCCCCAGCCCACTTGGAGAAATACGTGTGGGGATAGCCCAAGGATGGCAATTGCATGCAGGCATCCACTGTAGCGATCGTTCCGTGTGTCTGGACCAGAGGTTTGGGCATGCCGGTAGAGCCAGAAGTGTGCAAGACGATAAACGGTTCTGACCTTGCCTCCTCAAATGTCTTTGTGTAAGGGTACAACTCAACAGGTCCGTCTTCTAGCCAATGCTGCAACGCGGGCATTTCCAGGACATTCATGCCACGTGCCTGAATGAGTTGTCCCACGATAGGCAAAGGGAACTTGGGAGGGACGAGAAACGTGTTGCAATCAGTCTCTTTCAGGAGGAAAAGACTTGCTTCGAGGGTGTTTCGCGGCGAGAGTAGAAGAAGCTTGTACCCCGTCTTGACACAAGCGAGCGTGAGGATACCATAGACGACATCTTGCGGGCCAATGAATGCGAGGGTTGGAAAGTTTTGACCTCGACCGAGGTGTTTCTCGATATACCAGGCACATTTGTTGACGGCCCGGGCAAAGGTTTTGGCGTCGATGTCTTGGAATCCGTCGGCGGGGTTGTTGGTCTTTGTCATAGAGTAGAAGACACGGTCTGGATCGGATATGGCGATTTCGTCAACGAGAGAAGGCAGAAGACGCCTGCCATGTTGTATTGGTGACATTGTGAAAGGTTGATGGTGAAACTTGGAGAATGATTATCCGAGAGAGGTTGCTTCGCCACTCTTGTCGATGAGGAGATACAGGAGATCTACCAGTTTCTTAAACGCATCTGAAAGAAGCGGGGACTTGGAATTTATATCCCTATGAAGTTACCTATCTAAGTTCAGTGACGCGCTCTAAGCCTTTCTTCCGAAACCTGATCTTACATGCATCTCTATAGACCAAGACGGTTACAAGTTGCGGCTACAATTATGAAGCCCCTGCCCTCTGAGGCGGTGGTCTGATTGAGCGGCCCGAGATGCTACAAGCGATCGACGCCAAGCGAGTTCGTCAGCTTACCTGGGAACTGGGCGCCGTGTGGGACTTGTTTTGGAGAAGTGCTGATGATCTTTTCTGAAATGGAGGAGGTAATTGACTGCCTCAGTTAGAGAAGCATTCGCTGTTCACTAAGAACAAAATGTTTTGAGGCAATACGACTCTTGAATTGAAAGGCTTTTGTATAGCAGCCAATTGCTAGATATACCATCTAGCGTGGCATGGCAGGTACAGGGATGACCTATCTAAACAGTCTCAACGCTGCGTCGTCACCAAACAGGGTATATCTTGACTGTAACCCCCCGAGCCACATCATTCATTCGCAATGCCAGCTCATCTACTCCTCCGGCAATCCAGGTAGTGTCGAGGGAATAGCCTTGACTGGCCACACATAGTTCTTCTCGTAGCGAGTGCTAAACGACCACTTTCCAGATCCGACAACCTCGGTCTTTGGTCCTTCGGGTGCTGGGAGGATAACTTCCATTGTGGTTGTTGGCGGAACGACCACGTCGACCTGGAGTGTGAATGCACCCTTCTCGCCCTCTATCTCCTTCAGGTTCCAGGAGCTGGAGACGATGCCGTATGGTGTTAGGTGCTGTGCTGACGCCCACTTGAACTCGCCTCCAATCTCAGGTTGCACTCTAGTCTTCTTCCAGCCTGATTCCAACTGTTGGAGACCGGCCAAACGCTCGACCATGAACTTGGCCACGGCACCATAAGCGTAGTGGTTGAAGCTCGTCATCTCGCCTGGGTTGATGGTGCCGTCGGGCAACATGCTATCCCAGCGCTCCCACATGGTTGTTGCACCCATGGAGATGGTGTATAGCCATGAAGGACATGTCTCGTTTAGGAGTATTGAGTAAGCGACATCACTGTGGCCAGTTCGCGTGAGGGCTTCGCAGATGAAGGGTGTACCGGCGAATCCTGTACCAACGCAGAAGCCGTTGCGTCGGACAATGTCGACCAGACGCTCACCAGCACGGGCGAGCTGATGTGACTCAAGCAGATCGAAGCAGATAGCAAGACAGTAAGAAGTCTGGCACTCTGACAGAATGCGGCCACTAGGTGCCACGTACTCGCTCCTGAACTCGGCACGGGCGCTGGCAGCTTCAGACTTGTAGCGCGCAGCATCCTCAGTTCGGCCCAGGATCTCTGCAACACGGGCTACCAAGTCGAGACTGCGGACGAGGAAGGCGTCGGCGACTAGATGGGGGTTCGCCTGGGCCTTGTGTGGTGCGTCTGGGGGTGCGGTGGGATCAAGCCAGTCCTATCGCCAGTTAGTTCTGATATATAATCCGGGGAAATAATTCTTACAGCAAGCTGGGCCGAGTTGGAGTCCCAAAGATGAGTAGCACCCGTCTTGTTTCTGGGAATACACTTCAGCCACGTCTCCATGGACTCATACTGATCCGCCAGAACAGTAGGATCCGCCGTCTCCTCCCACAAAGCCCAAGGGGCAAGGACAGTTACATCATGCCAAATGGCACACGGCCATGGGTTTCCCCAGAACTTGTTGTAGCTGAGGATATTAGGTGTCACCATGGGAGGAATACCCTTCTGCTTCTTCTGGTCGGCCCAAACATCTTGTAGCCAGTCTCGCAGGATGGAGACACATCCATAAACAAAAGTTGCTGTGGGGGCGAAGAGAGCGAGATCGCCGGTCCAGCCGAGACGTTCGTCGCGCTGGGGACAGTCTGTAGGGATGGAAACGAAGTTGCCCCTCATACCCCAGCGGACGTTGCTAAAGAGTTGGTTGAGCTTGTCGTCAGAGCAGGCAAATGTGCCCTGCTCCTCCATGTCTGTGTTGCAAACCACAGCTTCTAGCACATCCAGCAAGTTATCCTCCTTCGAAGGCCAGTTATCAATCTGCGCGTATCGGAAGCCGTGGAAGGTGAAACGAGGCTCATATGACTCGCCCTTTTCGTCTCCCTTGAGGGTGTAGACATCCTGAGCTGCAGCAAAACGAAGAGGCCTAATTCCTAGCTCCTCCTTTTCCATGACTTCGGCGTGAGTGATGGTGACGGAATGACCGCGGGGTCCCTTGATGGACTTGATGCGGATGTATCCGACCAAGTTCTGTCCAAAGTCGAGGACAGTCTTTCCAGAAGGCGTTGTGATGAATTTAGTGGGCTTGACAGTCTCAATTCTTCGTACAGGCTCCGAGAAACCAGCATTGAGAGTAACAGAGTCGGAAATCGGCGGGAGGATATCGACGGCCTTCCAGTCTCCGGAAGCAACGCCAGGGCTCGACCAACCGGGGATCTCTGCAGTCGCGTCGTACTTTTCTCCATCGTAAATCTCTGCCAACTTGATAGGCCCTTGCGAAGCTGTCCAAGTCTCATCCGTCACGACAGTGTAAGTAGTACCGTCCTTGAGTTGGACTTCAAGCTGTGCCTGAAGACCGGTGCGGGAGCCCCAAATGTTGCGCTGGCCTCCCTCAAATCCGAGTCGACCCTTGTACCAACCTTCAGCGACATGCACGCCGAGACAGTTCTCCCCAGAAGATAGGAGCCCCGTAACATCGTAGGTTTGGTAGTTCAGCTGCGAATCGTAGCAGTTCCAGCCAGGAGCCAAGAAATAATCACCGACTCGCTTTCCATTGAGCTCGGCTTCGTAGATTCCTTGGGCTGTGATGTAGAGTCTTGCAGATTGAATATCTGCTTCCACCTTGAACTCTTTGCGGAACAGATCTGGAGGCTGGGGCTTGTCGTTGTTGTCGTCTGACCAGGGTGCTGAGATGAGCTTGCTGGTCCATTCTTTTCTGTCAAAGAGGCCAGCCTCCAGAGTCGCTGGTTCGCTCCATGCTGTGGGTTCTGATTGTCCCTTTCCACGGGCTCTGACTCTGACTGTATAAATCTGGCGAGATTGAATAGACTCCTTGTGTGGCCAAGCAACCAGCTGTGAATCGGGAGATGTCCTCTTGACGGAGCAGACCTCCGCAGCCTCTCCTCGAGTGACCTTGCTCAGCTGAAGCTCATACTCTTCCTGGGTAAAGTTCTCGTGCGCATTTTCGAATCGCCATGAGATGCGAGGTTTCGTCTCATGCACGCCCAGAGTGTTTTCCGGGCGGTAATGCTCAAAGCGAACGTCGACGACCTTGAGGGAGGACATGGTGAAGCGGGGTTACATTGACTGGCACTTGGAGTCCAGGAGGGGGATAGTTTGGACGACTTCGGAATATATTTGCCAGATGTTGGTTTTAGCCTAAAGTTCAGTCTCTATTCTTTGTAGAAGTCGTACCTTGTTGTATCGGTTGAATCGAGGCCGAATTATCGTGTCAAGAACGATTAATGTAGTGTCATCATCTGAGCATCAAGACGACCCCTCATGTCAGGTCGGCCTATGATGGCCCGAAACGGCGACCTTCTGAGACAGCAGCCAATCGCCCATTATTCGGAACTAGTAGTGGATCTAAGGTTACAAATGTCTCCATCCTTGTCCCCAGCTGTCGGGTTCTGTCCTTCTCCGCGAACGCTTCACATTGCCTGATACGGCAATGTATGGTCAGATGAGGTTGTTTTTGGTGGATCATGGTTAAACCACGGGAAGGCTTGGAAGCTGATAAACCCGCAGTATCACGCACACAGCGAAGAGGATGCTCAAACTGGATAGTAGAGGATGGCTTGTTCGGTCAAGATGGGCGCGAACGTGGGTTCTTGTATCTGCCATTCCGCTTCGTCCCCACCAAACTAACCATCACGAATCGCGCTGTTTCGGTGGATTGACATGCCGACCAAACGCCAACATAGCGATCTTCATTTCTTTTACCACCCCGAGATTCATTGCCGATGCCATACCCATGTAAAGTTGTCACCTAAGCCCCACGCTCCTCCCCGCGCTGTCTCTTGAGTCTGGGGAACATGACTTATGACAGCATGCCCAGCTCACTGGAAACCTGGGGTTAGACCTGGGGTATCGTTCAGAAACAGCAAAGAGTTGGGCTCTTTTTTCCAAGAATCGCCAAGGTCTTGGGCCGTAATTTAGGCCTGGAGAATGCGTCAAGCTGAATGGCATTACTCATGTTGAGCTTGTATATATAGAAGATGCTATTCCCATTTGTTCAAGTGTGGAGGCATTATTGAGCCACACCTGTTGAATCATCCGTGATAACACCCACAATGACTCGTGAGAGTATCGAGCCTAAGCCCGGCGTCAGTCAGCATGACAACCCGGCTGACAATGAACATGGCATCACTCGCAAGGACCTCGCCTTAGATGCTGCCTCCAAAGGTCAGGGTGTCTCTGGCTATGAGACGCTGTCTTTGTGGGAGACTGTCAAGGCCTTCAAGGTCAATGCCGCCATTTGCTTTGCAGTCACTTTTAGTGCTGCCACCGATGGGTATCAGATTGGGTACTTACAAGCTTTTCCTACATATCGTTCAATCATGTTAACCTGCGTAGCATCAATGGAAACATAATCGCCAACCCAGGCTTTGTCCACCAATTTGCCACAAAGCTCAACGATGCCGGCGAGCCCTTCCTCGCTTCCGACATTCTTGCCGGCTGGAGCTCCATCATGTCGGTCGGCCAGATCATCGGCATGACCCATCTGACCTTTGTGTCGGACCGCTTCGGCCGCAAGGTTGCCATGTACTGGTACTGGTTCATCCTCGCCTGCAGCGTTCTGTGTGAGAGTCTGGCACGGAGGTGGGAGGTTTGGCTTATTGCTAAGCTTCTTGCTGGTATTGGCGTGGGATGTTTGCAGTCTACTATCCCGACTTATATCTCTGAGGTCGCACCTATTCGAATCCGTGGTGGATTACTCATGAGTTATAGTCTTTGGTTCACCGTGGGACAGTTCATGGCACCTGTTGCGTTGCAGGTCCTTTCTCAGACCGACCGCCATGACTGGCTCACGCCTATCTATACCCAATGGGCACAGATCGGCCTCATGATTATAATCTACCTCCTTGTCCCTGAATCACCTGCTTGGTGCGTCAGTCGGGGCAAGCACGAGCAGGCAAAGAGATCTCTTCGAATTCTCCATCACGGCGTCAAGGACTATGATGTTGATCAGCAGTTTCAACTCTTATCCATGGCTATTGATCACGAGCGTACTTTCGCGGCAGAACAGCGTCGTGAAAAGTGGTACGCAATCTTCCAGGGCATAGATGGGCTGCGCACTCTCATCGCCCTGTGGACCTTGCTTACCCAGCAATTCATCGGCCTCACACTCTTTGGAACGTTTGGAAGCTACTTTTTCCAACAGGCTGGCATCTCTGACCCATTCAAGTACACTTGTATTACTTCTGGCATCAATGTCGCCGCCGGTATCGCCTTGATCTTTGCAGCGGATTGGGTCGGCCGTCGCAAGCTTTCTTGCAGTGGCACGACTCTCTCTTGGATCTCGACTACCGCTATTGGCATTCTTGGGGTAGTTCCTCAAGTTTCTGCAACCAATTATCTCATGGTGGTATTTGCCGTCCTTTGGAGTAAGTAATAATGCCTCCAAGATTAACTCTTGCTCACAGACTTGTAGACCTTGGAATGGTCTCCAATGGAGCTACCGGCTGGGGCTTTATCGGTGAAATCTCATCTCAGCGCTTGAGGCCATACACAGCTGGTTTCGGTGCCGCGTCGACATGCGTTGCCGGCGTGGTCATGAACGTCCTCACTCCTTACATGGTCAACACCAACCAGTGGAACTGGGGTCTCAAGACGGGCTGGTTCTACGCAGGACTGGGCCTGCCTTTTACCGTCGCCATGTGGTTCTTGATTCCCGAAACTGCTAGGTTCGTTTGGTCCTTCAATCTGTTAATCTCGGTCTGACATTTATACAGCCGCTCACCTGCCGAGTTGGACGAGTTGTTTGAGAGAAAGGTTCGCCCTTGGCGATTCCACAAGACGGAGACGGCTACCCAGCGCATTGTCAGGGTTGATGAAGTTGATGAATAAGGCAATGTTCGCACAGCAACGAGATTTCTCATGCCTGGTAGTACAATCTGCCAATTAGGAGGTGGGATCAGTGTTGGGAAAAGAAAGCACCCGGGACCATATTATCTCTCTTTTATGCCTATCTCCCCAGGCTGTTCTCCATTTGTGTCAATTATACCTCATCAAACGAACCTGTCCTTGATCTCTTCCGTCTCTGCTTCTCGACCGACTCCCAACAGCCGTTGCCCCTTTCTCGTCAGATGCGTGATCCCATACCGGAGTCGCTCGCCTCTCATCATCTTCGTGATATCTATTGCCGCCATGCCTCCAACTTCAGGCCACAACTCGAGGAACTTGGAGTCCCGCACGGCTGTCGAAGCATAGCCGAGAATCTCAGGACTGTCAGCAAGATGAGCGAAGACCACGCTGAGCACACCACTGCACAGAAGCACGATGCATGACACGAAGCAGAGAGTGATCCAGGGCTTAGATATCGTGTATGCTTGAACCAAGTTGCTGACCTGAAAGGGATCTTGACGTTTCCCCAGAGATCCATACTGTCTGTCTTGGCTGTCGTTGGAGTTAAGAGTAACGCACTGTACCAGTTGCCCAGATATCTGATGTCATCGTCAATAATCCCGAACTCTGGTCCTCCTATTGTCCTTAGCTGGGAAAAGATGGAGGCAGCGTCCGAGTCGAAATGAATAATGGTTGAGTTCTTTACGACGGGTTCCAGACGTGAGCCGAGAATACGTAGCAGAGACTGCCCACCCAGAGGTGAAAAGATCCATATGAAGAGCAGCCCGGCCCCCAGAGGGTTCATTACACAGAGCTTGGCATGGGTCAGAACGGCTGAGCCAACTATCTAGCTTCCCAGGAGCTGCTCCAGCGTGCCGAGGGTGACTCCCTGCTCGAGTTTCCATCGCGCAACCTCGTATACGAAGCGACCGACCGTGGAGGCAAAGATGATGGGGAATAGTGTACCGAGCTAATCGGGGTTGTTAGCCAGCTTTGTTCTGTACACATTGAAAGGGCCACCTACTACGGTGGTCGCGTTGTTCCATTTCGCATAAGAAGTCTCGCTGGCTTCTGAACCGTCAATACATAAAACCATGACTGCGAAGACGATGAGGGCAACTGGTGATGCAACGGCGGCCACGTCTCCGAGGATCGTGGCCAAGTCGAGGCCGTGGCGCTCCATTCGCGGCATTTCACTACCCTGTGGATCCCCATTTTCGTTCTCAGAAGTGTCAGGCTCGCTTGTTATCGGATCTAGATTAGCCTGCTGGCTCTCTTCTTCCTCATGACCCTGTGTCTCTCGGTATGGGACAGGTTGGTAGTAGGTAGTAGCAGGTGCAGAGGAGGAGTGGCTGGATGCGTGATCCATTCTGAAAAGCTTAAAGGGCAAGCGTATGTGTTCATTGAAGACCTCTAAGGGCAGCCGATGGAGGACTACTGCCTTTAAGACATTTTCCAAGCAGGTTTCGGGCTGGCGTGGGCCCTTCGCCTCCAACAAGGCCAGTGGCACACGGCAGGTAGGACAAAAATCTCGCCAAGGCCCGCAGATCGTGGCCTGCATGTCATTACGTTCAGAATGATAGGCTTAGGGGAATAGCAGTACTACCTAATGGGGGAATCATAGCGAGAAGACGTACAGGAATCTTACATTGATTACGACAACTCCGGTTGAAAGCAACGCTTAGCCACAGACGAGTCTCGCAAGCCTTACACCATCAGTAGCAAGATGCAGTGTAAGTGATACAAGCTACTAAGCCGGAAACCACAGCGAGCTTATTATTTCTCACGCAGCACTGCCTGATGTCTTCCCCATGTACACGATCTACGAGTTCAACCTGAATAGATATCCGTTGGAATCAACACCAATCCCCTCCTCAATTTGACCTTCGAACCTTTTCCCCATCAACTCCACATGCCTCACACGCCCACTTTTCTGCCAAAGTATTGGCTTCACATACATCCGTCGAGCTACCGTTGCCTATAGACAGCCGCGTGCTCAGGGTCTATCTCGACATGATCTGGAGGCAAAAAGCTGAGCAATCAAGCATACCATTCTCTCGGAATGGGCACCTTGAAGCGCGGAATTAAAGGTCTCGGAGGGAGTCGAACCCTCGCTGGCGGAATCAGAATCCGCAGTCATGACCGTTAGACCACGAAACCTGAAGGGTTGTAAATACAGGTTCTGAACTGCACTCATGCCATCACCATGTCGGGCCCGAACAGCTATGGCCGGATAGTCAAATAGCAGACTTGATATCACGGCCATCGAAGTCAAAGTGTCTGCAGGCGAATATAGGTAGTTGGCCGCTATTGGGATATCAGAATTTCGGCAATTAATATTTCGAAAGCTCGAGATAAGAGGTTGAAAAGAGTGAGAGCTGTTTTAAATAGCTCCACTTCTTACTGAGCTTATAGGTTTCATATTATCCTTGGCAAGATACCGCTCAACTCAGGGCTGTCTTGACAGAAGCCGACCTCTGCCAGATCGCCACTTGAGCACAAGGAACGCGCAGTCTTGATAATACTCTTTATCTTCCTTCTGCAGACATTCTACCAGAAGACTGTCCAGACCTCATTCTTTAAGATCAACATATCCTAATAACATTTGACTAATCAAGTTGAACCAATCTACCTTGGGGCTGACTAGCTCTGAAACCCCAGGGGACTGGAAGCGCTACTGATATGTAACAGATTGCGTCAGGGGATCTATTCGATCAAGATACGCAGAAATATGGGCCTTGGCCTTATTTTTACAAGTCTCGACTCTTTTAGAGGACGCCTCGCGCCGTGTCTCTCGCTGTGAAAAAGAGGCTATCTTCAACTATCCAATAAACTAGTGATTTCGAAGTGGGCCTGGTAAATACAACCCCTTCCAGCTCTCATATAAGTCTCCCTTATTAATGACGGGTTTATTATCTTGTTTACTTTTCGGAATTTCCGTGAAATCACACAATCCAGCAGCATCATGCAGTCGCGCGTTATCTACGGCTTCATCGCCGCCGCGTCGCTGTTCAGCAGCAGCATAGCTGGGCCTTGTCTGCCATCCGTATCCTCCCTCTCTGGCACCTCTAGCACCGAGAACATCCCATCCAGCACAACCGACAGTGCTTCATCCTTGACAAGCACTACCTCGTCACTAAGTTCCACCGAGGACACTACATCAACTACCGAGATCACATCAGCCACTGGGATCACGTCGAGCACCGAGATCACCTCAACCGCCTCTCAGGAACCATCCGCCTCAACCACCGAGACTACCACCCAGCTGTTAAGCACCTCGCAAGCCACTTCAACCACCAGCTGCGTTTCCAGCTCCACCAGCAGCGTGGAGCCCATCCCCACGTTCTACATTTACGTTGCCAACACCGACGCTAAGAGTGTCAGGGGCGCCAACCCCCTCTACCGGGACGATATTCCCGACTCAGAGATTCGCCTGAACCTTTACTCAATAACGCCAGGCGATGACCTCTACCGGTTCGGCGAGTTCCACGTCCAAGAGTCCACGAACCGCCTCATGATGGGCGACTTCTACGTCTCGGCCAATTCCCAGACGGATGTCACACTCAAGGCCAGGCCACTATCGGATGTCACAGGAGATGAACAGTTCGTCCTGTGTGAGCCTCCTTTGGAGTATGGGCAGAAATTTCTTTGCTCGGTCGACTCGACTTCAAGGACGGCGTGGTATGTTCTCACCGCGCAGACACATGATACTGCCGTCTATCTTTTGGATCCGGGCAATGTTCCCGACGAGTACACTTCCTTTGAGTTCCTTGTGGACCGGATTTGAGACGGCCTCTAGCAGAAGATGATGACAGAGTGAGGTTGGGTTTTTAGGACACGAGCAGGAAAATAACTGGGTTAATATATATGATGCCTTAAAGGAAGCTGTGTTGTACGTTATAAGCTGACTGAATATTTATTTCATAACATAAATTAGATTAATTTTCTTTACCAATGTCTCTTTTTCTTTTCACCTTCCTTGCGTTATGAAGACTGTCTGTCCACATATGGCGCCGTATTATTATTCAAATTGGGTTTCAGGACTAGGATCATGTTGAAACCCACATTTTCTACTCTCTGACTGTCTTTTTGTCTCTGTGGGGAGCAAAGGGGCTGTGTATTTACTCCTGAGGGTTTTGTATGTGTCCTTTTGACCTCACGTTTCCCCATACCACGAATCTAGGTCAGCCCTGCGTACCTAGGACCTTGGAACCTCTTCTCCGAATATTGAGCACAATGTCCAGATGACGCACACCAAGCGGTGCAACTTCATTACTTGCCATGATCCGTGCAGTCTTGATGGCGCTTTTTATTTGCCTCCCGTTAATATCCCACTGCGAGAGGTTGTCCAAGTCCGCGTCATCAAGATCCACAGAGCCTGGAGGTAGCCGACTGATGAAGTTGGACCAGATTTGTCTTCGGGCATCTTGGCTCAGGTGATCGTAAGTCAGTATAATATCGATACGAGACTCGAAAGCTGAATCGATTTCCTCGGTCCTGTTGGTGGTGAGGATGAGAACGCCTTGGTAATATTCCAGTGATGTCAACAACACTAGAGTCAGTCGTTAGCAAAGTTCTTTCTGAAAACTGGGTTTGGTATGTTGACCTGATACCAGCTCGTTTTGAGCTAGTCTATCGCTAGATCGCTTTTCCAGAAACACATCGGCCTCGTCAATGAGTAGCACTGCGTTCCAGTGCGAACATCGACGGAAAGCTTCTTTCAGAGAAGATTCAACATTTTCGGCAGAAAGGCCTAGGTCGCCAGCCCCGACCCTGTACAGGGGCCTCTTGAGCTCTTCGGCTACTACACTAGCAGTCAGTCTCGAACTGGCAAAGCTGCTCTTGAATAGAAGTACTTGATTCGGCGGTCAAAGTCTTGCCTACTCCTGGTGGCCCAGCAAGAAGTAAGATCAACCCCTTTCCTAGATTCCAAGAGGTTAGTACCAAGTTGCATATGCCCGAGCATATAGGTAAACGTGAAGAAAATAATGGTCGGTTTGCAATACCTTTTCCTTCTATAAAGTCATCAAACCCTCCATCCCCCTCCTTGGCAGTATGTGCAACTAGCGCTAGAAGCAGCTGTTTCTCTTCATCTGGGATGACGAGATTGCCCAGTAACTTCTCATTCCAGGTGATGGGAGTGATATCGCTGACGGCGAATTCGAACCACTTCTTCATACTGAGGGCGAATCCCTTGACGCGTGGTACAGCCAACATGCACTGCTTTTCCGTCAGGGCGGTTTTCTGTTGACTCCTCGTGTGAATGCCACCAGGGTCATTAGCGGAATCTGTCTCCTGTTTCCCCTCCTCACTTTCAAGCTCTGTTAGGTTCGGAACCGAATGGTGCTGGAACCTGTAAAAGGCATTGGCGTCGACGATTATGCGCTCCGATATCTAGAGCCAGTAAGTAATGGGCGTGAGAGTAAGAACAGAAACCCACATACAAAGATCGTCTTTCGTTCCCATCCAGACTCTAAATGCACCAACCCATTGTAGTTTTTGACGTGCTGACCGCATAAACCCTCAAAGGCCCTTCCTCTGTCAATCAAACGCTGCTTGATTTTCTCTTGATCTGGATGAGTCCCGAGAGGGAAAACGTTCAGCTCCGTCGCTTTACGGAATCCCTGAAAGTTCTCAATCTTCCAAATCTTTTCTCTGTACCCAAACCCCTTCCCATTCCAATCCAGCATCTGGACCCTGAATATGCATACAAGGCCTCCCATAAACTCCTTCTCGATGGACGCATGCCTCAGGATGCCGGCCGAAAGCACACCATCCTTAGATCTCAGTACGATCTCGCCAGGCATGAATGCCATCAGAATGTTGGGAAAGGTGGTGTAGCCCGTCTTGCGGAACTCCTGAATGGACTGAAGAGAGCTATGCAGCTCCATCTCTAGGGTTTCTCGTAGAAGCTGGAGGAGCTCCTTTGACTTTTCGTTGGCTGCAGTCTTTTCTGCCAGAAGCAAGCGATCCCAACGTTGTATCAGGCCCATGAAAGGAGGTCGAAGCTCAATGGTCGGGGCTGCAGCATCGATATTGACGCAACCAGAAAGTATATCCGCTAGACATCTCTTCAGCTCTGGACTCTGAACAACGATAGAGTCTGTCTGGAGAGTGGCATTGTGGTAGTGGATGATGGCAAAGTCCCTGGCCTCATCCCTTCCGCCAACGGCTCTGCCAAGCTTCTGCTGGACACGAATGGCAGTTGGAACTTTGGTCGAGTAGATCGCTTCTCCGGCCATGTTTTTCTCTTTTGTATCATAAAGGTGCCTTATTTCAGCTTTCCCGCCGAGTTCGTATTCGTCCCCGTTCTCAACTTCGTCTTTGTTGGAGGTAGAATGGTTCGATGAATAGTCCATCGTAGAGGAACGGCTGCTAGCCTCTGTGTCGTTTTCCCCAGTCCTGGTTCCAAGAGATGCATCTATTTGCTTCGACCGGGTCGATTTATTATTGACGGGTGCCTGGGAATGATGGAGATCGTCTTGTCGAACACTGTCTTCAGTTCTAGGCGCAAAGTCGTCATTGTGGCCTATTTCTGATTGGAGCGCCTTGACTGTGAACTTTTCGTCATCAAACACATCTTGGATAGCAGCTAGCCGGTCCTCAAGCCTGGCCGCTTTGGTGCCCTGCATTCTCTGTGATATGCTGTTTGCCAATGGTCTTGGGACTGGGTTCCGGGGTTGAGAGGGTTATCCACAGCGAGCCAGGAGAAAAAAATGGTCGGGAATGGGCGATGAAGATGGGCTTACGGAAAACTTTTGATCAGTTGATTTTCTTTACCCTTAAAGGGGCAATTCTGCTCTTTTCTTTTTCTTTTGGGCCTCAGGCCAGATATCTCAATTCCAGATTGCGATACCGAGGCAGCTGAAGGTCTACTTATTGGGCCACCTGCATGCAGCCTGAACATACCTGAGCACCCTTCTTCCGGGAGATTTCCCAAACCCTTGTTCGAGTTTTATTGAAAACCTCACCCTACTGGCCGCTTTCCGACCGGCCGAGTCAAGTTGAGGCCTCCTGGGATAGACATGCCAGCTCACTTGGCGTACCTCAGCTGAAGCCCGTCCCAAAACCTCACTGGCCTACGGTTCTGTGTTATGATATCATATTGCTTGCCGTAATTGAGCCGTTTTTCTTTTTTATGACCTGTCACATTGGTTAGAATCTCGGAGTTGCATGGATCGTGGATAGCTGAAGAATAACCCTGATCAGCTGATGGCGACCGTTTTCAGCTCTACACCGTACGCCATCTTGGCTCGTCTTACCCTCTTTTCTTATCAGATATCGGTTGTTCCCAGAAGCTTTCATGTAAGAGATTATAGTAACGTCTCACATTCCATACCTCTTCTAAGTGAAAATGGATCTTATCAAAGTCTTAGCCCAGCCGGCTCCTTCTACTTCTGTCCAGGAGACATTCGCCTATGGCAAAACCTAGCTCAGCCCTGATCAACTCTTGGTGCTGTTCCTTCTGACCGAATAGTATGAGAAAGACGGGAAGCTTCGCACGGCAGACCAGATGTAAAAAAACTGGCTCTTGTTTATAACTATTTTGACACAAGCTATAGAAGAAAGTCGCCTCCACTCCGTTTCAGTTCATACTGATACTCAGGCTCAAACTGCAGATACATGACCTCGGGAGTTCCAGTCCCATCTTTAGTGTACTGCGCCTCTTCATCGCTCACCAAGGTCTTGGCCAGCTGCGATCCATCAGGGGCCACGGCCGACTCAACGAGCAGCTGAGCCTGGCACGCCCTCTCCAAGGCGATGAAGAACGCAGCAGCTTCGCCAATGGTGCCTCCTGAAGTCAGCAGGCCGTGGTTCTGCAGAATGATATTTTTCTTGGTGGCACCGAGCGCATCAGCAAGACGGGCACCCTCCTCCTTGGCAAACACGACACCGCCGAAATTGGCGTACACGGCAAGATCCTTGTAGAACATGCAACTGTCCTGGTTGATCATCTCAATCGGTTTACCAAAGGTTGACCATGCGCGGCCGTAGGGGCTGTGAAGGTGGCATGCGGCGTTGATGTCGGGGCGACGCTTGTGGATAGCAGCGTGGATGATGAAGCCGGCTTTGTTGACGAGCTTGTCTGCGCCGCCGATCCTGTTGCCTTCTTCGTCGATGTGGACAAGGTCAGACACTTTAATAAGACCAAAGTGAACGCCGTAGGGGTTGATCCAGAAGGTGTTTGGCTGAACAGGGTCTATATACAGTCGTTAGTATGCGGTGTCTCGGTGTATCACAAGCCTGATCATAACTCGTAGCCTACCTCTCAAGCTAATGTGACCACTGCTTCCATCGGCATAGCCAAGTCTCGCGAAAACGCGAAAGGCTCCGGCCATTTGCTCTAGTTGCCATCGTCTGGTTGCCTCCTTTGTTGCAAACTGTGGAATCTTTTGCAGACGCTTCACCTTGCCATCCTTGTCTGTCGAGACATTCAAGCTGGATTGACTTTGAGGGGCGGCTGTCGCTGTTATGGTTGCAGTTGAAGACATGATTGATAGTCTCACGATCAAAAGGAGTGTGCAGTTGATCTATCTCTATCGCCTGATAGATACGGGAACGATAGAATAGGAAATGTTTACGGACGAGGGGGTCATATATAACCGGTGGCTTCTGAGTGGTGAGTTGTGTTTAGTCACCCGGATGTGTGCCGTGGGTTTTCGGGTATCATCCGCATGTTACCATCTTGAAGGGTATGACGGCATTGATGCTGTGTCCTTATCCGTGATAGGTGCAGACTCAACTGTGGACATATCCGCCCCTTATCCGTGGTTGTGGATGGAGCCTTCTACCGCCCAGTCATAACCCATTTGAGTTCTTACAAAGCTAGTTAATCGCTAGTAGTAGCTGCTTCTCATCAAGATAGATATACTAGTATAGATGGCGGGTTCATTATCACGTTAACATCGGACCTGATACCGCACAGCACTCTATACGCAAGCTCTTCTAGGTCAGGATGAGTTAGATAGAGTCTAGGTTTAACATAGAAGCCTTTTTCAAATTATTATATCGACATCTATACATCCTTTTTAAAAAATTCATCAAAGGTTCGCTAGGAGGGTTGTCGATCGTTTCATGGAAGGCCAATACCTCCCCCTAGTGAGAATCGTTGAAAGTGAAAGGAACAAAAGGACACACTAATAAACGCATGGCATCATCAAAATGTAACTAGAATTGGGGTTCGATGCCGCCATCCTTTTATTGATGTGTTCTCTGATATTGCGCACGACAGAGACGTCTTTTCATTTCAATCAGTTTATTCACTGAGGTTCTATATTGGTCATTGACTTTTCGCGATCGACGCGAATCATATATACTGGCTTTTATGCAGAATCAACACGTAAACTATATACTAGAAGAGACCCAGATACCCGCTTAGAAGGTGTGGGCGGGAATGTTGATCTCGCTGGCAACCCAGGTCTTGCCGCCGTCGTCACTGGTCAGGTCGCCGGTGACGCCCTGGCCCTTGCCGAGGGTCTGGACGTAGTTGGGGTCGGGGGAGTCGAGGATGATCTTGGTGTCAACCCACTCTGAGGAACGTGTTAGTTTTTGTGCAGGTTGATAGGTGGTCAAGACTTACGGTGAGCTCCGATGGAACCACAGTCCTCGGCGCCGCACTCGACGGCACTACCCCAGCCCATGGCGTGGTGGCCCTTGGATGTGCTCAGGGTAGAGACCTGCTGGCCGTTGATGGAGACGTACTGGACGTACTCTTGGGTGGAGTCGTCGAACTTGTCTGTCGGTCCTTGTCAATGTGTTTCTACTCTTACAAGTTGCGGTGTCTTACAGTGCATGGTGATGCGGTCGCCCTTGCCAGCAGGTGTAGGGTTCTCATCCTGAACGGGCATCTGAGAGTTCTCTCCAGTCTTGACCAGAGTGTAGGCAAAGATGCTCCACTTGTCAGACTGCCAGTTGTCGGCGATGGACTGGATCAGATCGCCCTTGTCGGTACCCATACCAACCCAGAGGGAGGCAACACCAGATGATCCGCTAGGGACGTCGGGGAGGACAAGAGTTGAAGTAGCCTCTCGGATCCACGAGTTGGCGCCCACGGGACCGGTGCTGAAGGCAGGGCCCATGGCGGCCTGCACAGAGGCGACGGCCATGGCGGCGAGGGCGGAGAGGATCTGGCTGGAGGAAGGCATCTTGAAGTGATTGAGTCGTAAAGCTTGTTGATGATTTTCGATTCCAACTGGCAAGAATCAAACATCTTATATATATCAGTCCAAGGTAGTTTCATCAATGAACAAACACTAGCCGTGATTGGCGGACCATCTCGACTCTCCACGTCCGAGTCCCGTTAATTCCGGCACGCGAAGCGAGTGGTGGAGTTATTCTCCGAGAGGGCCCCAACCACCAGCGTCTCAGACTGGCCATGTCGCAGGTTACACGCTCCGTTGATCGTCGTTCCTATTCCGGGAGGAGTAATGTTTCAAACAACGTCGCAGCCGTTTATAATACGAGGTCTCGGTGGATTCAATGCCACGAATGACTTGGCAAGGTTGAAACATGGATGAGGCCGACTTATCCAGGAGTCTGGGAACATTTGCCGCTGATCCCACGTGTTTCAAGCCCTTGGCAGGGGTGTTTGAAACTAGGAGCCGTCTCGTCTACGGTTGAGATGATCTTTTGTAGAACGATTTTGGTTCTTAATCATGGCTCCCCTGCCCCTGGGTCACCATATACGGGCGATAGGACCGCGAGGGCCCGAAGTCTCTACAACTGCCGTTAGTCCTGGTTTCCACCAATGCTTAGCAGTTCCGCCTTTTACAACCCTTGAATATGCTCTGTAGCCTGTCCCATGCGGGTGAGGAATATGCTGGCTACCGGAGTCCGAAACTCAGGGCTCTTGATTATTCTCTTTGACTCTATTGGTGCTCTCGTATTCTTGTCTTGATTAACGACTGATCAATCATCGTTTTGCAAAAGGGCGTAAAGGTTTTCCGGAGAAGGACAAATCTTCCGAGCGGTGGTCAACCTTGATGTCCATTTATCCCTGAGGGCCCTGACAGAAGATACTCCACTGGCACTCTAAATGGGACAGTCGGTGAGAGCTTCTTCTGTACGCCGTCATTCTTCGTAACAATCCTTTTCCCAGTATCTACATAAAAAAGTACCCCTGATCCTACATCTCTCAAGCCTTGCACGCTCCGGAGCTCTTGCACTTCGACTCAGTCTCTAATCTACAGAAACAAGACGCATGAACAGGCACATCTGCTGCTGTAACTGCAGCCGAAAGCTTCCCTTCCAGTTCTTTGGCCTCTGACTCTCGACCCAGCTTCAGCAAACACTCATGAACACCGTGGAGAGCCCAAACGTTATTCTCATGCCGCAGCGCACGAGGGAGAGCGTCCGTCATGCCTAGATCGGCCATGTATACCTCAAGAGCTTTCTCAACGTGTCCTTGCTCAAGCAAGAGGGCGCCATATGCGTGCCGTGTGGGTTGCATCCAGCCCCAGGGTTCATCGTAAGGGAGGTTATCCTCTCGATGGATGGCTTTGCGTAGATGCTCGTACGCTGCGTCAAAATGCCCCAGCCGGTATTCCAGTTCTCCATCCAACATGGCTTCGGCAACCTGGAGGATATCCGAACATGTGTTGTTGAAGAGAGTCCGTGATGGTGCTACCTTCTTGACAGCATCCTGGAAAAGACGCCGTTGATTCTCAGCTTCCTTGACTCGCCCCGAGGCGGCAAAGGCAACTCCTTTTGCGTAATGCGTGATTGCCGTGGTCATGCAGTAGAGCTGCTGATCTTCTGGTAGCTCTAGCTTGATAAGGTCCTCCCAGCGCCCAAATCTGATCAGGACATGGGCACGCAGCGTAAGGAATGCCTCCAACCAGTCTGCCATCGGGGGGGACTCCACCTGTAAAAGGCTCTTGGGCATGGAAGATTCCAACCGCTCAACGGTCTCAATGGCGACTTGATACTTCCCAGCAAACATGGCGGCGTAGACGCGGAAATGGTAGTCGTGTGCTCGGTACAGGGTGTAGAAGTTGATCGGTCCAGCCTGGGAGAGAAACCTTTCGTCTGCGACGATTGCATCCGAGTTGGAGATGATGGCCTGTTCGTACTGGCCACAGAGCACGTCGAGATGAGTCGGCATGTGGTGCAAATGGCCGCCATCGGGAACAAGGCCTCGGAGATGGTCCGCGATAGGTAGAGCAGATTCAGGAGACGGAGACATTTCCATGAGGTGGATGTACATGTGCAGCAGTCCAGGATGCTTTAATGCCCCGTCGAGAGTCAAGGCGTGGTCGAGAAGGTTCTTCATCTCGATTGTTCGTGCCCCTTCGGTCGGTTCGCATGTTTTCAGATCCCACATGTTCCAAGGATGTAGATTCATGACGGCGTCGACGTAGAAGGTGATAACATCGAGGTCGTCGGGGAATTCCTTGTATACCTCCTCCATTGCGTCGGCGAAGCCTTGATTCCAATGAACACAAGCCTCCGCTCCTTCAGGTTTATCTGCGGGATATCGGTACTGGACTGCTTTGATGAAAGCTTTTTCGACTGGGGTGACTCCATCGGTGTTTGCCTCGGCAAGCTTGGCTGCTTCATTACCGCGCTGGACGACAGCGGCGAGATCTTTCTCGTCAAAGTAGCTCCATGGCTTGTTGTAGTTGGGACCGACGCAATACGCCAGTCCCCAGTATGCCATGGCGCAGCTGGCATCAGCCTTGATGGCCCTTTCAAAGCAAGATGCTGATTCCTCATGGTTGAATGCGTACGCCCAGATCAACCCGCGGTCGAACCAGATTTGGGCTTCGTCATTGCGCGTGGTGATGCGACGATGGTACGACCCGAGGTCAAAGATGTAGTCCTGAGTGGACATTGTGAAGCTCAAAATTGAATGCCGATCTTTAAAAATCGTTAGCTTGGTAATCCTCGCCTTAAATATTCAGCTCGTATGATAAGAAACTTGACGATGATTGTTCAGAAGTCGAACGTCGCCGACCTTCTCCGTCAAGCTTCCACTTTAGGAAACGCGTCCCCTCTTTGTGACTGATTGCTGCAATTGGTTGGTCGGCCTTCTCCTCATCGGCATCCATCTTCCCAGCTTGCTTCTTTTAACAAACCATGCCGAGCCGTTTCGCGCTGAAGAATAAGCGAGAGACCAAGTTCTGACGCAGATGCCAAATTCGAGTGTTGCCAAGAAAGGGAAGAAGAGGCCCAAGGTCAAGGGTGCGAGAGCCACCGCTGTTGTTTTCGTGGATGAGACTAACAATGGCTGATAGGATGCCACGAATGTGCTCGGCGCCGAATTGATTGTGATCGAAATGAGCCCGAGTGCTTTAAGTGTCGAGCAAAAGGCGTCAAGTGTAGCGGTCTTGGAATCAGATATCGCTTCAACGAGGGTGTGGCTTCTCGAGGGAAACTTGCTTACAAGCTTGTTCCCGACACACTTTCATACAAGAAAGATCCGAATCCAACGGTCAAAAAGGACCAAGAACCTTGTTCACCCGATGACAAGGCTATCGAGACAACGCCAATACCGAAATCAAATTCTCCTGATGCGGATAATATAGCCGAGGATGAAGATATCGCAACAACTGACAGCAAGCTTTGGGACTTGGATTGGGGGCTTGATCACATAGACGGAAGGACCCGTTTCTTTCTCCAGTATTGTAAGTGGAACTTCTACTATAAGGCCCGGGACCTAATATGTCACAGTCTCGGATCACATCGCCCAAATCACGGCAGTCATCAACCTTGGCTTCAATGGCTACCGAGACTTGGTACTTCCCTACGCAGAGCTCGACTCCATGATCAGAAAAGCCATCGTAGTCGTCGCAGAACAACATCTTGCCTTGAAAACCAACAGCTGTGCTCCTTACTCGCCTACTTACGGCAGCCTTCTTCGTGATCTAGTCGAGCGGTCGAACCAGTGCCCGCCAGTTCAAGATGAGCTAGCTCAGACGGCGCTGCTCTTGCTGCACATCAGAGAAATGATCAGCGGGAGTGACAACTTCAAGTTGATATATGGTTCATTACGCATACTTATCAAGAACATGGTTCTCGAGCAGAACTTGGAAAGTGAGAATTTGGTGCTCGGCCGCTTTGTCAAGATACAAATTCTACGGTAGGTCTCATATCGGCTATGATAAAACCGAATGTATCTAATTGTCCTACAGGGTCTCTCTTTTTGGAGAATCACTTTTTGACGAGGCAAACGGATCAGAATTTCTCCTGACTCACGGCGAGGCATGTCTTGAATTTCTGCGATTCTGCCTGAGACTTCATCCCGAGCATGAAGAACTGATGTCGTACATCTTTGATCTCATCACCATGGCCTGCAATATTTACGTCCAAAGAGCAACGAACAACCCTCCAATGGATCAAACAGTCCAATCGGTCGAGAGATTCAAGCAGATCGCAGAAAAGGTCAACATATATGACAATATCATTGGCCGGCACCTCTTAGCATGGGCATACTTTGTCGTCGCAGCCGAGAGTTCCACAGACAGCCACAGGGAGTTCTTCCTAGACCGACTACAGACACTTCACTCCATGACCGGCTGTGGAAACGTTCTCAAAGCGATGGAGCAGATCCGGGGATTCTGGGCTGTTCAAGGAACCACTAGATGGACTCGACTTCTTGGAGGACCAACTCAAGCGTTGATCATGTAAAGTAATACTTGTGGGTGGAATGCATTGTGTCAGAAGTGAGGGCAGAGATGGACACAGATTGTTGAAACGATTTAGCGACGGAGGAGCCATTGTGTTTTTTGAATTTGGTCTAATGATCCGTTCAGAGACTCGATCTCGCAGATAGTCTGCACTAATACTACTCGATTTAACATTTAGTTAGTGTACAGCTCTCGAAGAGTGTCAACCAACTCAACCCGCCCCTGGACAGTGTCATCATCATACACAAAGTCCTTGTCAATAACTCCGCCTGGCAAGCCGGCCGTAGTCATGTCCACAAGTTCTTGCACATAGGGTTCTGGAAGCTGTTTCGCAAAGAACTCGGAAAGCTGATCTCTCTCAATGAGCTTGAGCTCAACCGTCTTCCCAGTAACCTCCTCGACTGCTTTCTTGAGGTCGAGCGCGCTGTAGGATCTGGGACCAAACAGCTTGAAGTAGTGAGGACTGGGCTTGGCGGTCTCTGCGAGGAGAGAGTTTGCACAAATCTCGCTGATGTCCTTGAGGCTCACCTAGTTTGGGATGTTAGCATGCGATTCAGCTGTTGATAGGAATATTTCTCATACCATGGGAATCTTGTGATCTGCAGGGCTGAAAATCGAGGTGATAACCGGTGGGTCTGCCCGTGCTTCCTCAAGCACAGAAGCGAGGTCTTCCTGGAAGTAAGAGGGCCTAATGATTATAACCTCTGGCACTGCATCCTTGAGAATATTCTCAGCGATGTGGTTGAGGCGCAAGATACCCTAATGCCCATTTTGTTAGGAATAAAAAGTCAAAATTGGAAGAGACACTCACAATGCCGTGGTCATTTTGAGCACCGATCGCGGAAAATAGGAGAAGTCGCTTGACGCTTGGGGATGCTTTCAGAGCGTTCTTGATGTTGTTTCCAGCACGAGTAGCAAATTCTCCCGAGTCTGTTCCGTCGTAGATTGGCGGCGGGATGTAAAAGACGGCGTCCGAGGTACCAAAATCAAGTCCGGTGCCGGCTCCAACGTCGCCCTGGACGGCCTTAAAGTTGGAGTTTTGCACAAACTCGGAGGGAGCCTTGGATGCGTCTCGATAGATTCCGCGGACGAGGGGTTTGCTCTCAGAGTTGAGAAGTACACGGATGGTTTCTCTGCCAGCCTTTGTGGAAGCAGGGATAACAGTGATGTGAGGAGCCATGTTGAAAAGAACAGACGATGTTGGTTTTAATGCAGGGTGATTTGAAAGGCACGTAAAAGGTTGCTCAATGAAATTTTAAATGATAGGATGTTCATCCTTATATACCCCCTCATATGAGTTACAATTATGGCGTCAACCAAATCAATCTGAGATACATGAGTCCGAAAGTCCGAAAATCCCATACAAGGTGAATCATTGTCCATATGAGGACAGACACACAAGGCCCGAAAGACCGAAAGCCCGACAGCATGCCAAGAATTATGTTATTAACGATCCTTCGAGCTGAATTCGACCGTCAAGTGGCGGGTCCTCAAGGGTGGTAAGCAGTAAGGATGGGGCCACTCATGGGTGGTCAAGCGAGAAGGATTATAAATCAAATAATCAGTCTTGCGTCACCGACAGAATCTGGAAGAAGTTTTGATCTTCCTGATGAGCATTGTTTGATCCTTTTATTGGAGAAGATCTTCACGTGCATTTACCTCAGTGCTCACACAGGATGCAGCGCTCGTTGTGCCCAAGATCTGGATTAGCTTAATTTTAAGGTTGACGTAGCTCATCGCGATGTCTATTAATAGGTTTTGGCTATTGCTCCTTTGGACCTACTTTGGCACTGCATCCCTCAATATGCCTGGGTCAAGATGTTAGAATCGTTGTTGATAGCATCAGTGCTGATAAACATGACGGCCCTGCCCATTCACTTCAGCCATGCGCCATATCCCTTGCACTCACCTCCTCGAGCCTCTTCGACAGTTCCTTCACCATCTCCTCTTCAGTCACCTTCGGCTCACTCTCAGGGGTAGTCGCCCTCTCAGCCTCCTTATCCCGATCCTCCTCCTCTTCCTGTTCCTTTTCGGCATTCTTGACATCCTCTTGCACCACCGCCTCCGCTTCGTACCAACTCATATCATCAAAACTATACCAGCTCTCGTTCCCACTAGCTGGTGTGGTCGCCCAGCTTCCAGCATCAAAATCCTTGTTCACGATACTTTGTATGAGCCTGTCCCAAGCTCGACGGAAGCCTTGAGGGACTTCATCGCGTAGTTCCACCTTTTTGGCAGGCGTGTGACCATCACAGTTTCGAGCATCCAGATCGAGTCCGTACATACGTGCTTTCGCCAAGATGCTAAGCATTGGGATCTCTCCAACATTGGCAGACAGGTGCAGAATCGTATTGCCAGCGTTGGTCTTGGCCTTGTAGTCAGCTCCAGCTCGAGGAGTAGTGCAGCAGTTTCGACATTGTTCTCTGCGACAGCCGAGAGTAGAGGTCCCTCTCCGAAATCCTCTCCTTCATCCAAATCTGCTCCGGCTTTGATGAGGAATGAGGTGGTCCCTGTGCTGTTGTACTGAGCAGCTACACGAAGTGGCGTGCACCCGTAAGCGTCCTTTTAGTTGATATCCAAGATCTTATTCCCCTAGCAGAAATTCAACAGTTGGTTCACACAGAGTGCAGACGTGCTCTGAGCGGCCAGATGCAAAGGCCCCCAGTTCTCGTTATTGGTGAGAAGAAAAGGATCTGCACCATGAGCAAGCAAAACTGCAACGGCATAGCTGTTACCTCTTCTTGCAGCCCAGTGAAGTGGTGTCCATCCATCAATATCTTTCTCGTTGACAAGTGAATCGTCAACCGCAAGGGCGTCCTCAAGGTTTCCGTCCTCGAGGCCAATGACGATGTTGTGAATGTGTGTGAATCTTCTCTCTTGAAGGTACTCGGTTCCGGGGAAGAGGACGGCGTAAGCTTCAGCTAGCTTAGGCGGCGCCTTCAGATGAAGGATATTGCGCCAAGCAACTTCAACAGGGGACCTGTTTGATATCAGCTCCGTGGCAAGTAATAGAGCGACAATGAAATCTCACGTTCCAGTATTGTCCTCCCACTCTGGGTCAGCACCACAGTCAAGAAGGAACTTGCAAACTTTCAGGCATCCGTGGTCGATCGCAAACTAACATCGGTTTAGCATAGTTCAAAAGCCCTATCTAGAGAAACAAACATGCAATGATGTCCATCCGGCCCTGTAGTCAAGATCATCTGGAGAAGCAGCTCTTGTTGAGAACAATTCCTTAATACCATCAACACCCTCACATCGACTCAGGGCGAAGAGTCGGTTTGCCTCCGAGCACGGTCTTCGAACTTTGATGTTTAGAGAAGGCGTTCCTACACACTGAGAGAGAACAACTGAGATGGAAGTATTGACAAACCAGCGTGGAAAGAAGTAAGTTAGTCTTGTAGAGTTACCTTGCTTCTGCTGGCATGTCTCCAAGTCACAGCTTTGATTTCGAACAGACAGTCCGCTGTACCCAACGAAAAGTCTCCCAATGACTGTTTCCAGGGCAGGGATTACCTGAAAGGTACGGCGAGAGTGACAAGCACATTTGCAGTCGGGAGCGCAAGACAGCCCTTTTGGGGAGACTCGGCTCATTGGTAGAGCAAGCAGTGTCGGTGACACTGACTCTGGCTCCTGCACAATAACGGCCCCTGAAACGGGTTCTGGACCAAGAAATCGGACTCTTGCTGCACCACCCTCTGGAGAAGGTGGCAGAGGAACCACGGTGGCCTCCGAGTCCATTCCTGCAGACAGGCTAGTCCGCTCGAGGAGTGTGATGGCTCTCCGCAGAAGCTCCACGCTTTCTTGAGAGTTGTCGTGGATGGTAGAGATTGGCGATATCTGATCAGATATCGAATCGAGTGAGTCGGAATGACGACGATATATCCTAGCGGTCTCTGAATAGAGCTGCTCGATCTCGACCGAGAGACGCGTCGATACCGAACTAATTTCAAGTCACCAATTGAGTCCCGAATCTTGCACAATCATAGTTAGTATCATCGACGTACGGGGAATTAGCTTCGCTCAGGACAGTCAAATTGGTTCGAATCTCGCAAATCTCTTGCTGCAGCTGCCACGCCTTGGACGATCGCCCCCGCCAACCAATGCGACCAGAGAGCTTGATCTCAACCTTGTCACCCCAGTAATTGGTTTTGCACCACTTCGAAACAGTATTCTCGAGCTGATCAAGCTTCACCCGAGCCTGGAACAACAACGGGCCAAGCTGGCGATCAAAGCTCTCAGCCGTATCTTGGCAACGCGTCAGGTCCTGCACCGAATCGAGCACAAACTTGAGGTTGCAAGTCTCGTTTGAAAGGGCTAAACGTTGATTCGGAACTTCTTTGAGATCGGTGATGATGCCGTGGAGGACGTGTACTATCTTGAGTGCGGAGAGTGCGACGGCTGTGACGCCAAAGGGATCAGCCATGTTTATTACTCAAACTCGGCGGCAGTCCGGCCATAAATCATCCGACGAAATGTTGCAGTCGCAGGACCAACACAAGCGGGGTACAGGAGTATCTGCATGGATCCGAGCCAAAGATATACTTGATGAGGCTCTGGGCGGGAGAGCCTTGGGGGCATTGTGGGAGGCAGTGTAACAGTGACCAGGCTCGGATGTAGCAGTTTCATCTAATTGATTGAAAAGTTATTGCGCCTAAATCACAATTCAGATAAGACTGTTTGCTCTTCAGATCTGCCCGAGTGTTGCGAGCCCTGCAGGCTGTGGCTGGTTCAGAGCCTTACTGGTTCTGGTACGGCACTTGGCCGGGTAAAGTGCAATTGCAGTCAGATTCATGGCTTGATTTTGATCAGGTGGCCATGGATATTTCTTGATCGAGAGGGCGAATTCGGTGAGAGGGCGTAATGTGTACAAAGGGTGCCACTTAGGTGTGACAAACAAGCCGCCCACTCAGTGCTTGACAGATATATCGCACACTCTCATTCATAAGTAAGTCAATACTTCGTAGTCTATGTAGAAGAGCCAGGCTGATCCAGAGCATAAGATTCAAGTAAATCAGGCAAAGGCTCTAGAAGCGTCCAAAGTAACGCCCAGGGCCTTAATGTTGCCTATCGCCTAGCATACTACTCGCCCACTCAGCATCTAAACATGCCTCCTTGTAGCAACCTTTGCCCATCTACAAAAGTCCACAACCTCCAACTCTTCCAACCTCTCATTAGAGTCCTGATAGACAAAAACCAGCCTCCCAAAAATATCAACAAACCACCGATGGGTCCTCCCTCCCTTCCGCAGGATCTTTGAGCCAAGCTCCTCACCATCTTTGGCGTAAATCTTTAGTTCCGCGGGCTTGGGTACCGTGTCTGCTTCTTCGTAGTCAATTATTTTGATAACAGTAAAGAAGAACCGGTCGAGCAGGATACCCGCGTCGAGCTCATAAGGTTCTTCCAGGTTGGAGCTGTAATAGACGGCGTATAGTTCTCCGCCTTCTGGGTCGCAGAGGGTCATTTCCCAGGGATATGTGACCATGGTGCCATCTGAGAACTTGCACCATGATGAATTAGCACGCGTCACTAATTCCGCCCTGGGTCTCGTGACGGGGCTTCCGTCTGTCGTCCAGAAGTCTGTGAACCATATGCCTATGTGGGGTTTGTAGAAGACAATGTTCTGGTGTAGGTCCAAAATGGCACCCGGGCTGTCTTCAGGGGCGTCGTACTCGTAGACGCACTTCAAGGTGTCGAGATCCCAGACCCTGATATGTCTTTCGCTCCCCGTCGCCATGAGATTCTCCCCTGGCTTCTCCAGGTCGTGAAACGTGCATCCGTCTGGATGTACTAACTCTCCACGCTTCACGCCATGAGCATCCCAGACCTCGAATATTGTCTTGGATGTTTCACCTTGTTCAATTACGTGAAAGGTCAAGACATGTCGATCTTGTGTCCACCACTGCTGCAGCGGCCTATAGGGTCCAAATGAGCCAGACAATGACCAATCTTTAATGTTGCGGGCCACTATTTGGTCGTCCTCGTTGCCCAAAAGGCGGGAAGAGTTGTCAAAGCAACTCATAAGGCGCATATTTTTTCCCTTGTGCAGAAGTTTCAAACCCCGATGGTCCAGGGTGTAAATGTCGATTTCATCCTCCACAAGTTGACGAGACAGGTAATGAACATCCTGCTTGCCCATACACACCAAACTATCGTCTGGATCATCGTCGCGTAAATCTATCCGCTTGCATTTAGGGTTTGTCCCGCGGTTTATGGCATCAGCCGAGCGGCAGATACGAAGATAGATATCCCGTGGGTGGTATCTGTCGGTGTACTGATCGATCAAGCTGTCCGCGTAACCGAACCTCCTGATGTACTCTCGCCATGCAGAGACAGGTTCCCTACTTTTCCACAAGGCTTTGGTGATGCCCAAGGCAATAAAAAGGTCCTTTTCTTGCAGGTGATGCACGATGTGCTGCGCCAGCTCCAAGGTGTGAAAGACTCTGTCGGCAGGGTGAGTCATTCTGTTGAAGCGGTGTAACGATTCGAACGATAAGAGAGATAGTATAGGGCCAAAAGAGGTCCCAAGAGTAAAAGATTATTTTGAAATGGAGTATTGGGACCTGAGTAAATGAAAGTGCTGAGAAGCAAGTCAAATTAGGCAGCCAGAGAGGTAAACTTGGTCTTTTGTGGAGGTCAGCTCTGTGGCATCTGCTTACTGACTAGGATGCACCTTAGCTGCGCTAAGACTACAGTAGTGAAGCTATAGCTATGTTCTTACGATCAAGGGAAAATTATAATGTGCGAGTAGAGGCGGTTTTTGGGTTTCTGAAATTGGCTTTGATAGGATAGTCACTGTTACAAGCTGGGTTAACTACCCGAGAGTCAAGGCAGTTTCATGCATGTTATGACAATATAGAGGCCAACAGCAGGCGTTTAGAGCAAAATTGTTACAGAAAAATACGCAGATATTATAACAAGCTCTACTTGAGGGGAGCGCAGTAAATATAGTACAGAACGACGGAACCGGAGCGGCGTTCCAACGACATTGGGTCATGGAATGCAAGTGACTGCGCACAAGGTAACAACAAAACGACAACTCACACAATACTCAAATGTATGAATGTTAGAATTGGATAGATAAGTAAGTTCTCAACCGAGTAATAAACAAGTGCGTGTCTATTATGACCTAGTATAGCGAAATATTAGTTGTGAAGAGAAATGTGCCTGTAACGCAAATTCCCTGAAACATCACGGCAGCTAGTTGAACCATCACACAAAGATTGACCTGTCAAACATAACCAAATGCTTGATCTTTTTATAAAAGTTTGACATTTTTATATAGGGTATTACATTACGTGTCAGTCAGTATACCACCATCTCGCATCATGTTCCCAGACATGACCAGGCGAGATATCGTTTTTTAAGATCCGCTGCCTCCCCCATGTTGCCGGTCCCCATGAACATGACATCATAAAACGCCATGCCTCCCGGCAGATGCCCGACAACTCCGAATGAAACAACATGCTATACAATATTAAGCAAAAAAACAGAGAAACAACCGCTTAGACGGTCTCCTTGTTGGCGTTGCTAGCCACGCTGTCCCGTCGAGCCACACACGAGGCGAGAGCTTCGTTGTTGTTGTTCTCCTTCTCTTCTTCCTCGGACGAAGAAGGAGCGCCCATAGGGGGGCCGGTGGGGGCGTAGTTGCTCTTCTGTCGGATCTTGGCACCATACTTATAGAAGATGAAGGGAATGGGAGCGAGAACGGCGGCGACGCAGCCGAGAAGAGTGGCAGCATACTGGATACCCATACCGTCAAACATCTGACGAGCAAACAGAGGGAATCCAGCACCGCAGAGAGATCGCAGGAAGGTGTTGCCAGCGATGGCGGAGGCGGCGAACATGAGGTAGGCGTCGACAAGATAGTTGAGAGATTGAAGGAAGATGGACATGAGACCGAAACCGGTGAAGAGACCGCTCAGAGCGGGGACGATCCAGTGGACGCTGCGAGTGTATCCAGTCCTGATAATTGTTAGACATTGGGACTCAGTGAGGGAGACAAAGAGTAACTTACCATCCGAACCAGAAGATACCGATAGCAAAAGAGACACCACCAGCCATGACGTTGGGAAGACGCCACTCAGGGATGGGAATGCCATTGTTGGCCGCAAGCTTGCGGAGATACCAGGGCTGCTGAGCAATGACTGAAGCACCAGCAATGAGCTGACCACAGATCATACCAAAGAAGGCCAGACCAGACTCGCCCATGTTGAAGCCGTGGACACCGACAAAGACGAGAGGGTAGGCAGTGAGGAAGAGGTAGAGCAGGCCATAGATGAAGCTCATGTAGATGGAGAGAAGCAGAATGATGGGCTCGGTAAAGAGCAGACGCAGAGGTCGGGAAAAGTTCTTCTGGACGAGCTCCTTGAAGTCAACCTCGATTTCCTCCTGCTTGGCGTGGATGCCCCAGTTCTTGGTGCGTCGTCGCAGATCAGCGGCCTTCTCAATGAGAATCACAGGGGGGTAGGTCTCCTCGAGGAAGATGCAGTCGAGAATCAGAGCAGTGAAACCCATGATGGTGGGAAGGTACTCAGTCCATCGCCAGCCGAGGTGAGACTCAACAATGAAGCCGCCAATGAAGGGAGCGAGCAGAGGACCAGTAAAGACAGCCATTGAGAAGAGTGTAATAGCTGTTCCTCGAGTTCGGTTATCAAACATGTCGGAAAAGACAGCTGCGACGACAGCAAGAGGACAAGCACCAAAGAAGCCACTAAAGAATCGGCAAAGAAGGATAGTCTGGATATCCTTGCCAGTAGCACAGCCAATGGAGAAGACGGAGAAACCAAACATGGAGATGAGCAGAGGAAGACGTCGACCTCGCAACTCGGAGAGAGGAGCCCAGAGTGAAGGTCCAAAAGCGAAACCAAGAACGTAAAAGGTTGTTCCCAAAAGACCAACCTCGGTACCCACGTGGTACTCCTTGGAGACGATCTGAGTAGCGGCGGAGAAGATGGAGGATGTAAAGGCGGAAGTCATGGTGGTGAAGCCAAGCACAGCAGCAGTGATGAGCTTCTTCTTCAATGGCCAATTCTGCGAATGCATTGGGTCATCGGGACCGTCAAACTCGACGACATACTCCTCCTGCTCAGGCAGAGGAGGAGGGTACGGTTTTCCGGCGCCAAAAGCAGGGAGAGGATGTCGGGAGGCACGAGAGCTCGTGCGGGAGCGCATACCACCACCGACGGTGGCATTGTGCTGGCTGCGGGCGGTTGCGATACGGCTCAGCGCCGTGGGGTGACGCTCGAGATCGCGCTGGGTCGAGATGCGGCTGATGGTATTGTATGGCTGGGCGAGAGAGTTGCTCCGTCGGCGGTTCGAAGAGGAGGATGAGGATGATGAGACGGTGGAAGTGGAGAGGACGCGCTCAATCTCGCCGCTGGAGCGCTGCTGGTATTGCTGAGGAGATGCATCGCGCTCGGCGTCGATCATCCCCTGGTCTACGGGATCGATAGGCATGGTGAATGTGGTTCCGCCCAAGTCTGTGTGTATAGAGTGCTCGCTCTCAGAGATGAAGCAAGTTGGAGAGGAATTGGTATGTAGGATCGATTATGTAGTGGAACCGATTCGAGTCGAGAGAGATGGTGTAAAGGCGGCAGAAAGTATAACCAATGTCGAATGGGCGCAGAGCAGAATATACGGGAGCTGTCCCCCTCTTGTTCGTTCGGGTTCGGGCTATGACGCTATAGCTGAGGCCGGTCTGCGCTTTCCGGGTTTAAGGGTTCGCTCAAGGTTGAGAAGGTCGGCCGACGCTACTGTAGAAGGGCGAGTCAAGGACGGATGAAGGATGCCGGTTGCGGTAGAGTAGGTATGAGTGAGATGAACAAGTGTGATGGGTATAGGTAGTCAAAAGACGAGACACGCTCAAGCACTCTTAATTAAACAGGTAAGAAGATACTGTCATGAGATCTAAAAGTAATGGGGATAGCTTGTTTGAGTAAAGTAGGCAACATGATCATGGGGTGATGGCATCTATATAATAAACAGAGTCCAGATTTCTCCAAGCTCCCTCCCCACATGTCAGAGGCAATCTCGTTTTTTTCTTGTCTCAAGCGCGAGGACCCGAAGCTAAAGAACAATTACTAAACCCATGACTGACAATAGCACGAAACCCTGTCAGTCAATTGGCAAGAAATCTCTTCTGTGGCAACCCTTTTGCAGAGCGAGCAAGCATCAGAGGAAGAGAATGCATGGGCCCGGAGCAAGGGACCCCACTCTTTTCTCGGCAGCCGCTCTCGGCACCGGCACCGTCTCCCTCGTGTTTTTTTTTTTTACCAGGGGGTGGAACTCCGTAAGTTGACCCAGCAGATGCAGGACACGCAGGGCCAAGCACTCGATATCCGGAATAAAGCTGCTATATCCGCTTAGATGATCCCATGACGACGCTTTACATCCAGGGGGAAACAAATTCGTCAATTACTCAGCCCTCTTGGTGAGTTGCTCACTCATCAACAAATGCACCTCGCTCTCTCGCTCTCGGCCGCGGCGCTCACCACGGAGCCGAGGATCCGTGATAGACTCACTCTCTTGACCCAACAAACTCGAGAAATCTTGATAAGCCGGTCCCCATTATTGGGCTCCAAAGGGCCGCCTGATTTCAAGCTCCCGAAGCCCCACCGTTCCCCTGGGAATCTCTTAAAGAAAGTGTAGGGAATGAATTCCTCTACAACAGCAGGGGCCAACAGCTTTATCATCAAATCCAGTCAGTTCCCCCGAAGCTTTCATGAACCCCCTGACGGAAAGTATCCTTGCCTGTTCAACTGCCTAAATCCCAAACTTTCAATCATGCCTGTCCGGCTTTTCAACTCAGCAAGCATGGCTTAAACCCGATGTTGGCTCTCCCTTCAAACATACCATGCCTGAAAGCCGTCACGCAAAAGATCGAATGGCTTTAACGGAAGACGCCGAGCGCGGTGCCGAACAACAGGACCCCACTCTTGCAGGTGTCTCACCTTGCAGATTCTTTTTCTCGGCCCTCGCGCGCTCTCGCACGACGGCGATGCACGGTGATGTAATTTCTTGAGCCGTGATCCGCTAACTGCATCCGCCATCCAAAGTCTTGGCTATGGATCGCGGGACTGTCCCGTTTTCGTTCTTAGAGCCACGGGAGCTCCCTCTCCCTTCTTTCTTTGAAACGCCGGGGATTGCCGCTTCTAAGCCGCAGCTCTTCATGAATTTCTTATCTTGGCTTGTTCTTCGAGACGTCGAGATGCTTCTAGACGAGAAGAAGAAGCAACCTCATACCGCCAGTTCCCACAGTTGAAGAATTTTATTGATGTGTCATTCCTCAAGTCTAATTGCAACACGAGTAATATCTAGACCCTGTACAGGTATCATCGTACTCCCCACCCATCATCCAATAACGCCGTCGCTTCTTCTAGAGTTAACCCTGCCGTCTCAGGATAGATTCTCCAAACCATAAAGTAACCAATGCAGCATACCACTGCGTACAGGACAAATGTCCATGACGGACTCATCAGGTCCATCAGCGGAAGAAATGTCAGACCGACTATAAAGTTGGCTCCCCAGCATGTAGCTGTCGCTATTCCACTTCCCAGTGATCGAACAGCCAGGGGGAATAGCTCACTCTGCATCCACGGCACGTTGCCCATGCCCAGCGCGTACGCTCCGACATAGATCATGATGGCCACGAGAATCGTGATGGCTGCAGCCTCGTGTCCAGCGGTAGCAGGAGGATCCTTCTTCTCTGATGGCTGAGCAAGTGTCATGAACGAGAAACCATGTGCCGACAGCAACAGGCCGATGATCATGAAAGGGATCGAATAGAGGAGCACCCTTCGGCGTCCAATACGATCAACAAGTCCCAGGGCAGCAACAGTGCCAAGGAAGTTGGTGACTGCTACCACCAGCGAGGTAAGAGTTGGGCTCTCAAACCCAACAGCCGTAAAGATGGTTGCAGAAAAGTACATGAGTGAGTTCTATCGCATTCATGTTAGCAACCATTCGTAGCATAACTCGTGGTTCAACCGGGGCTCACTCACAAAACCACAAAGCTGCTGGAAGCCTTGGAGGAGACAAGCGATAGCCAGCGCTCGACGGTTCCTCCCCTCGCTGAACAGAGCTTCCCATGCACCCAGCCGCTTCCATCGGCCAGACGTTTGGTGATCCCGTAGCCGTTGCGCCTCGTACTCTTCCCGCGCCTCCAGCTCAATCTCTCTGACCACCGCATCTGCGTCATGTTGTGATGCGCCGCCGTTCACCCGCTGGATCACGTTCTTGGCTTCCACGGATCTGCCGACCTTGACAAGCCAGCGTGGCGTCTCGGGCATGAAAGCAATCATGCCGCCCTGAACTAAAGCCGGCAGAGCACCCAGACCAACCATCCATCGCCATCCCGTCTGTTCAGAGCCGTAGGTTGAGAACAGCCATCCGATGATGTATGCAATCACCTGGCCGCCCGTGACAAATATGATGTTGGTTGTAATCAGCCGTCCGCGATGTGCTGCGGGTGCGACCTCAGCAATGTATAGCGGTACGACAAAGCTCGCAGCGCCAACTGCCGCACCGATGATACATCGCCCAATGGTCATGGTGAAAACCGTAGAGCACCATGCTTGAAGGATGGCTCCCACAACGAAGAGAACATCGGCATAGAGGATGACGCGTTTTCGGCCGAAACGATCAGCGAGGACAGAGGAAAAGGGCGAAATAATAAGAGCGAAGAGGGACGTCGAGGATGTAATGATCGACTTGTCCATCGAGGTCAGTTCGCGGTTCGAGAGGGACGTTCCGATGGAGACGAGGGTAGCCGACACGACGCCGGTATCATCTGGAATTGTCTGTCAGCGAAATATTCCACGACGCAGAAAAGGCACATCCAAAGCCTACATCCAAACAGCAAGCCGCTAATACAAGCAGCAAAAGTCAAAGCCAACACAAACACCGTAGGCCTCTCACTCCCCGACTTGCCGGGCTCGACGGGAGACCCCTCGGCGACATCATACTCGAGCTCCTCGTCGTCGCGGTTGCCCGCAATAAGCGGCGCCTGAGAGCTGTCCATTCTGTCGCTGTCTAGATATTCCGCGCAGGCCGATTCAACTTCCTCAGAGCGAGTCCATGAAGCTGCGCTGCGGGATCATGGAGAGAAATCTGGGGTGTCGTGGATTCGGGGTCCTTATGATGGATGGAGATCAGCACCCCTGGTCACATGGGGATGGGGGTGTCTCGGTGTTGTCTCCGACTAGTCATTTTGATAGTGAGAAACGTGGAACTAAGTCAGGCTCCCGCGGAAAGACATGTATCGCACTATCGTCAATCCCAGCATTCCATGATGTGCAACATCAGCCATCATTCAGCTCAGGTTAGGCCTGGCACGCCAAGTAATACGGGGTTGTGGATAAAGCATTTATAGCTTTCGATGCTTGACAAACAACGCCTTCATTGTTCATTAAACATGTATAACGCAGTTAACTTTATTCTATGAAGTCCCCTCCCTTGCTTGTCCATTGCCCGCTTCTCAACTATCCCTTGAGTTGTTTCAGAAAGTCGGCCATCTATCCGTGATGCTTCCCTTCAAGCCCCTATCTCACCCATCCCCTATTCTTCAAAAAGTAATAGCTATGCACAGCTGCAACACCCAACGGTTGAAGCACCCACGGTAGTTGATGTCTAACATGCCGACTCATCGACACGGCCATGACACTTTGCGGCGCACCGGGGGTCATCATCCAGTCTTGCATCAACTCGGCTGTCAGCTTCTGGACAGGGCCAACCCGAGCAAACATTGTCTCTTCAAACTCCTGGATTGCCTTGTCCAGCGCCTCGTCGTCTTTATCGGCTGCTCCAATGATTGCCTTTGCAAGCAGTGATGCATCGTCGAGGGCCTGGTTCACGCCTTCGCCGGCATAGGGCGTCATGAGATGCGCAGCATCGCCAATGAGTGTGAGACCCGGCTTGTGTGTCCATTTCTCGCCGACGGGGAGCATGAACAGTGATCGAGGTGTGCATCTCCCATCTGCCATCTCTATCGCTCGCTTGAGACGAGGATCCCAGTCTTTGTAGAGACCGTTGAGCAGGGCTGGGGCGACTTCTTTGATGTTTCCGGCATCGTATTCGCACTTCTCAGGTTTCATCCAGTCGGCTTCTTTGATGACGTGGGAGCAATACACACTCAAGGATCCGTCTCCCATTTGTTGGATGGACATGCGCTTTCCCTCCCAGCCAGCAAAGACGCTCCCACGGTTGACGAGCTTGTAGAGATCAGGGGCTCTGTTTTCGACGTCTGTGACTTCCAGCTCCTGCAAGCCTATGCCTGAATACTCGGGCACCAAGTCGGGGTCGATCTCTTTTCGGACCTTGCTCCAAGCTCCATCTGCTCCAACGATAACATCGAAGCCGTCGAGTGTGGTGTGCTCAAAGACAAGTGTTCGTCCTTCAACCTTTTTCAAGCGATGGCCCCATTTGATGACGTCCTCCGGGAGCGAGCTCGATAGAAGCTCACGGAGTTTGCTGCGGTCGATCTCCGGCCGCTCCTGAATCTTGTTGTATGGCCCATCTGCATTTTTCACCAAGAGATACTCAAGGTTCTTGTCAACAATGGCAAGATATTGTCCGTCGTATCGAGCGTGCCTGAGAAACTCATTAAAGAGTTTTGCTTCTTTGAGGGCTGCGAGACCTGTTGCAGTGTGGAGGTCTAGGGTGCCACCTTGAGATCGGAAATTCGGGTGCTCTTCTCCTTCAAAAACGGTGACATCTACACCGCCGAGATGAAGAAGTCTTGCCAGCATGCAGCCTATTGATGTTAGGAATTGAGTTGGCGTTGAATTGGGGCAACTTACCGGCTGGGCCAGCGCCAATAATAGCAACCTTGCGGTTACCCATCTCTAGGGTATTGAGTAGAGTATTGTACAAGGTAGCGAGGTAGTTCAAGGGAAGCTGAGACAGAAGGGAATAAGGTTTCAAATGTATTCAGGCCTAAGATGCAGCTTGCTGAATTATGACGGAATGTTACGACAGGAGACTCCTTTGTCTTAAATAGTTTGACATTTCCACCAGAACTTCCTCCTCGGAGTTGAAGCTTACGCGGTTGACAACACCCACCATTAGCTGACAACCAAACTCAAGAGTCGAGACAAAGCCAGTCGGGTATGCCGGCACCTTGGTTCAGCCAGAGCGCCTCATCGTGAGGACAGAGAATAGTGAATGGAACCAGTGCTTGCTGCGAATACTTCGTGGAATGCCAATGGCACGTTTCAAGGCGCCGTTGCATCACCCACCCAGTGCTGACGACTACACTCGGCTAAACGAGCTTAAACAACGCCTGCTGGAGATTCTCAGCGCCACGGCTTCAGCTCTGGATGGCACACGATGACGGGCGCGTGAGGCTATGCATGAGGGCGTCTGCTGGACCATTCAGCTCGAATTAATTACCATTCGCGGATAGAGGAAGCGGAGGACGGCGTAACCATTCATCCCTGTGGTCATGTTCCATCACCAGGAAGGCTGGGAGAGAGAATGATTATGCGCGTGTTTCGAGATGCATTATTTTACATCCCATCTGCCGGTTTCCAAACAATATGGGGTATAACAGCGATGGGTTTCTTTCTGCGACAAGCCCTGGCTGCGGTTGTCATGCCAGCTTCTAGTCTCTTCAAGCCGTTTCCTCGCCGACAGGGTATGCAGCGATATCCATGTACGTTGACTTGGAGGCTGGATCTGAGGCCATCAGTTCGAGCAGGCTGGTTGAGAGCGACTGAGTTTGGCTACGGCGCAGGTTCATTCCAGAGGATATTCAACGCTCAACGGTCATCTAGCATTGAGAGAATGTATACAACAGTCTAGTAATCATGATCGTGTCGTCAAAAAAGACTCTTTGGCCCCAGAAACTCGCATTCACAGACCCAAGATGCCAAGATACACGCCATGGTGGCACGTGCTGATGCAGGGGTTCACGGGCTGGCGGGTGCCCGTCCACTACAGGTAGCAGGCCCTCTATTCTCAGCTCTAGCGGGCCTCTGCCGCTGGCCTGCCGCTGCCGCATCCGCTTGCTGCCCACTCGCTGGCTGAGGTGCCACTCAGGTCTACAGCACAGCACAGCACATCCACGGCATCCCATCACCATCCATCATATCAACATCCTCCCACCATCATCCTCCCTCCTTCACCGTCAGCCTCGCCCGGCCTCTCGCTGCCTCTAGCTGCTCCCACAGTCTCTTGCGCCCGCCGTATCGCTCCGCCTCCGACGCCGACCTTGCGCACCATCTCGACCTCTTTTTGTCGCTCGTTCTGATGATGCTACTTGCCCCTCGACAGTCGCACTCAAAATCCCATCGTTAAGCGTAATCCTCCGACCGAGCTCCGTCCGCGTCCACCCTCTGGGAACAGGATAGAGCCTGCTATTTGGCCATCGCATCTATCGCCGTCGCAAACACCTTCAACGCCCAGCAGGACCGCCCAAGCCCGATATAACCCGCCATGCAGGCCCCGTCGTCCGGCTCACAGCGAGCCTTTGCCCACCGTCGCTCGCCCGGCGCCGAGCCAGGGCCGCCACCAAATGTCCCAGTCCGCTCCATCTCCCCAGCCCTTCAAGCTCGAACATCGACCGCCTCCACCAGATCTGCTCAGTCCACCAGCTCGCGAAGGATGAATCGTGAAGTGAGTAGTCGCCTCGTCTCGTCTGACCCATAGCCAGAGCCCTCGCAGACGGCGTAGTGAGCGTCACCAAGAGCTTGCCTGTGCCCCTGCCGAGCCCTGCCCCACGTCCACGCCCAATGGCAGCATGCTAACCGCGCTCTGCTCTCTCCAGGGTTCCGGCAGCGGCGCCAATATGCCTCTGTCGCAAATCGAAAAGAGCGTCACCCATCTCCTCGTCGCCACCAAGCAGCTTCTCGAGACTCTGACGCAATGGTCGCGCGGCCAGGCTACCGACAGCCAGGTGTCGGACGTCTATGTGCGCCTGGGCTACGAGTTCAATATGGCCTGCCGCGCATTCACGGCCATCAACGTTGATACATCCGATCTAGGAAATGTCCCCGACTTACTCAGACACATACTCGAGGCTACGCTCAGCCAGGAGGCTAGCTCGGAGAGTCTAGAGAAATACCTACCCAGGATCCGTGATATCATCATCAACCTGCTCCATGGCCTTAAGCGAAAACAACAGAAACTCCGTCAGAAACAGGCCCGGGAGCGCGAAGGACATGCACCTCCCGATAGGACAACCAGCGTCAGCACTGTTGGCAGCGGCCACAGTGGGCTTACAAACATGTTGGAGGAGGGTCTGGAGAATGGATTTCAATCCGAACCTCAACGGACTGAGTCCTTACCTCCGGCCAGCTCGTCTCCGCGCCGATTTGGCGCTCAGCGGGAGCAGTCTCGAGGATCCGTTGCCTCAGAACAGTCATCTCTGTCGAGCAACACGATGCAGAGCATGCCTGTTGTGCCACCCTACCCAGAGGCCGGCGATACGATCCCAACAGGGCCAGGGCCCTCGACGAATGGAGAACTGAATATCGATTCGTTCCCTCCACCACCGCCGCCTCCTCCCGATAACACTTCGAGCGCTCTCGCCGCTTTGCAGAAGGGTGGAGATCTCGAACGACGAGCCTCTCGAAGATACTCGCAGTATCAAATATCTAAACATCTCGGAGGCGCAAATGGAGTCCCGATCCTTCCTCCACAGAACACGCCAGTACCGAACCGCGGTAGGAAAGAAGTGAGGGAATCGTTGCGCGCAGTGCAGGGTCGCCAGTCTATACGACATAACCGCAATACCTCGAGCCAGTCGCTGCGCAGCGCTGCTGTTGAAGCATCCCCTGTCAGGATACCGAGCAGCGTCTCTGAGGAGCCCTCAGCAGCAGAGCCCCCTGCAAAGACAGAGAGCCCTGCTCCTCAGAGCCCAGAGGACAAGTTTAGGGCCAGCGCAACGCTTAGCGGGCCGCCTGTTGACCCCATGTTCTATCAGGAGGATGAGACTAGGGAAGAAACACCCAAGAATGAGCCAAAGGTTGAACCGGAACGTCCGCCCACGCCGCCTCCGAAGCCAGCAGCCGAGCCATCTTA